CTAATATTACACTAATCTCCAATAGACCATATCAAAGAGATGATTCGATAAGTTACCGTCGAGCCATTATAGTTCGCGAAATAACGGATACTCTTGCGTTCTAAAACGTGTACGTCAACTTCCCCGTCAGATCTAATCTTCTTTGATCGTGAGCGAGTAACTGTGAAAACACACTCTGGCTACGAGTCCTTTTGCGAGCGACGGAAAAGCTGGTGAAAGGACAAAGGGCGACGCGGGACGTTGCCCATTGCTCCTCGAACGATCCAGCTCGGGAAAAGCGCGAAACGCCGAGAGAGAGAGAGAGAGGGAGGGAAAAAGAGAGAGAGAGAGAGAGAGAGAGAGAGAAAGAGAGCGATTATCGTCGTGAAGTATCATCGCGTCGACGATTAATACACGCGTCTTCAACACAAATGTATCGTCTTATTTTCCACGTTCTCCAACTCTCTTTCTCGTCCTTCCACGGATCGCGGTATTCATTATCGTATCGTCTAGAGATGTGCGAATCAAGAATTTTTATGTCGAATCGAATCGTTAAAAAATTTAACATAACTATTAAACATGCAAATAACGATGGAAGATTTTAATATGAAAGAGAATATTGATATTATCATCTCTCAATAGTAATATATCATCTTAAAGTAAAATATATATTTAAATATTTAAAGTAACTTATAATTAAGTTATTAATTATCAATTAAGTCAATTACAAGTTAAGGGTTCAAACATACAGATGGCCCGTTTTGTAGCTGATGCGCGCAAACGCTAATGCATTTGATTCGTATTCGAATCTTCGCAATTCGAAATTTTCGAATTGTTCGGATTCGAATCATAGGGATTCAGATTCGAATTCGAATAGTTCGCACATCTCTAGTATCGTCCTTTTACGCTAACACCGAATCGCCGATGTTTCCTCGCGACCGATGAAACATCGATCAGCGTCGATGAATGATCGTTGACGTATCGAATCAATTTGAAAGTAGTCTCGGTAACTCTGATATGTTTTCCGGATGATTTGAAGGATGATCTCTCGAAAGGATACACGGAGACTTGGGACGTTCACTGACGTGCAAAGTCTCGGGAAACTTTTACTTCGTGCTTTTCTGCGCAATTTGAGGTTCCAAAAAATATTTTTCCTCCATTTCTTCTCGATTTTTGTTCCTCCGACCCTTTTTGCCTTAATTCACTATACATCAAAACTTTGGACGGGAGAGATTTACGTTCCGAAACTTCAGGCTGAAATGAAATTGTGAAATTTTTGAAATTCTCTGTGAGAACATCGACGTTGCATCGGACATTCGTGTTTTGTATCGATATATATTCGTACGTTCAATATCGTTCGTCGGTGTCGTTCGAATAAAATATCTCATATTTCTAATCTATGCATCTCCCTCTCTTTCTCTCGATTCGACTACTCGTGATTTGCGAGCCACGCGAACATACCACGGATTCGCTCGATCTTCCCGATTACTCGCGTATCGAGAGAGAGAGAGAGAGAGAGAGAGAGAGAGAGAGAGAGAGAGAGAGAGTTCTCTGTCTCTCTTATAGTGGCTAAATTCCACGACGCTACAATGCGTTCGAATGATATTTTTCCCATTTTCTCAAAGTTCATTTCACATTGTGTAACGTTGTTCAGTCGCACAGAAGTGACAAACGAACTGCACCGTAACGCTCACATGAAGAGAAATCATCCTTCGATTCGCACGGATGTGTTTTGTTTGTTTCACCCAAAAAGGATACACGAAAAGTCACGAAGGTCGAGCTTCGATCTCGTTGGGATATTGTCTCCGTCCTGGATATTAATTAAATCAAATACGCTGCGAGTCGCGGTGCATCGGAGAAGTAAGAGCTAAAGTTAGACATTAGACGCCCACGGTCGCTTTGTAGCCACGTAGACGATCGCTCTGCGCATACGATATATCGCCTACTCTGAATACGGTTTAATCGAGTAGATGAATCGAGGACCCTCGCGATTCACACGCAACGTAGGAATCCGCGGGAATCAGACTGATCGCATACTCGCAACGCACGATCGTGCACTTTTGTACGTAGCATTTGATAACTCGACACACACGTTAACGCGACCTGAGAGCGGACGCGTCACCCACGATCGCGAAAGATCCTCCGGGAAATTTGCTCAACGTGAGCCATCGTCAGTACTCTCCCCTCCTGTGATTTTTCTCGCGCGAAGAAAATCGCGTCGATGTGCTGCAAACGTCTGGAGTGGACAAATTAGAGAAATATTTCGAGGAATGTCGATTTGTTTTCGCGGATGGCGCGGTCTGTTTTCCCTCACAAACGAGAGGCGCGATGAATCGGTGCGCTTCGTAACGCGTCCGCTTGAAGGTCGCACGTTCATGATATTCCGTCGATGTATTTGATAGAGTTAGCATTAGCGACGATTTCCGCGACGATCGAGAACGCCGCGCCAGCCTGGTCGCAATGCGCAATAGGCTCCATAATACTTTTCTTTGGTCGGCTTGTTAAACGATCGACTCATAGTGATTATTGCGGCGCGAATGCGCGCCGTGCGTATAACTTTCTTGTTTCGTGAATGAAGGCAGTTTTCGTAAGAACAATCCCTCAAACTGTGTGTAAGCAAGATAGATTTTACATAAGTATCTACACACACGAGTTAAGTACGCACTCTCGACGACGCGAAGTTGCGTTTTTTCGGTGCTTGCATTACTATTAAGGATAAGATCGTGTCCTCGAAACACTGCCTGTATATAAACCATTGTCTCTCACATTGATACTCGGCTGTATAACAATCGAACACGTATAAATATAAAATTGCTCATCTCGACAGACGTGTTCCGTTTCTCCTTCATTCGCGTCGCCTATGTATAGAACCGTTCAGCGCGAACGGAGTTCGCGATCGACAGTTCGGCCGAGATCACCGGCGTTGCGCGCGAAAGAAGATACGCTTGGATGCTCACGCTAGAAGTGAGCGCGCAATACAGTGAATTTTACCGATTAATTCGACTTGAAAGTTGGTCACGAGCGAAAATCCGAGCCCGGTGTGACGATTTTATGTTTTCATATGCCGTAAGATGATGTAACGTTCTAATAAAAAAAAAAGGGGGGCGGAGGAAGAGAAAAGAAGGAAAGAGAAAAAGAAAATGTCGGAGTCTATCACACAATCGATTCGAGTAATTGACTTTAATGTCCGCAAGACTTTGCAAGCTATCGAGATCGTCGTTTAAATTGCTCATCGCGACGCTAAATTCATTTCGACAGCACGATTGTACAGCATCTTACGGCGAAGGAAGATACACGTTTCAAAACATCTCGGACCCAGCGTGGAAATTGTAATTCGCGGAATAAGATGGCTCGCTCGTTCGTGGCTGATTCGTTCGTGATGTAACGAACGGCCGTTTCATCGCCGACTGCGACTATCAAATTCCGCCGAAGTTCTCAAACTGTGTGTACGCGATCTCTCTCTCTCTCTCTCTCTCTCTCTGTCTCTCTCTCTCTCTCTCTCTCTCTCTCGCATTTACATCAAACTCACATACATCCCGGGAACTATCAAGGAGCAGTTAGGCGAGCCGATGTGAGCGTGAACTTTACGTTGCATCACTTGGCACGCGACACGGTGCCCTGTGACGATTCTATCGTCGTTGAAAAATCCAAAGAAAAAACAAAAAATGGAATTATTTCCAACGATCGGAAAGAATGAAATTTTGCGTTGTATCAAGAGAGATGTTCCGAACGTGAGACATTCATCGAATAACGCGAACATCCGAGGAAGCGATCGCCCGATCGCTTTCGACGGTGCTCCAGCTTCGCCGAATTAAATGAATAGCAAAAGATGAGAAACGTGCCTGGAAGTTTGCAAGAAGAGAATTCGAATGTTACGAGCATTCTGTTAAAAAAGTTCGATCGCGACGCACAGACATACACAGGACAGCAGGCTCGAGTGCGGCTCGTTTCGAAAAGTATACTCGTGTAAATCGCGTAAGTAACGAGAAGCAATTGTGACGTCCGTCCACACGAAATTCCACATTCCACCGACAACACGTTTCATTGGCGTTCATTTGCGTTCTTTTTTATACTCGACACCTCAGCACCGTGTGTACGCATCGAGTGTTTCACATACCTACCTACCTACACACACACACACACACACACACGCATAGATGCAGCTGTGTTTCCAGTTTCCACTTCGCGACGACCACTTCAGCGACGGATTCTCTGATGAGAGCTTGGGATCGATTTTCCTTCGATCGAAAAAATACGTCAAATGTTGATTTTGCACGATCGAATCGAATCGAATTTGAAAATTACGAACAGATTTGCTCGAATTTCCGTTAGAAATGGAAACTTTGCAGCTAATCGAGCTAAATGCCAATCGTGACTTCTCGTATTCACTGAGGAAAAGTTTAGAATTGGATTTCTCACGAGAAATTTGTAACGGTTGTAAGTGGGACAGATGTCTCGATGAATTTCCTTGAAAATTTGTCTGACCTCCGAGAAGAATGAACGATCGAGACTTATTTAAATGAATCGCTCGCTACGTATACACACACACACACACACACACACACACACACACACACACACACACACACACACACACACACACATACATGCAGACACAGATATACACACGAAAATATACATTTGATCTTCCGTTTTGTGATCGTCGACACCGCCGCTACAAATCTTGTTCTCAACTTCGTAATACGAGGATCCTGTCTCTCTGGCTCCACGCGATCATACGTTGCCTCGTTTTTACGCTCGCATTTAGTTTGATGTTTGTACTCGCTCGCGAAGCGATCGAACCGTTTCCACAATAAGTGATGATCTCGATCGCGAAAATAAACAGAAAAACAGAAACCGACGAAGCGCGGCGTGGCGCGGCAAGAATATAAGAAAAAGAGATGGAAAGAAAAACACAAGGAGAGAGGAGAGTCGCGATACGCTTCGATCGCTTCCGAAACGAGGGACGAGTGTTTACTCACGAAAAGTAAAACAGAAAATTGTGTGTGTGACCTTTGTAGGATGAAGAGAAAAAAGACAGCAGAAAATTCGAGAAAATTGATGAAATACCTAGCGAATTCGAGTGTTGCTTTTGTACCACGAAGGTATTTACGATCACTAACGTTCTTCCTCAGGCGGCACTACATACACCAATGGGCTGTCGAGCGAGTCCGAAATCGAATTGAGACAATCCGAATTTAACGATCGATGCGAGAGAAACCGTGCGGAACCGGCCACTCGTTCGGTCGTACGGCCGTGAAAGAACGGAAAAAAGTCTAGTCCTACTTGCACTCTTTCAGCAAAAGTATATACATATGTGCATACATATATATTATGTATGTATGCCCATACCTCATATGTATTATCTCACTCTGCATATCTCGTGTTGTCATCTTCCGGTGACACTCTGGGCTATGAATTTATTTATTTATCACTTATTTTCGTCCGATCTTCGCGGCCGTGTCGCGATTTATCTGTTTCTCTTGTTTTCCTCCGCTTCTCGTACTCGACGAATGTACATCGTTTTTTCTGCGCAATCCAAGTCTATATATGTATTATATATATATATATATATATTGCTCACTGATATATGCACACTCTTTACATAGTCCACTGGGTGTATGCACTGCCTCCCCTGCCACCTCTCTTCTCGACGGAGCACAACTTTTTCATTGACATGACACCTCGTTCATTCAAAAAGCTTTAGACGCAATCGTAGTTCATCTCCCTCACACCTCCGTTCGCTCGCCCGACCGACCGACCGACCGACCGACCGACCGACCGACCGACCGATCGACTTACCTACCCACCTACCCACCTACCTATCTATCTACCCTTACGACTTTTGCCCTGCTCACCTGTCACCCTCAAGCCTCATCATACCTCACATCCGGGCCAAACTTGCGATTTGCGTGCTGACACGACATTTTATAGGTCAAGGCACCGCGTGTTATCGGCCGTGTTAGGCGGTCACGCCACGATACGCCGATACGCGCGATGCCTTCGGCACCATCGTACCACCCCCTGATACCAGCAAGTAGAGAGCCAAATATACTTGTGTATACCTTAGAATCAATACCACGTGCACATACACACACGTAACAGACACACGTGTACACATGCACCGCGTGTACATACGGCGCGAGGATAATTTCCTGCCTCCGGGTTGAAAGTTAACGGGCCGCCGGCACGCGAGAAGACCGCCGGAACGAGCCACTCCAGAATCGTTCCTCTTACCGTGGTGATTAGGGACGCCCTCGCACCGCTTCTTCGCGCCCGCCGCGCCGGCAGCCAGAAAATGTGTGAAAAACAACGCTTACTACGGTCTATTATCGAATTACCCGGTCAATTCCGCGTGTCGGCCAGAAGAGAGCTGTCCGTTCGAATTTTCGGATACTCGAGGCATGAAAATACGATGTGTACGTCGTAAGAAAATTATACGTTTGCGTCGTTTTAGATATGTAACTGCTTTCGTACTTATTTTATATTTCATACCTTTGATTTATGTGTCTTTAATTTCATATTTGTCACGTCAATTGTCACTGTGATGTGATCTCCTCCTTCCGGAGGAATCACTCGTCTTTCTTTCGGGTAGACTCTCACACGAGTAACTTGCAAACGCGCAAATGGCTGCTCGATGGTTTGTTAATTGTCATTAACATTAATTATCCGACAGGAGATGACGGTACTTCAAATGTATCGTGGTGGGCCCAGCGTATATTTGGGCACTCGGACGCACAATTGGAAAAGATTAATATTAGCGTTCCTGATGATTTATACACGGCAGGAAATTACTCGGAGCCTCTTTCGTACACGACAGCGTAAGAAGTAATTGCGTTTGTATAGTCTCGTCTTAATAGAGACCACGTGTACGTATAAAGATATACATTCGCCGTTCCCTTCGGGTTTCATTAAATCACCGGCACGAGTCGTGCAAAGTGTACATGCACTCGCCTTGATCTTCATTCGCTTCATTATCTCATGCGGCACAATCGCGCGCGTACACGCGATCGAATTAATTATTAATCGGTTAGGCGGGACGAGCTTTATCAGCATTCGCTAATGCTCGCGGAAATTTTCGCGGATTTTACGGATTACAGAATTGCGCGGGCTCTCGTTATCGTGTCAATTGAGTAAATCGAAATTCAATTTTCCTCGATGTTAAATTCAATATCAGTATATCAGTATATTAACGAAATTCGAATTTTAACGTTAAGAACTCCGGTTATCATTGACAGATTCGTTACGTTCGACTTTTTTCGATCTTTGAGGAACGCATGAAAAAAGAAGAAAAACGCGATTCACATCAAATTTTAATTTATGAATTGTTAAAAATTGTCGGGACGATTTTGATTGTTTTTTTTCTTTTTTTTCAAAGAGAAGCTCTCAACGAGGATGAATTAAAAATTCTGCGACAGAGAGATGAAGTATACTCGTAGATTCGTCAAAATGGATTACCGAAAACCCGCGCTTCGTGTGTATGTATGTGTGTGTATATGTGTGTCTGTATAACAATCCTTATCATACGATAGCACGTACGAAGGCAAGACGAGAGGCAAGATCGAGAGGTCTTCAAGGTAAACTTATATTTTTCTCGATTAATCACACATACGCACACATACACATACGCGACACATACACACATTCACACATCGGACGGCACATATTGCATATTGTGTATGATGAAACGACTCGCGTAACTTACATACTATCACTCACCAGTAACTCGAAGCATGCCTTAGACCGAAGGTAGAGCACGGAAATACGCGGCCAGCACACGGTAGTAGATTTAAGCGATCCAAAGCGATCTTTAGAGATCGCGCGTCCGCCTCTCCTGCATCCGGTAGGTCCGGCTGTCGCATCGAAATAGCGCTTCAGGAACGACTATAATCAGACGACGAGAGATCGTTACTCTCTTAAGTAGATATAGACGACGCATCGCAGACCCGACGCGCGTTCCAGCAGGCGAGTATAGTAATATCATCCTCTCATACGGCATACGCTAGAGAACCAATCTTTTCTTTTCCTTACCTATGTAGAATGCACGATTCTCCTATGTGGCTTCTTTATTTCTTGTTGTCAGATTGCTGCTTCGCGATAAAGCAATACCACACGTTGCCGATGAGACGAGCGCGCTTTCCAGCGGACCGACCGAGACTCTTCTCGATGACGTCCAAGTCGATTCGTTGCTGCCTCTCGCGTTACGATTTCGCCTGTACTGTAAATAAGAAGATAAATAAAGAATAAAGAATAGAGAAGAACGTTTAATTGATCTGACGGCAGAAGAGCCTAAAAAAGATTGAAGAATATCAAAACATTCGTTTTTTCGGACACCTCTACGTGTCCACCGAAGGTGACTGATCTAATCTAAATCTGCAAGTACAAATTGATTCTGATGACGCGTTCTAAGGGGAACTAGTCCTAGTTTCGGGTACGAGGTCGGTGCCGAGGAGAACGCGCCGTCCTGAAGCGCAAACGTAGGATTTAGACTAAAGCGTATTTTTGCGCCGATGCTTCGAGCATCTTCGCCCCCCGCATAATCGAGACTTTTCATCCGCCTCATGTTTTTAGGAGTACAAAGACTTCCGGGACGCAGAGAACATAATGCCACTGGCCACCAGCGACTTTCGTAATCCGGTATGTCAAGAAATGAGGTCCCTCAGGTTCAATGCAATCAGCAGTGGTGGAGGCAGCAGTGGAGGAGGCGGAGGTGGCGGTAGCGGAGGCGGCAGTGGAGGCGGGGGCAGCGCAGGAGGTGGGGGAGGAGGAGGAGGAAGCATTGGTGCCGGCGGCGGCGGCGGCGGCGGCGGCGGCAGCGGCGGCAGCGGCGGCAGCGGCGGCGGCGTGGAGCAATTGGGTTCGTCGTTGGTGGAACCGAGGACACCGCCGATTCAGCCGCCGGAAACGTTGAGCTACGCGAGGACCTACAACGAGCAGGGCAGCTACACGAAGGCGTACAACGAGCAGGGTAGCGTCGACAGCTCGGACACGTACGCGAGCTGTCAAACGCATCCGTCCCATTCGCAGGTACGCGAACCGACATCGCGCGGATAATATAATAATATATAAATGACGCGAGGTAATAAAACTTTTAATCGGACGCACGGGGAGAGGTTGCGTGCCACACACCACGGTGAAGGTCGGCTCGCGCGGCTCATGCGAGACGATACCGAACGGAGCCGAAAAGGTACAGAAACAATACCTTCGCACCGGACGCAAAGCAGAGCTTCCCAACCGCTGCGACGCGGCACACTCGACTCGGACACTCGTGAGGTTTTCACTGCGATCAAAGAAACAGTTGGGATAACAGCGTCTTTCTCTCCGCAAACCTCCGCGGATTTACAAAATTCAACACGACACCTGGATCACTGTTTCTACATGGAGCCCTTTTCTATCTTAAACCAATGGCTGTTCAATGTTACGATCTCTCTCTCTCTCTCTCTCTCTCTCTCTGTCTCTCTCTCTCTCTCTCTCTCTCTCTCCCTCTCTCTCTCTCTCTCTCTCTCTCTCTCTCTCTCTCTTCCAGACACGCTACGGCGTGAAAAAGATTGGGAAGCGCAGATGATGTAAGCTATCCCACCACCGATACATCATATGTTAATGATCGATTTTCCGGCGAATTCGGAGTTCACACGGTTTTCCCTCGACGAGGATCCGACTGAGACCTCGTTGCATCGTGCATTACACAGCGCGATAGGTGGCTATTAATATCGAAGAGATGCAACTTTTCGGCGAGTTTAGTTTCGATCGAATACGCATCTGACACTTCCGTCTCGTTGTGTCATGGCAATCGCAAAAAAAAAAAAAACAGATTATGACACTTGGTGCTTTCTTCAATTTTCCGTGTAATTTAAGATACGACTAGTTAAAATTTTCAAAATACTTTCTCACATTCAGACGAAAATATATCGCAGCATCTTGCAAGAAAAGACTTATTACTTTACAGTTTGTTAACTTGTATGTTTCACGCACGACACTGTCCCGTTTTTCGACACGGTCGACGGACAATGTACGTTCAAGCGAACATGTACGAAAATGAATTTCGTATTGAACTGTAATTCCTGTAAGACTCGATTATGTATACGCGCAATATGGTGTACCTAAGGATGAAGATTAAAAAAATTTGACTTTTCTAGAACGATGGCCTCTCATTCAATGTTTGTCGCGCGACTTAATGCGCGGAGAATCACCCTAAATTCGACCAGAAATCATTAACATTTGAAGAGGATGAAGATGAGATATTCCATGCGATATATTCGACGATGATTATCTCCCATCCACACACACAACAGATATTTCGAAATACATATTTCTCGCCGACACTGGAGGTTCGCGTTACTACAGCTACTACTGCTACAGCTCTATTTTATCATTAGGCTCCGACATAAGCTACTCACATGCACACGCCGAGACGTCTGTCATTTTTCGCGACAGAGTTGCGTTGCGGTTTGAATGCTCGGTCGCGGGACGATTCCTTCGCTTCCGCAGGGCGATCTGACCGAGGAAGCGGACAGCAATCTTTACGTGAATCCATTGGAGGCGACGGAGAAATGCGGGAGCGCTCGGGTGAAAAAGTCCATTTCCGGCGAGGTCGGCCGAAACGTCACCACCGATGCGTCGCCCAGCGTCGAGTCCCTGAAGGAAATCCGGCCTTCTAACGAGGTCAGCAAAGTCACCCTAAACGACGCCATACCTAAGCATAGGAAAATAAGGATCCAACAGGTGAGTTTTTTCGTCGGGTCTCTCCCCGATGTATCTTGCCCTCGCGATATGATGCTTATTAATATTAACGTATTACCAGCGAATGAAATGAGAAAAGAGGAAGGAGTACAGCCGAATAGATTGAGATCGTGACCGACCAGAGGAGCGCGCTGAGACATAATCAGGCGGTCAGATAATGGCGGCCAGCGCGCCGCCCGATCTCTCGATCTTCGCGATTTCGATTCGGCGCAGATTCGGCGACGATGAGATCGATATATGATATCGTCGACTATCGATTTGTGATTCGGCAACGGCCATCATGGTTGTCATCGAGCGAGTCACATCGCGCGCTGTCCCATTTTTACTCCACTCTCATAATCATCTCAGTCGACACTGGCTATTACATCGGATACTTTCGCATAACGGCGTAAAGTGCAGAAACACCGGGTGAAACATTGTCGGAAATACCGTAGAGAGTGCGCTCGCGCGCATTAACCGGCAGATTGAACTTTATATCTTGACCGACCTTGCGCATTCTAACCAACTTATCAGGATTTTCTGTTCGTATATATCATCATCAATTGGTTGTTATCAATTTTTCGTTATTATTAATCAATAATATCTTGTTATTATTAATAATAATTTATTTATTATTATTAATATTTAGTTATTATGAATTTCTTAATTATTTAGCAAAGCGAGAGACAATTCTCTGCTCAAACATGAAGTCTCTTCTCTCTTACTGAATATATCGAGAAGACTCTCGATTCTAAAGTTTCTGCACACCGATAGACACGCAACAAGATTCGCATTTTTTCTTTCTCTATTCTCTCCGTACCTCCTCCCCTTCCTCTCTCTCTCTCTCTCTCTCTCTCTCTCTCTCTCTCTCTCTCTCTCTCTCTCTCTCTCTCTCTCTCTCTCTCTCTCTCTCTCTCCCCTTCCTCTCTCTCCCCCCTCTCTCTCTCTCCCTCTCCTCGAGACTGGTGCAATTGGGCGGGGTTCGTGTACCTCCGATTTCATGTGTGCCAATTTAGTCGCTCTTTATCGAGTGACACAAGGCCCGGGAAGGACTCGCCTCGAAATCGTGACGCGCATTAAGCAGAGCGACACGATCCCGATATCGCGCCAGCCTCGAAAAGGGGCGAGGGTGGCGAGTCACGTTATACCATCGCGCACGACCGCACGCCACTCATGCGCCGCACCTCGCTGCTTTTTTCAGCCGCAAAAACCGTCGAGACCACAAGCGGAGCGCAGTTGAGCGATCGCCACCAGGCTATCGTACTTTTCTGAACGCTCCGATGCTCGTCAGAGGGGAAACGCGCGATATCGCACGTTGGCGCTCGGACACGGAAGTAAGCTCGTTCGCAGCGTGACGGCGTGTCGCGCTTGGCCGGCGACTGATAGCGGGTATATCGTTCACCTTGCGTCACGGAACCAACCGCTTTTCACGGCCGATGGTATTTGTACAGCGGCGTGTCCGGTAGAAAGAGCGGAGAAAAAATGGTATCTGTTTCTCGAATTGGCGAGCGAGTTTGCTCTTTCTCTACCTAACGAGCATTTAATGTGTGATTCGCAGAAGATTAGCAGAAGTTTCGTAGAGCTTTGGAGACGCGAGTAGATCACGAAAGCTCTTTCTTCATCGTTGAATATAAAATCGTTGAGCGCAGCATGGGAAGTACGGTGAAGTCGTACTCATGGAATCTGATAAGGGTAACACTCCATTTGCTACTTGCGCCTTTTGCCGGACACGTCGCGTTGTGCATAGACCAAGGAATCGCATTCCATGAATCCCTAACGTGCATTCTATATATTTTCCGTGTAGTAATCAAAACGTCCATCGTAGCTTCACAAAGATCCGCTGATGAAAGGTACTATACGACATTTCCGTATAGCCGTATTTTGTAAGCGCGACCTTATAGCACCAACCTGTTGTGTTTGACCCTACGCACTGTGTCTCCCGCGAGTAACTGCACCTGCCACGACACGCGTCCACCTTGAACTTGAAACCATACTACGGATCGCAAACTAAACTTATGTGTGTGTGTGTGTGTATAAATACGACCAAGGCTGGCTATAACGAGCCCTCGTCGTGCAAATACAAATGGAGCCGCGAACCGATGAATGAATCGGCCACATCGGCGCGCTTTGTTTTCATGTTGAAAAAGTTTTAATAAGTATGTAAAGGACGGGAGATCGCGCGCGCAAAAGTTTCCGCCAAATAAGTATAGCGTTTGCTCCACACAAGTTTATTCCCGATTAATCCCCGTCACGAACGACCATACGTTGTTTCCCGATTCAATCGTGGCAGTGAAGAAAATTGTATAATATTGCTGCAGTGCCACCAAAATTAAGAGAATTCGCTCGCAGACGGAGTAATTGGTAATACGAACGATGCCACTACGTCTATGATGAGTAGATTTTTCTTTGCAAGTAGATGATCTTTGCAAAACCTAAGTCGTGAATCGCGACCGCAGTGCGATCGCAGCGTAAAGTAATTCGCGACCGGTCCATATCCCCGTCGACGCTAAAAGCACCGCTAACGCTCGATCGTCGAGTCTGGGCTTTCAATGTGCGTAACCAAGCAAAACGCGAGAGGCACGAGCCGGTGACGGAGCTCCTCCTCGTTCCTCCCGTCGCGCCTTCCTCTCAGAGACGTGTCATCCGAGAACCGAGTATTATTATTACGTGTGACTGATTACAGAGCGCAAAGCTGCGGGCTCAATTCGTCGGCATCCAGGACACCGCGATGGTGGTGCGCGATATCCTGAAGGATGACACCTTGGAGGACAACAATAACCATTACGGGGGAGGACTACGCGGTGGCAGATCCTCCGCGTCGTACGGGCCGACGAATAGTCTGGCGTCCGCCACGCGCATCATCAATCATCACTTGTTCGGATCCATCGGCGGGCCCAAGCATCACGCGGGTAAATATTCGACCTCGATCTAATTGGCTCGCTCAATTCGCGCCAGCGACGGGGATTCCCCTCTTTACGTAAGTAAACACGCGACCTTCCCTCGTTCGCCGGAAACGGAGAGCATCGAGGGTGAAACGATAAAAACGCAGGATCTCCAACCAGGATGTTAATGTTCCCCTCGCGCATCGCGCTCCGCGCGAGGTCGGAGAGAAGCTGGAAAAAGTGTGTACTCTGGATATTCGTAACATCAAGCACGACGGGATGAAATTCGTTTTAGGAACGAGCGGCGAGAGCAAGCTCTCGCTATCGGCGGACTCGATAGACAGCGAGGGCGCGCCGTTCATGGACCGTTACCGAGTGTCGAGATCGATCCTGAAGAAGTCCGACAGCGGCAGTAACTACTACAGCAATGCCGGCGACTCGGACACCGAGAAGCTGATCACGGACAATGTGTCCACGACGAGCGTGTGCGACAACGAGACGAATACGTGTGACGCTTTCGTCAACGTGAACGGCACGCGCGCGCGAAAGCGCCCGGTATCGCCGTTACTCTCGCGACAGGTCCTCGAGTCGATATTCCGCACCAACAATAACACCGAGAGGGAGTACACGAGCGACGAGGGGGACGGGAAGATCGGCGTCACGAGGACACCGAAGATCCTGTTCGGCGACGTTGCGGAAGGTTGGTGCAAACGTCTGCTGATCGAAAGAGAGGGCGTTGGTGCGATAATAACGTATTAGCTTCTAATGACATGAAGTTAATTGATGTTACGTGATGTTGGGTCCGCTCTAATTACAATCAATATTTTCTTCAAAGAAAAACATGCACGCGATGAAGTGGTGGTGGAGAACCAGAATAAAGAACCGGCGGAGGAGCAGCAGCCGCGACGGCCGAGGGTGCGCTTGCAGGAGGATTCCAAGGACAGTCAGACCACGTTGATACTACGCTCATACAAGACGAAGAAGTCGTCCGCGACGGACGAGAGAAGAAAAATCGGCGGTAGCAAGTCCTCGAGCGCGCACGGCTGCGCGACTTACAAGAGCTCGGGCGCGCATGGCCTGCCGCAGGAATACCGTTTCTCGTCGTAGCGTTTCTCTTCCTCCGCTTCAGCAGCAGCAGCAGCAATCTCCTTTGCTATTACGCGCTCTATTACACGCACAGTCGCACATCATCATCGATCGATTAGCCGACGACCGATCGGTCGATACACACTCACGGAGCCGTGTAATAGCTCATCGTCGTCTGTGCCTGATAATTGCGTTACCTTCAGTGCCGGTTGCACCGACAGTCTTGGTCAATTAACCGCGCCGACGGAGTCCTGGTTAATTAACTTCGTCATCCCGCGCCTGTGTTCTCTCTGTTCTCTGGGAAACAATTCTGATGTACCTCCCTCGATCGCAATCGTGGACGGAAGAGGAAGAGGATGAATTAATTAATCACGATGCGCGGTGCAATCGACCCTTAGATATTGAGAGCGAGAGAGAGCGAGAAAGAGAGAGAGAGAGAGAGAGAGAGAGAGAGAGAGAGAGAGAGAGAGAGAGAGAGAGAGAGAGAGAGAGAGAGAGAGGAGAGAGAGAGAGAGAGAGAGAGAGAGAGAGAGAGAGAGAGAGAGAGAGAGAGAGAGAGAGAGAGAGAGAGAGAGAGAGAGAGAGGCGTGTCGAGTATTTTGATGCGTAAAGATTGCAAAATATAACAATCACGTTAATATCAGAGATATCGAGAATTAGATCTATTTTTTCCGTTCGGGTTCACGACTTAGTCATAGATGCCGCGCCAATACGCGTGTTGTCAAAGCGAGCATTTCAGCCGAACACTTCCGAGACAAGACTTCCAGAACGAATCGAGAACCAAGTTCTCACAGACAACAACGGTCTTGCGGAATTGCGATTTCCACGAATCGTGGTTGTCCTGTAAAACTGATACCTGTGATTTTCAACGTTTCACGAATGATACATACCGCATATGTATGCCCATATACGAATCAAAAGAAATCTGCCACTTGATTCGCTCGCGCTGTTGTACAAAGCGACGACAATAGTGGACGGTCATATGTCATCAGGGTGTTTCATCCGAAGACGCAGTCGCGCTAACGGTCGTGCTTCCTGACGGGAAAGCAGAGAGAGAGAGAGAGAGAGAGAGAGAGAGAGAGAGAGAGAGAGAGAGAGAGAGAGAGAGAGAGAGAGAGAGGGAGAGAGGGAGAGAGAGAGAGAGAGAGGAGAGAGAGAGAGAGGAGAGAGAGAGAGAGGGAAAAAGGCATACCTGTAGATCGCATCGTAGTTTGAACCGTTTCAATAATGAAACATGAATGAGATGTGATGTCTCAACGATATCGCCCGAATTCGAATCGCGCCTCGGGTCGCACTCGCGAGTTATCATCTTCACGGCAAGAAGTTCTCGCGATCGACGAGTGAGTATATCTCTTTCGGGGAGGTGCGTATTCCGCGCCGGGGCTTCCTCCGCGACGAGCCCAAGCCGTGCACGCGCGAGCACGCGCACCCCGATTCTAGTCTTATAGATGTTCATCGGTGAAGTAACATATCTGCAACATGTGGCATTTCTAGTCATTGTTATAGTAGTCTAGGGAAGATGAAATACAAAATGTACAAGCGTGTACCGCGTATCCCATGGGAATCGGTGAAGCCCGTGACGCGGCCCGTTGTTACGCTGACGCTCCGTAAATCGAGCCTCAAGTATTTTCTACCACATTCGTAAACTCGCTTCCGCTGCGTATGCGCGCGTTCACACGGCTCACATGTTCGAAGGATAATCCATTTCCGAGTTGTTACCGCGTTCGTTCCGTAGTCTGAAGCGACGAGCAGGGAGACTGTTACGCAACTGTGAACCGGAAAGGGTGCCGCTTTAGCCGGGAAAAACGGCTGAATTGTCAAAGATGTAAATTCAAATCGCATATTTTTACGGGAGGGAAGTTCCACTTTGAGGTAATAGATATATCCTCAGAACACCGTAGCGGGTCCGATCGTCTTAAGACACGCCGAAGGGCCACGATAGGAGCTAAGAGCCTCCGAGGGGAGCGTGATTATATCGGCAGCCAATTACATCAACGTCCATTAGTCCGATCGAAACGCACGATTGCGCCGAGGGAGTAATGTCGAGCGAGCGCATCCTTTCCCATTCACGGGCGTACCCCGTGCGTCGTTTACGTACCTGTTATTCGAAGTCGGATACCTTTTATGCCGCTTAGGATTTCTAAGTAAACGAAATCGATGTCTTCTGCGAGCTAACATAGTCGAATGTAGGAAGTTCCTAGACTGTGTAAGAGAGAATGATCTATCGTTTATTATCGTGTAACTGTAATTTAAGCAACAGTGGTACTGTTTAGCAGCGACATAGTACAAAGGACGCCACGTCGTAGGCATACGCATTGCGAGAGGGAAATCGTTCGCAGACTCTCTCTCTCTCTCTCTCTCTCTCTCTCTCTCTCTCTCTCTCTCTCTCTCTCTCTTTCTCTCTCTCTCTCTCTCTCCACGAAGTCGCTACAGATATGTACGAAAAGAGAAAGAGAGAGGAGAAGAAACGTGTATATTGTCTTCATGTTAATTAAGTTAACGATGCTCGCGAGTTATCACGCTTACTCGAGAAACTTCAATTGACGTTTGCTTACGCGGAAGACGGGTGATTCTGGCCGTTTTCGAAGAACCCCGTCTGAGGAGTCCCTTCGGGACGATACAGATATTACACAGATATTTATTTTTTACTTCGACTTCTATTTCCCGCGCTGACTATATATGGTGCAACAAATACAAAATGGATGGATCGTTATCGCGAAGAAACGGAAAAAAAGTCGACTCTTTAAGCGCTAGCTAGTCTGATTTCGCATTAATCGACCGGCGCGAATCTTATTTTTGTTGGTCTTCTATATTGGCCTATTCCCTCCTCTCCCCCTACCCGTAGCTATAAGGGCTACAGTAGCGTACAAGTGTACAAGAGAAAAATGAAAATAAAGTTGTAACTTGCTAGTTATTGTTCCTTACACAGCTGTGTTCAAATCGTCTCGATCATCTTCTACGAACGCGTCCGTCGCGCTCAATAGCGAGCGAGATATATCGAGAACGAAACGTATCCATTTCCACGTTCTGTATGCCAAGGATTTGATTTATTATTGCATTGTTTTGTTACACATGACCGGCACGTTGTTTCCTGATTAAAACAGGAAGTGTCGTACTGGTAGTAGCGCGAAGTCGTGGTCCATGCGATCCGGAGAAAAGACTGCGAGGAGACGAAACCCGTGGCAATGGCCATCGCGAACATCGCACGTCTTATCATGCTGCGTTACCTATCGAAGCACGTTGTCCTTCGTAAGGAACACAAGATTAACATAAGTACCATTGCGATTGACCTCTGTCACGGTTACAGTCTCGTTTACGAAATTGGGTAAGACTTAAGCCGTCGGTGCGTTTATCATCTCAGTCGTGGTGCTCTGAGCGTCTGCGGGCGGCTTCTCCTGCAGCTCCAGCCACGGCAACCGTTTCTGTAGTTCCAACCTGTTATGGAACAAAATAACAAAAAGTCAAGGAAGATCCCCAGGAAGAGTAGTCGACATAATTCTTCGCTGTATCGTTTACCTGTATCTTGGATGGCTTATAGCGTAGACATACGGGTCCAAGCAGGCCACGAACTTACACGTGCACGCCGGTATCATCGTAATGCCAGGTGTCAACAGCGCTTTGTCCCCGAAAGCGCCAATCATCGCGAGAACGCCGTACGGAGTCCACGAGAGAACGAAGAGGAAACAGATCGTGATCGCAGCCTGCAGCCGAGAAGAAAACAGGATGCAGGGTTGAGAGATTTGACAAACTCACGAATTTGTACAGAGGCAGAGAAAGGGAAATGAGGATATGAGGAAAAAAAACCATTATACCTTGGCTATACGTATCTCCGCGCTCTGAGCGTTGGTGTTCGCATTACTGCGCAAGCTCTCGACATTCATCTTCTTCGCCTGCTCGCGGAGAGCTTTCTCATGATCGATCACATGGCTGACGATTTGGCTGTAGTAATATATAATGAGCGACATCGGTATGCAGTAGGAGAAGGTGAAGATTGTAGCCACGAAATATCGTATCTCTTGCTTGTCCGTCAGGTAGTCGAAAGTGCAGCTCGTGAGAAAACCCTCGGGCACGAAGCGACCCCAAACATGCATCAGCGGCATCAACGCCCAGGGTATTGTGTACGTCCAGATCAGTACGATGAAGAGAATTACTTGACCGCGCGATAGCTTCCCATCCAGTGGTCGGGCTATGGTACTGATAATTGGCGAATGTTAGGAATAGGTGGCACAATCTACCATGTCCAATCTGGCATGTCTGTTTCTCAAATTGGTTGAAGATCAATTTGACACGTACACCAGAAGACGATCTCGCGATACCTGTATCGGTCGTAAGCGATGGCAGCGTTCGTCATGCCTGCTCCGATGCCACTGAGCGACCCCATGAAGGCGAAGATCTGACATCCCACATGACCCGTCGCGAATCCGGTGTTGAAGGAGTTATATATGAAAATAGGCGCCTTCAACATCATGATGAAATCGCAGAACGCCAAGTTCACCACGAACAGATTCGAAGGTGTCCTCAGCGACTTGGCTCTGTGTGCAAAGATGAGAAGAAAAAAAAAGCTTTAGATATGATACAAACTCTCTTAAACTTTGTTTAAATTTGAACTTCGATACTGCAAGTTGTTTGCGATAGTCAGATAAAACACTTACGAGCAGAATATCCATATGACCAATCCGTTCCCAAGCAGCGCGACGAAAGTGAAGAGAGTGTACAAGATGGCTAGCAGGTAGTGAAGGGAGGGATTGGGTTCGGGGTAGACCAACCAATGTTCCGGTATATGGACCAATTCCTCGGCAGGGACGTTCCATCCCAGCAATCGCGGTGGCTCTGCTGGTAGGATCCTCGCCGCCCAACGAATGCTTCCGTTGGACATGTCGATCGTTCGCCAATCCCTCGCCTTATTTCGCTCCTTCGTATCGCCGTATTTTTATATCTTTCTCGCGGTGATTCAAATCCGCGAAACCTCAATTCGCCGGCTTAAATGGCTTCGTAGCGGAGGATCAGCTGAGGATTATCTCTAACTTTGCCGATGGTCAGCAAATATATGCGCCTCCACGCCTGCGTCGGTTAATCATCGACGCTATCTGTTAGCAATATCGCTCTCATCTCACGCTATGGTTGGACAATTCTTGTCGACAGTTTTTCTCTGATTGAATTGATTTATTCTTCGATATGATACATAAGCACTTGCGGACGAAGTGCGCGTTAAAAAAAAAATATTGAGGAAGCTTCAATATTTTTTCAATTGATTGCTAATATTCATAAAACTGTGTTACTCATCTCGTAATTAAAAAAAAAATCGATATATCTGGAAGAAACTTAACAATATTAAAATTAATAAAAATATGTAACAATACTGGTGAACGCCAGCGGTTGTGCGTGAAATTCACTAAGAATACCAAATTCAAATTCAAACACTAATCTTGCTTTGGTGCTTTATCACAATCTGCCTCTTCTTTCGGCAGACTTGTCAGTCAAAGTGTATGCTGGTAAGTAAGACGAAGGATCGTTGGGATCTTTCAGCAGCGGATTCTTCATCGTGCTGCTCCTGTTACCGAGGCTCGTGTATCCCTGATCGTAAAGCGAGCAATAAGGGACATTGTGCTTCAACAGGAACGCCCACACCTGATTGTACGACCAATTTAAAATAGGGTTGGCACGCATCAATTGTGGCCAGTCCGGATCGGTGAGCGCGAACGGTTGCAGATTTGCCGAGCCCGGGTCGTCCTTCCTCATACCCATGAGACTTGCTTTCAAATTGCGCTTCTCTTCCAGTAAAGTCAACACTGCAGATCGCACGGGCCGTGGCTTCCGAATGATCGCCAAACCGTAATATTTGGATGCTAGGTCTACGAATGCTTCCACCTGTGCGCGAATATATAAATAAAGATTAAAGTCTTAATTTTGACACTGCTCAATCGTTAGTCCGGAACTTACTTCCGGAAAGGAATCCGCTGTCACGTATAGACACAACAATGACGAGATATCGCGCGATTTGGCGACAATGGCAGCTAAATGCAAGACTGCCGTGCAGTCCTTACCACCGTTGAAACTTATAAAAATCTCATCAGATTTATATCTGGAAAAATATACATACGTATTGCGAACATATAACGTATATGTTGAATTCAAAATTACAGCTATTCATCGCGCATACCTATCATAACATTCCTGTACTATATTCAACGCACACTTAATATATGCTTCATTATCCTCGAGAAGAGCATTCATTTGAAAATGACTCAATCCATGCTCCAGGTTCATAAGTTTTTGCACTGGCAGATAATATAGAAGTTCTTCCTTTGCTTCGGCCACTGCTTCTTTCGATCCTTCCAAGGTAATTTTCGTAAAAGTCTGTGGTTCTGATTGAACGTAACTGCCAATTCTCACTTTGCCATCCCATCGTTTTGCTTGCTTATCTAATATATCCACTATAGACAATTTGTTCAATTTGATATTTATGTGTTCAAAGTGTAACGGCGTGAATCCTTTTAATTGAGGAACTATCGTGTCTACTGCAGCCTCAAAATATTTAGGAGATCCAGGCAGTATATAAACATTTTTTACACTTATCACTGGAAAAACTTCTGGAAATTATAATATAAAATATCATGATTAAAGACATTAAACTAAATAAAGCTCCATACATCGTAGATTCTTCTAATTTTGATCCACACATTCAAACAGAAGTATATTCTGTGGAAAATATCAAATAATAGAAATATATAAATTTTAATATATCATTATAGAACATGTACCTGTAGACTTGACATTAATTATTTTGCAAGGATTGGGGACAATAGCGAGTCGTTTTATCTCTGGCTGATTAGGATTCATCCGAATATAGGTATCAAGTAATTCTTGATGTGATTCAAGTTTTAATCTGAAAGCCTTTGCTACAGCTTCATAAGTTACATCATCATGAGTAGGACCAACACCACCGGATGTAAATACAACAGGATACTCCTGTGAGGCATTTTTTACTTTTTTAGCAATATCATCCACCTAATAGAGAAACGATTGTAGAAACAACAGAAAAAGCAATAGATATCATAATTATTGATATAAATTACAAAAATTACATAAAGATTAAAAAAAATATGATACGTACCACATCGGGAACGACTGTAACTCTCTGCAAACTCAAACCAGCAGCCTTCAAACTTCTTGCTAAATATGATGTATTGGTATCAACAATCTGTCCATTTAAAATTTCATTTCCGACAACTATCAAGCTTGCTGGACATTGATCCATTTTAGCATGCAATTCTACATATGTAAAACAAAAAAATGAATTTATATATTTTATTTCTTTTATGCAGAAAAACAGAATGTTATAACAATCTATTTTTTCTCAACTATACATAACACACACACACACATTTCTGATACCCTTACTTTATCTATTTTTAGTATTTTGTATTGTAAAATTTCGACAAAATAATGACATGTAAGACCAACTAGATATTAGTCTATTAAAAAGTCTATAAAAGAGAGAAGATAATCGGAAATAATGTCTTAATGCACAACTAGAAATATGTATATAATATCTTAATATATATAACGTCTTAACGTACAATGTAATTCAAGTCTATCAAAGGAATAATTTGCAAATTGTCTATTGTAAATTTCTTATCGAATTTGTTTATATATACATTCACATATATTCACATTCATTCTGGTAACGGTTATTCTTATGAAAAATATATGACCAAGTGAGGCAAGAAAAACATAATATTGAAAGAAAATGATAATTTTATTGTCTTGTACTTTTTTTATATACACATATGTAATGGAAATATATACATATACATACATACATACACACATATATATATCTGAATTAAAATATACATTACATTACATTAATCTATTATTTCCATCAAAGTTGCATTTGTTCTATCATTGCAGCTGTTTCATTCGTTTGCTCTAGTGCAATCTTAGATACTACACGTTTCTTATTTGCCTTGGTATGTTTCTTTTGAGTGGTATTCGCCTTAGAGCTGGACCCTTGCATGTCTTTACGCAAATCCTCAAGTAGCTGGTCCATATTGACTGTTTTATCTTTTTTTGCAATCTTATTTCCCTTTGCATCAAGCTGGTTTCAGAGTATAAAAATAATCGAATTTTCCGCTAAGTATTTTTAACACTTTATTATTGTGAACATTTTCAGGTATTTCTGCATGCATGTGAGTTTCAAATCTTTTGTATAAAAATGGAGATAGTTTAAGAATTTTACACAATTATAAATTGTAATCTTGTAATGATTATTTCACTTGTTAATGCACAATCTGCAATTATCCATTACTTACTTTTTTCAGATTAGTGACTACCTTTTGTGCTTTAGCTTTCAACTTGATACTGCGAACTGTAGCCACTTTAAAAACATTTTTATTCTTTTGATTGCTCTTCTTCTTTCCCATTATTTTCTGTAATATCGTTACATACGAATGAATTATCACACAATACTTCTTCTATTTTAGCTTTCTTCATTGCTGGCTCCTTGCCTTCGAGCATGCTTTCTTTCAGCAAAAATGATACTCGAACCATTTCTTTGTTTGTTGAAACACCTCTAACATTATGTAGACTGACAAGAGAATCATGACACAGTGTACAATCAATCTTTTTTTCAACCAATAATTTTCCAAGCTTACAAATATCATCTGTTTTATCCGTTTTTACAAAACAATATACATGGAATGTAGGTGGTTTAAGACAGACCTTTTTAAGCTCATCTTGTGTAAACCAATCAGGTAATATATCCAAAAATTCAACAGCCGACGAGGGTAAATTCATGATTATATGCTCGGAACCATGTAGTTCTCGATCGCGTCTAGATAGAATATCATTCTTAACAATGTTCCTTAAAAAGTCTCTCCCATCCATGTTAAAAGCTTTGAAGTTATTCTTTATTTTGTTAGCAGTAACATTTATCTGAAGCCATTTGTACGACTCAGGATTTAAGTCATTTGCGAGTACTTTGACACCTTTACGCGCAGCAGGCACAGCAAAGGGTCCCACTCCTGCAAATACGTCATATAGAACATCGTCTTTCTTCATGCATGCTATTAAACGTGTATGTTCATTAGATAGACGTGGATTCCAGTAAACTCGCGCAAAATCAAACTGATATGTACAACCATGTTCTTTTGTGGTTGTTACTGTATTCTTTTCACCAGCTAGGATCTCCATAGTAAAATATCGAAATGTTGTATCAATAGCATTTACTTTGTTTACTACTGTTTGTACATTCGGAGTCTTGTCAAGAAACACTTGACCAATAATAGTTTTGTAGGGTAAATGTATATCACGCAGATTTAATTGCATAATATGTCCTACCAAGCTGTATGCTGCAGGAGGTTGAATGTCTTCTGGCAAAATTGCTTTTAATATCTCATGGCCACGCCAATTCTCATACTTTAGTGTAATGCTCTTAGTGCTAAAGTATTCATACTGACCCACCAGAGATTGTCTATCATTTTCGGTAATATCCTCGAATTTTGTAACAATTTCTGGATTTAGATAAACAATAACTTCGTCGCTTGTCTTATGAATTGGTTTAAATTCAGGTAGCTTTAAGATGTACTTTTTTATGATAGGTTTAATGTTTGAAATAATGGTATTACTTTTTAATTTTAATATTGGTATGTTCACGACTGTTGCAAATGCATCACGATCCAAACAAGTCATTCCACGGACTGACATCGGAGGAACCAGCAAAGAAGTCATAGCAGTTTTATAGAAGTTGTACTGGTTTTTCAAACAGCAGCTAGAATGCACCACAGTACTGAGAGATTTGCCCACTGCCATATATTAACAGGATCAAACACTGCACAATAATACAAATTAGTGATATATAGATATGACTCTTGTATCATATAATTCCCATTGTTCAGTAACGATTAAAAATAATAATATTATCATTCTAATCGAGCCTTGTGTATATACTAATATATTTATATGTAAGTGTTACACTTACAATATTTATAGCATCTTTGCAATTTCTAGTATTTTACTATAGTGTATTTTTTATTAATTCATCAAATATTATATTAAGGTGATTAAAACATACTGTCAATATCTCATTAATGAAATTTATCTATCCATAATCTGGCTCTTAGTTTTAAATTGATTGTTATATACATTTTGCTTATTCTTCAGCAAATAATAAGTAATGCTCTATATTTAACAATAATAAATTTAATAATAAATAATAAATTAAAATATGTTATTCAGTAATATATTACAATTAATATAATATAATTGTAATATAATATATTACAATTAATAAATCTCTCTGTACAGTATTTGATCCTGTATATTAGCAGAGGTCCTTTTCAATTAAATATGAAAATCTTCTTTTTCCACTTTCTTCTTCCAAAATTTAGACACATTTTCTTTTATTTAACAAATTTGTAAAATGTGAAGAGATGCAACAAAGAACAGATGCAACTAAGATACAAGATGCAATCTTGATGCAGCCATATCATCGCATATTTGTATCTTCACGAAATAATGCATGTGTTTTTCACGAATTGGGACAATAATAATTATTAATAATAAAATTAATGTAGAAACCGCAAAGATGAAAAAAATGATGTTTCTCTAAAGGTTATGTCAGGACATACCATTCAATAATGTAGTGTAAAATACCGAACGCTAATAAAAATGAAGATAAAAATGTCATTTACCTTGCTGTTAAAAATCTAGCGGCCGTTAACAAAGTTAAATATGTCCGTTAATTCTTTAATGTATAATTTTCTTTCCAAATCGTTACGTCCAGCAAGATTAAATAGCTTCTTTCATTGGACCGTGGACCAAGGACTGTGATCCCACCGACCATATGTAAAGCCAGCGGCACACAGTGGGTGCATTCAGTACTACAACCGCTCACTGAGTGCTAAGTGAGCTCTTGCATCTGATTGGTGTATATTTTTAAATCTAAAGGAATATACCAATCAAATGTAAAAGTTCATTGAGCGCTCAGTGAACGGTTGTAGTACTGAATGCACCCAATGCTTATTTTCGTGCTGGATTGCTTGCTGGATGAAAATATTGCGTTCTGATTGATACATTTCCGAAGATGGATGGAAATGCACCAATCAGAACGCAGTATTTTCATCCAGCAAGCAATCCAGCTCGAAAACAAGCACCGTGTGCCGCTGGCTTTAAAGTCGAACGATGACTGCGTTCAGCAAAAAAACTATTTTGCAACTGTGTAAAATTTGTAAATTTGATTGATACGTGCTTTTAGATTCAGCTGAAATTAAGAGTATGCACCAATCAAATCCACAAATTTTACAATAATTACAAAACAGTTTTATTTTTTTTCTTGCTGATCGCCAATATGTGCCCAATATCGAATATCGAATCAAATATGAAAGAATCGAGAATGCAATAGAGCCATCGATTTAGCAACGAGTAGAAGAAGCGATTATCGACTCATCGATCGAGTATCTCACCCTCCATGATGAGAGATCGCTGTTGCGTAGTATGCGCGACTTTTGTGTAAGGTGCAAGAGGGCTTGACGGGGAGGGCGAGGAGGAGGAGGAGGAGGAGGAGGAAGAAGAAGAAGAAGCAGGAGACGGCAATATCGCGGTAAGCAGAGCGCTTCTTCGGCGAGGAGTCGGCCGAATCGCGAATGATACGCAGGAGGTAGTAGTGGCGTGCGCTGGTACCCACCGTCACCAGGGTAGCGCAACGGAAAAGTGCAGAAGAGGAGAGAAGTTGTCGCCGACAACAGTGGTGATCTACAATGCGGTGATCTCCCGGTGAGAAAGGAAGAGAGAGAGGGGGCAAGCGGCAAAGAGCGAGAGATAGAGAGAGAGAGAGAGAGAAAGAGAGAGAGTGCATCGACGTGAACCTTGCCCCGTCGTGTGCACCCGGCCAGGTGATTCTCGCGCTGGCGATATCTCGTCTCTCGGACAGTTGTGGACAATTCGCGCAGTGGTAAGAGCGATATCCCGTGTCCCGTCCCTGTGCATCCGGCGATCATCTACGGGGGAGAATCCGATAGGCGCTTTCATGGCGCGCGGCGGACACGGCGGGGATCGTGCGTGCGCCGCCAACGAAATACGAGACAGGACGAGCGACGTGAGAGGGCCACACGAGTGAACGAAGGAGCGAGCGAGCCAGCCAACAACACGCCACCCGTGTGTCAGCAGGAGCATCGGCCGAGAAAAAACACACGACGACGACGGCGACGTACGCGCCGCGCACACAGGCACGCACTGGAGTGCGTCACCGCCCATATGTGATGTGTTCCATGCGTGCAAGCGAATGAGTAATCATGCACTGTCCGGACAAGGGCTCGACTGCCTCCAAGAGCAAAGAGGGTAAGTCGTGCGGATGCGTGCACCGGGCACGCGTTTCCTCATTGCGTTCGTTCAATGACGTTCCGGCTTTTTTTTACCTTATCGGCTTTCAGTTGCTTTTGTGCGCGCATGTGAACGAGGTGAGGGGAGAGAGAGAGAGGGTGAGAGTGACTAAGAGAGAGAGAGAGAGAGAGAGAGAGAGAGAGAGAGAGAGTGAGTGTGAGTGAGTGAGTGAGTGAGTGAGTGAGTGAGTGAGTGAGTGAGTGAGTGAGTTCCGTTCCGGGATCGCGAAGATGGAAGAAGGACGGAGTGACAACCATCGGTAGTGCGATAGCGATGGGAAGAAAGGAAGAGAGAATACATGTACGCTTGCGTGTATGTGTGTATGTTCACACATGTGCACACATGTCCCAGTATCGCTTACCGATGTTACTTCAGAGGAGGAAGAAAGACGAGGCTCCAGTACCTCGCACGAGAGAAACTCCGATCTCGCACGCATCTCGCATCACTTTTCTCACCCGGCGCAACAAACGGATTCGCGTAGATTCGTCGGTCGCGATAGAATTGAGACATGCTGCTACTCATCGGACGCGCTTTTTTATCATCCGGAGACGAGAAGTAGAGAACACGTAGAAAAGAACGGAGTATTGTGCTGCTGGAGAACTATTGTATATTTTCGAATTGTGCGACACGAATGCTACGAGTGGTTCAACAGCGCGATCTTTCGCACGAAATGTAACGTGCGAGGACATGCAAGAAACGGAGGTCGCTATGTCAATTGGCACTCGAAAACCTTCATGTAATTTTGCCTATAATTATTCGACGAGTGGGACTAATATGTATTAGTTCATTGACCTGTGCTGCAACTGCAACGTATGCGTGCTGTATGTGTGTGCGCGCGCGTACGTCGTGTGTGTGTGTGTGTGTGTGTGTGTGTGTGTGTGTATGTATGTGTGTGTGTGTGTGTATTATGCTACTGTTTGCCTACGTGATATGTGTGACTGTACGTGACGTATATATGTATCGTAACGAAGTACCAAAATTTTAATTACGTTTAGTAGCTGTTGCTGAATTCGCTTTGTTGTAAAACTTACTCCAGGAAAAATAACAGTTTGCTGTTTCAGTTGAATTGATGCTATATGCCGAATGCATATACTTGCGTATATAGTCGAGTATATACTTTCACCTTTGTAGAAACCTGTTGTCCTCCATGATCTTATGAATGAACAAATAATCTGTATTCAGAATGAATCGAATCACTCTGTCTTAGTTGCTCCTTACATATCATATTTGTTTTATCAGCTGTGACAGGAACTGAACAGGATCTGTTTTACTTTATTTGTTATTTGTATATATATATATATATATATCTCACCCCTTTTTCCTTTCTTTTTATGTATATTTATACAAAACAGTCTAAAAGTAATATGCTTTGTCCCATCTAAAAATTATCTAATAGGTTTGAATGAAATTTTTCTATAATTGCTTATATATAATTATAATAATTGCTTATACACTTATAAAAATGTTTTCAATGAATCAAGGTAAATAATATGGCCATATGTTTTCTTTCCTAATAAATTATACAACAATTTCTTAAGCCATTATATTCCTTGTATAGTATCACTTAAGAGGAATGTCCGTGATACATATATGCCTCTATCATCATTATTAATAAGATCCAGGAGCACTGGCATAGCATAGTGTATGACATCATCATACATGTAATAATCTGTCATGTCTGAATTACTCTGATGTTCTTGGCCTTCCATCATGATATGTCATGCTGTCTAAACTTACTTGCTTGACTCAGTGTTTCAATTCTATTGCTGTCTAAATATTATGTTCATTGTGTGCAGGGCCTGTGACAATGCGGGAGAAAAAAGGCGGTGCTCTCAGCAGAGTACAAAAATTAAAGAAACGCCTCAGTCACAGTTTCGGGCGACTTTGTAAGTATTTTATGCCAAAATGTTATGTGTAATGTGCAAAAATATATATAAGAAGATATATAAAATATAATACATTGTGAGAGGCTTAAAGTGACCAATATATCATTTATGTTTTCCTTAACATTTTTTTTTAATATTAATAGAGATTGATTTTGCCAAACTAACCATATTATTTTTACAAATAGATTAATACATGAAATATTTTTATGTACTTGATTATTATTGTTACAGATATGCCTTAGTGGAGTATAAAAATCTTCATTGTATAATATTTATTAGTATAATCATTAGTTATTAAATTAAATAATTATTTGCTAGTTAAAAGTAATCATCATAATATCAAAATATTTATTTTGTTAAAGCTATATCAAAAGAAGAGGCTGATGATGCTACAACTAGAAGCCAATTACCGTACAATGGCTATTCTGAGGAGTTCCTAGACCGTTTGGAGCCAAATGGCAATATTCCTGCGGACAAAGATCGCCGTTATGGTGAGTTTATTAAAAGAATAAGCTCTCAAATATATGATATTATAATATCTGATAATAATTACATTATAATATCTGATATTATTCTTTATAAGTATGTAAATATATCTCTGAATCTTTTATATATAAATAAAATGAGAACGAAAAGTTAATTTCGTGTGTAATAACAAAAGGAAACTTTTTGGAAATCATGGGAAATTATTTGGTTAATTTCTGTAAAATAGTTATTTCTTATAATTATTCAAACACGTAGATAACATTGGGAAATGCGTGTGTTACATAAAATAACTTTTACAAATAGGGTATCCATATACTGCAAAATTTTCACATTAATATCGTTGACCCAGCGTGTATTTTCTAGTGCTATTATTTTAAGAATGTTCTAAGGACAGAAATTGGATGTCACAGAATGGACAGGCGTGGGCGATCACGAAAGAGTGCACCGGCAGCTTTCCGTTTCTAGCGATTCTAAGCTTCTCGACGACGACATACGGGAAGAAGCGAGAGTAATCCTACGACCCCGACGTCCGCCGCGACCCAAATCTGAGGTTTTCCTCGGCCCAGACCCACCTCCTAGAAGAACTAAACGATTCTCTGCCTTTGGGGTAATAATAACATTACATTTGTCGCGCGCGTTCCGACGTTATTGAAAATATATATCTCTGATTTATTTTGTTTCTCTTACAGGGAGATTCGCCGTTCGGTAAATCCGAAGCTTACATAAAATTAGAGCAGTTAGGAGAGGGATCATATGCCACAGTGTTCAAAGGCTACAGCCACCTTACCAATCAGGTGGTGGCTCTTAAAGAAATTAGACTGCAAGAGGAGGAGGGAGCTCCTTTTACTGCCATTCGCGAGGCGAGTCTTCTCAAAGAGCTGAAACACAGCAATATCGTGACTCTGCACGATATCATTCATACACGCGAGACACTCACTTTCGTATTCGAGTATGTTCACACCGACTTATCGCAATACATGGAGAGGTACGGGAGCGGCAACGGTGGGCTGGATACACGTAACGTGAAATTGTTTCTCTTTCAACTGTTACGAGGACTGGCGTACTGTCATCGCAGGTAATTACCGAGTAATGTGCCGATATATCGCAATATCTCGCGATGTCCCGTCCCGTGATGTATGTGACTAATGTGTGTTAATACATCTAGGAGAGTACTGCACAGAGATGTAAAGCCACAGAATTTGTTAATCAGCGAAATAGGAGAACTTAAATTGGCAGACTTTGGGCTAGCAAGGGCCAAATCCGTGCCATCGCATACATACTCACACGAAGTCGTGACCTTATGGTATAGACCGCCCGACGTTCTTTTAGGTTCTACAGAGTACTCCACCTCGCTCGACATGTGGGGAGTAGGTTGCATATTTGTGGAAATGTTAACTGGCGAACCAACATTCCCAGGTGTACGTTGTACGTACAACCAACTCGATAAGATATTTAGCGTCTTGGGCACACCTACCGAAGAGACTTGGCCCGGTGTCACGCATCTGCCTGGATACAAGGCACACAGACTGTTATTTTATCCGCCGCGGAAGCTAGGTCTCTCGTTCCCACGGTTATACGATATCGCCGAAGGTGACAGTATGGCGTCGTCGCTCCTACAACTGAATCCTGATCAGCGGATAGGAGCGGAAGAAGCTTTACGACATCCCTACTTTGCCTCTCTTCCTAGGAAATTATATGAATTACCTGACGGTGAGATTTATTCGCACGAAATTCCCTTTTGCACAGAAAATGCTGCTTGCAGGACGATATATCTCACGTGCCTATTCGTTTTTTTTTTTTTATTCTCTGTTGCAGAAGTGTCGATATTCAGCGTAGAAGGTTGTCATTTGTACACAAACTCGAGGCACGGGTGCGCAGACTCTTGTCACAAGACTCTTAAGACTTGAGGTTAAAGTAAACGTTAAAAGGAGTAACTAATAAGTAAATTCGCAATTTACACGTTGAGTGATGAAACGTTCGTTTTCATGAGATCCATATATTCACACGTACACATACAAAAACAGACAACAGACATGCAACACACACATTCACACTTACACAGGCGCACATGCACTATTCCCAGGCGCGTTGTTCGCTCTCTCTCAGGGCTGCTCCATGATTTCCCGCTGTTCTCTTCTTTTTACATGTATAGAAACTCGATGTAATGCTATCTCTTGGCTACTTATCGTTCGTGTATATTTTCACTAATTAGATTCATGCTTCGTCTATGTATCGGAATAGAGCAGCTTGCTGACGTGCAAGTAAAAAAACTAAGTAGTCGCTTGCGAACATCTGCTCTGTCGGTTCTGTGTGTGCAAGTAGCACTTGACATTGACTTGATGTAGTGCCATCTTCTTTATTTTAACAAGTATCTGTCTTATATATAGACGGGACACACAAACGGTATCATTGGTTAAGTTTAAGAGACAGCATAGTTGTATTTTTTCAACGCAATTAATCATTTTTTTCCATTTTTTATTATTTCGTTTGTAGCGATATTTTTAAGTATTAGCACATTTTTTCATAACCAATCCCAAACTTGGGAATAGAGAATGATAAATTTGCTGAAGATAATTGTCTAATAAGATAGTAGATTTCTTGTAATTTAAAAATGCTCTAGAGAGATTCAGCATGAAATTAGATACTCTAATTGGTCGATTTATTCATGGTGCCACTTTTTGAGAATCTCTTTTTGCAAACTGAGAATTTGTTACCCTTACGATTCATACTCGCGAGTCTGGCATTACATCGAGCTTCCGCTGTAATAGCGATATTCTCTTTCTTTTTACTTTTTCTTTCCGAGGATAATACGTATCGTATATAAATTAATTAACAAAAGTAAATCGTAAAACTGGTCAAGGAAAAACAAGAAAGTAAAAAGCTTACGGCTAAAAGTAAGAAGAAAAAAAATGAAAAAAAGATTGTAAGGATTTCGCACGCTCGATTTAGGAAGCAAAAGCACGCACGACCCATCCTCGCACTTCGTCCAAATACTAGATTTAGATCGAATACCAATCAAAAGAGGAAGAAAGAAAGAGAAAGGAAGTACCATACCGCCGCCCCATGCCTCCCGATCCTAGCCCAAGCCAAGTGGGGCGAAGCGGTTGCAGGTTAGCAAAACTATTACTACGAAGTAATTACTACTATCTTAGAAAAATTGTGGAAGACCTGTAGCACTCTATATAAACAAATTGTTACCGCTGTCTCGAGCACGATGTTGGTCGCTAGGACAGTTGATAGAATATTGATAGATCAAATAGGGAAGCGTTGTTTGAATTAAATTAATTGTTAGATGCGTATGTAAAGCACGACGATAGCGGATAGGTAGGCGAGAAACTTAGGGGAGAATGAGTCAGCGTCATTCAGTATTAGTGTCAAGTGTCCGTAGCTGCCGACATCGCGATACGCAGCGAGAAAAAACTAACTGAAAGCTCATCGTTGATAGTACCGATGGTAGTGATTTAGACGTAAGTGATTAGATATTAGCTCGTATTTAATATCGATCGAAGTTTATCGACAACGTCGCGAAACGTAGCATAATTGATAGCGAATCGAGAGGAAAAACAAAGAAAGAAAGGGAAAGAAACGAGATAGCGATTCTAGACTCGTCGAAATTTCATTTGTTCAATTCGCTGTTAATTATTATCGACAGCCAAATGGTGCTCGACATCGTAAACTGTGACGGTTTAGGTCGATTCGTACTCGTGATGTAGAGAATAATCATTTAACGAGTATCCGTTCGATTTTCTAAAACTTGATAAAAATAGCGTTGGCAATAGTAGAAATAGGAGAAAAAAACGCGAGAACAACGGCGTTACAGTTCTTCCAAATTTTGTCTAAGCTACGATGGACTATTGCGATAATATTACTCCTTTTCGTAGGTTTACATTTATACCGATTTTTCAGCACATTTATTAAAACAAAAAAAAATTTAAATATATATCAACGAGGTGAAAGTGAGAGAGAGAAAGAGAGAGAGAGAGTGAGAAAGAAAGGAAGAGAAAGAGAGAGGGAAGAAGAAATTTTGAAAAGATTTGAGATACGTTATTACTATTAATATTATCAATTATTGTTTTATTTCGAAAGGAAAGAAGAAGACGCGCGCGCGCGCACAGTCGGTAAATTGTACATAGAATTAGCAGGTTCGTATTATCGATGATGCTAAAATAGCTGATGCGAGATAATAAATGTGACTTTGTAATAAATTCAAACGTATGGTACTCTGGACCCCGTTCATCTCCGTGCAACCCGGCAGTGGTATTACAGAGCTGGGCGTAATATCCTAAAAGCTGCTCTTTACAAATTAAAATTGTACGAACGATGATTACACATTGTAGAACTACACAACTTCCTGAAACAATGTTAAACCTTAGAGATTTGCATTTTCGATATAAATTTAAAGATTCGTTTTTATTACAAAAGAAAGAGCGCAAATAAGAGCTATGATCAATGATATTTCTTACAACGAAAGCCAAAATTTCAGAATATATAGTACTGTTAGCATAGAAAATTTCGTTTTCATTATTCACGAGATGAGAATTTTTACTTGCTTATTTAGTTTCTGTGGAATATAGTATTGTTAAGAAGTTTCATTTTCCTTTAATGTAAATAGATGTGTAATAGTTTTATCACATTGAATTTACCCGCATATCTAATATCGATTTAACGCGAAATATATCGTATAGCATTATTAAAAATATATTTCTCACGCTATTTTGATGCAGCTCGCATTATCGTTTGTATAAAGTTAAGTTTAAGAGTTTTACGTGTTCAGTAAGATTCTTCGCATTTTTTTATTCTGCCATTTTATGAAGAATGAGCGCATTTATAGCGTAAATTAAATACGATAATAAATGATAATCATAAGTGTTAGGTTCTATATTTATAAAAAAAATGTTCGTAGATCTATTATTGTTTAGACACGAAATGGTACTAAAGTCTTTTGTCTCTCATGTTATACCGGTTATTCAAAGCTAATGGCGCTTGTCTGTTTTGGATTTTATGACGAAATGCGAAAAATATACTCAAAGAACAATTATATTTAAAATGCAGGAAGTGAATTTTAATTTGGCTCTTAAAGTGAGAAAAGATAAAATCGTATTTTGTACTATAAATATTGTAATTTGCATTGTACATATATAAGAGCATTTCTATCTTTCGTACAGGAATGTATGTATACGTTGGTGTGTATTGGATGTATGTGTGTATGTATCTGAGATGTTACACATCTCTAGTTCTGGTGATATAATGAAATCTTTTTGATTTCATGTCGGACGCATTTATCTCTTTCTTTTTTCTTTAGGACTTTTTTTGTCTTTATTTTTTGTCGATGGATATCTAATAAAAGTGTAGAAAGAAAGTTTTTTTCTTTTTTTTTTTTCAAAATGAGCATTGATTTTCGGATAAAATGGAAAAATACCAGAAATTCATACAGATTCTAGAAATCTCATCGCTTCTCATCACTTCTCATCTAATGAACAAATTTACACCGGCATCCATACCACTGCCGAGTTCAGCGTTTACCATACAGACGACGTTTCGTTCACTTTTGTAGGATTGTAAAAGAAAATTGTAATTTTAACACATGTACTTACGTTGTGCCTAGGTGTGTCTCGATTTTGTACGCGCGTTACGTCCAATCTAATTGTAAATTTTATTTGTATAAACTTTTTATACGAAAGAATCGCCGATATATCCAAGCCGCTGCGGAATTGTTTAACAGGAGGGTTAGGGGAGAAGAAATTACGAGAGAGAATTCTGTTTTCACACGTACACCTTGCGTTCGAAAGTGATTTTTCGACACCTCACGTTGTTGCGAACATGTGGTATTGCATATGTCCGACGTTTAGATCGATTGATCGATTCCGGGTTCATCAAGTGCCCTGGAAGCATTAAGTTGAACGTATTGTGCCTGTGCTACAAATATTTGAAATAATAAAGATACAACTCGCTATTAATCGTTCGATTCAACATCAAATGTGCATTGGTTCTCATAATGCGAAACGCACGTCATCACTATTGTCGATCAGTCAAGACTGAGCAATGTTTAGAAACAATTGAAAATGAGTATTCTCTTTGTTTTCACATTATTTTGTATTTTGCATGATTGAAGAGAAGTTCAAAGTAATTTTCTCTTCGTTCGGGATATATTTATTGGAAGCTTTTTTTTATTTTTGTACATAACATGCAAAACAATGATTATAATGTCAAGATACAAAATAGATTAAACTTTTCTGCAAAATTCGTTACTTGTTTGCGTGCAGAAATGCTCTTCCTAAATTTACAATTGCGCAAACGTTATTTAGAATTTGCAAAATGTGGAAAAACTTAGATTTTATTGTCGTAAGACAATCTCTCTATTAAATTTGCGTTACTTCTTTGACACTTGAAATTTCATCATTTCAATTTTGACAAAATCGACGTGAAGTTGAAAGGATGAGATAAAACTGCAATTTTTACTTTTACGTAATTCTCACCGCAGATTCAAGTGTTACAAAGTTTTTTTACAAACCAAACTAATACGAACTTAACACGTTTTTTAATTTTAAATAAATACCAAAGTTATATAGTTTGCGCAGACGCAGTGGCCCACATCGGGATGTATCGCGTGAAGTTGCATCATCGACCGCAGTGTTTGATATCGAAAAGTTCCAGAACGCGTTCGGCGTCCAATGAGGGAGCCAATTTACCGCACATCTTCCGACGAACGGACGCTCCTATTGGATATCGAACGTTCTCTCGAAATCTATCGAAGCGAGAGTATCGCAGTCGTTTCGTCCGCGATTGTAACGTCAGACATCGGACGTGAGCCTTTTGCAACGTGAAATCTCGTCGTGTGCATGCCGTGCCACCAATTACATTTGTGCGCGTTCGTCATGGCTGGCGAGGGATGAATCAGTCGGCTTTGAGCGTCGTGAAATATCGTCGTGTATGCGCGCGTCAGTACTCGCTAGCGAGGCGTATTACGCGTACGCACGATCGCACGACAATGGAGTAAATGTTTATGTTTAGGAGCAGCGCAGCTTTGTGGTACAAGGATCGATGCACGCCGCTGCCAATCGTCGCGACACGCACCGCTTCGCGCGTGGAACATGTTCAGGAACGTTTCCCACACTCCGTATTTAATCAGTGTCACTTGATACAATCACGGTGAGACGCGTGGAGCATTGAGACGGCCTCGACGAATTCTCCTGCAGGTGAGTGCATTCTTACTCGCACTCGAGAACGCAAGCACGCTTGCTCTTCTCTCCCTTTTTTCTCGGGTGTTAAGCACATTCTATAATCTCGCCGAGAATATCTAGAGGATAGATGAGATCGATTTTTCGCTTCGATACACACGACAGTTTCCCGATCCACGGAGTATTATTTTTTCTCTGTGCGATGATTCACGTACCTTTCTTGCTTCGCCACAGTGCCCGGTGATTCATTCTCGTTCCTCTATCTCCCTGTCTCTTCCTCCTGTCTCTCTCCTTCTCATTCTCATGCCGGATTTATGGGGAATGGATATAAGGAAAAATTGCTTTGACGAGACTTGAGCTCACGTAGCGCGCGACCTAGTCGCTCTCGATCACCCGAACGAGAGAATCACTTCGGTTCCGCGATCGCCGTGATCTGATATCGTAAATCAGGCCGTTGTCCCTCACGTTGGAGGATCGTCTGAAACTCGCGCGTCTTTATTCCCGTAAACAAACAAAGAGCACGCAAAGATAATACGATAGAATTCATTTGAGTCTTTTGTGCCTTAATAGTAGCGCAAGTTACCGTCAATTTTGCATTATTAAGCGCCACTGTTCTTTTTACTAAGAAACGATTTCTTACTACTAACACTTCCTCCTCGTTTGCTCCTGTGAATCAGGTATGAATAAGTATGAATAGGTATGAATAGGTATAATATAATGACAAGATCTTCTGGTTACATATACTTACTACGTCAACAATGATAAAGTTACTCAATAGAATATTTCTTTTTATAACTAATTATTTTTTCAAAATTGCACAATGTTCTTTATAAATAAATAGTTATTAACTCATTTATTAGATATTTAGAAAAATATATATCATTCGATAGATAGCTATAATTATTCATCAGGAGGATCCTTGAAGATGTTTAGGATATCTTAAGATAAAAAAAATATACATAATATAAGTAAATGTATATACATACATGTATGTATATACATTTTTTATTTATATATTTATAATCTTTTCAGGCTTGCACAAATATCATGGGTCGTTATACAGGCAAAAAATGTCGTCTGTTAACAATGTTATGGCTGACAGCTTTGTTCTTCTTAGTGGAAATAGTAGTGGGTTATGTGACCAATTCGATGGCATTAATAGCAGACAGTTTCCATATGTTATCAGATGTGGCTGCTTTAGTAGTAGCATTTCTCTCTGTAAAGGTAAGCTCCAAAATTGTTGTCTGATCTTGTCAAACTTTATTTTTTGATATTTCATTGCAATAATGTTAAATCTGTATGTTTTAAATATTTCATTTTTGTATTACAGATGTCACCAAAAAAGTGGTCAAAAAATACTTTTGGCTGGGCTAGAGCAGAAGTATTAGGAGCATTAGTAAATGCTGTCTTTTTAGTTGCTCTGTGTTTTAGTATTACTGTGGAGGCATGTAAAAGATTTATTGAGGTAGAAGAAATACATGAAGCCAAACTTCTCGTGGCAGTTGGAGCTCTTGGTTTATTGGTGAATGTGATAGGCTTATGTTTATTCCGTGGTAAGTATTGTTGCTTGTATTGTACAATAAATTTGATTTGTTTTTAACAAGCTCTGGAAAAGTTTCATACTTATGAATATGAAATATATTTGGAGGCACTCAAAGAAGTGTGATATGTATTCTTCTTGTTTTATAAATACTGTCAAAGATTATTATAATTCAAACATTTTAGATAAAGAATCACATAATAAATATTTATTATTTATATATTTTAAATGCGTATTAAAAGTTTGAAATATTATCAAAAATTGCTGTTATTGTCTAGCATTGTTAGACATACCATTTGATAGACAATACTAATTGTGTGAATAATAATTTGATAGAAAATACTATTTAAAATATTTTGTTAATATCTTATATATTGACTACTTATAAATATATCGAATATCTTAACATATGTCATAATCACAAAAGAAGATATTATGTACTATTTACAAGTACTGTTAATTGTACATATAAATTTCTTTGTCTAACAACTTCATGATGTTATCTTGTTATTGATGTTCAAGAGGTTTTGTCTTGAATCAAGATAAAGAAGAAATGATTATTGAGTGTGTATTTTTATATGTATATGTACATATATACGTATACATGTGTATATCCAATACAGAATAAAAGTATTGACACAGCAGAATTTGAAATACGAAACTGCTGCAGATATATGATAAGGAACAAAAAAATAAAAATGTTTATAATACAGATGCTGTGATGAATTTATATTCAAAAATCACAAAGTGATATATTACATTTATAACACTTGACTAATCTCATATTATAAATTTCCTTTTAATTGATAAAATAGATTAATCTTATCTGTTAAGTAAGACATAGCTTTACTAACGTGTGTGTGTGTGTGTGTGTGTATATATATATATATATATATATGGATATGTTTGATCAAGAGAGACAAAAAGTTAGTTCTAGTGTGCGTGTGTGTGTACGATTGTATTTTGTACAAACAAGAGAGGAAATAGGTTTACTGGTGCAAATACATTTATATCTATTAGAAGTATTTTGTGTTTATATTATCTAACAAGGCTATAGCAGCTTTTTGCTTGCTGTTAATTAGTGAAACTGCCTTATTTGATAGATAAGATTAATCAATTTTACCGATACAAACTGCAAATATTTATACTATTCAATGTAATTGCAGAACATGGAAGTGCTCATGGTCACTCGCACGGTATATCTCGAAGTCATAATAGACTGAGCACTCTAGTAGGTACAGATGATAATGAGAACGATGAAGCTTACAGACCCTCGACACCTCAAGTGAAGAAAGCGCACGGTCATAGCCATGATGCAAGTCAAATGAATATGCGAGGTGTTTTCTTGCATGTGCTTTCTGATGCATTAGGGTCTGTTATTGTGATTGTGTCTGCCTTGATTGTATGGCTCACAAAATGGCAATACAGGTGATTACACATAATAAATACTCTATTACGTATATCTTATATAAATATTTTATCTTAACATATTTTTTTGAATATTTGATTAGTAACATAAAATCGAGATATCGTTGATAAGTTTATTGACAAGTTCATTGACAAGTTTGATTTAAATAATAAGAAAATATTTTACAAATAGAAAATTCTCAATGTAAAATTAACATTTCTCAATGCGTACTTATAACTATACTAAATATAAAAAAAAAATATTCTAAAAAAAATTTTTTTTTTTTTTTCAAAATATGAAAATATTAAAACTATTTCTTTTTAACAATCCACAGTACTCTATATCTCAGAGGATTTTATTAAATCATAATATATTAAAAATGATTATCGTTTAAATATATAATTTCAAATTCTGTTATTTTTATAGATTCTACATTGATCCCGCACTATCACTATTATTAGTCATTCTGATTCTACATTCAGTATGGCCATTACTCCAAGAATCAGCTTTAATTTTACTGCAGACTGTGCCAACACATATTCAGGTAATTTATTAATTTCAGTGCAATTTGTGCTAGTGAACAAAATTTTGTTATAAACTGAATAGAGTATACAGATCGTTTTAATTTGTACATCTTGCTATACAGGTCGATGCTATACAGCAACGTTTGTTAGAAAATGTAGACGGAGTATTAGCCGTACATGAGTTCCATGTGTGGCAGTTAGCGGGTGATCGTATTATAGCTAGTGCGCACATAAGGTGTAGAAATCTTTCCGAATATATGAAAATCGCCGAGCAAGTTAAAGAGTTTTTCCACAATGAGGGTATACATTCTACAACTATTCAGCCGGAATTTATTGACGTGAGTAGAATAATACAAGTGTAATACAAGCAATATACATATAACAGTACAAGAATATTGTGCACAAGATATTAATAAATCAATATTTGTTATATGTGGAGTAAAGGGTAATTATTAATATTTATTTTACTGTATTTCAGTATCATTCTAATAGCGAAATTAAAGAAACTCCCTCGGAAGATTGCGTATTGGATTGCCCAAAGACTGATAAGCCTTGTAATCAAGCGACATGTTGCGGTCCTTCAAAACAAGTGAGTGCCGTAATTTATTTCCGTATCGTTCATATCTCGAAATACTATATTCCTCGATTCTTTAGTCTAATGCGGAGACAGATAGAAATTCCCGATCTTTGTCCCTGTCAAAATACTTCAGCCGATGTTTAGAAGGCATAAAATCAGAATCGAGTACGACTATAGGTGAAAGTTGCGACTACTCGTCTACTATATCCGGAAGCATAAATTCCGTATTTCATCCAAGTAGTTGAAAGTACAGTTATATACATTTTCTGCAAAATAAAAATCTTTTATAAGATAAAGTTTCATTCATACTTGATACGTAATTCGTACGTTGGTATCACACTTGAATTATTCAAAAAATCGACGTCCTATTTTACTCAGATTCATATTCTTTGAGTGTACTCTGACTGTACGAATTTCTCCCAATTGATTTATAAACATAAGAGGATGACGTAATTAATAATACTTTATTATTAATGTATTATTAATGTATTTTTATATTTGTGGAAAAGAAAACTAGAAAACTAACAAACATTCGTTAGTATATTTGATACATGTATATATAACTCGCGTATTATAAAATTAATCTATTTTTTTGCTCCGTTCTATCCGCTAATCTTATATCGATGAAGCTTACAAATATAATATTCATGGATGTTAATTTATTCGACACAGGGTCGTGAAACTCCGTCACCTGGAGAAACGCCGTACATGTGCAGACAACGTAATAGCCTGGCACGTTCAACTGGCTCTATAGGAGGCGTAGAACAACAAGAAGTAAATGAAATGGAACGCGGACATTTGCTGTCACTGCCCACTTCGCATCACTCCGTCCAACTTCCTCACCCTCACGTTAACACACCAACTGTCTGAGTTCTCATTGCATTATCAGATATCTACCTCCATAGCAAAATACGCGGCGCGTCACGATTTATTGTACAAATGCAATAAATGAGTATATCTACATAAAGTTCATTAATATTGCAGTTAATGGCAGAAGTTAAGCCACATATTTACAATCAAGTTTTTACTTATAGAGATGCGTATAATTAAGATATTTGATAATTAAATGCCAAAGGCATGTTAATACCAAATATATCGTGTTAGATAATGTTTTAATATAATAAGAATATTTGTTTTTGGACGTATTCTTTAGAAATAACAAAGCTTCGGATATTCAATGCATAATTTACAATGCAGAAATTATTTTTCTAATTTAAAACTGTAAATTGTGTTCAATAATTAGAAAAATGGTTTTTGTTTAAATCTCATATATTGGTCAATATTATAGTACGGACGCTACTTTGAGTTTTATTTATATGTACTTTTTTATCGATTAGTTTATACTGGGTAGTTTTTAACAAGGTAATATATAACTCTATAAGCGAGAGTACCAAATCTCTTCAGTATACTTATCTATATATGCTTTTCTCCGTATATAATTCTCAAATGTTAAGTATGTATATTTTTTATGTATTTCTAGTAAGCTTGACCAATTACAGAAGAGTATTGCAAAAAGCGAATGTATGAATTGTTTAAGCGTTCTACATGTAATGACCATAACATTTATAATTTCAGAAACCAAAAAATGGCCCTTAAAACTAACAGTCACGATAAGATACGAACATTTTTTTCCTGTGGATTTGTCTCAAAAATTTTTTTCCATTACGTAAACTTAAAGTGATGACGCTACAAAAGATCAAATATCAACAAAAATAAATTATTTTATCGCATAGTATCTATCTTTCTGTTTTCCTTCGGAAGACTAATAATTATACCGATTAAGTAGCCCACCTCTTCTCACTTTTTATTGTCTAATAAAATATTTGACTTTGTATGGCTCGTCGTTTCCTTTTTCTTTGATACAAATTGATACTATAATGATTATAAATTCTAATGTAATAGTAATAGCACATAGGAAGAAAAGAATATAAATTCACACCAATATTTGCATTACTATATATAGTTATCTATTTATAATACTATGTATTAAATACTCTATTCTACACAATGAGAATACACAAGAATAATCTCACATCCGATGAATACAAAATTTATATCTAACAAAAGCTATAAAATAAGTGGCATGGCATCAGATCGTCATTTCGCGGCTTTTACGTCATTTGTTGCATAATCCAAGAAAGGAAGTTGAATACGTTGGTGTAAACACCAGGTATTCCCGCACTCGCGCAGCCAATACCCCACGTCACTAAACCGACGATTTGGAACGGTCCGTTATTTGTCGAACATACCAGCGGTGAACCTCCGTCGCCCTTTAAAAAGAATTCACATTGACTCTTGCTGCAGCCTCGTAATTAACGAATAAACGCTAAATTGAATATAAACGACCCGACGTTCCCGATTTAAATTTAGCATGCTTGTATTTATAAGACACGCATTGTATATCGTATTCTCTTACAGTGCATGCATCTTTGCCCGCTTCCCCGCCGGCGCAGATGAAACTATTATCCAGAACGAAGAATTGACCAAGTCTCGTGCTTCGAAGAGCAGCTTGGCAATTCGCTTGACTCATCATGGGAACATCTACCTCTTTCAAAATGCTCTGGTACTTTCCGTTAGGTCCAAAGGCATCTTTTCCCCATCCCGATACCCAACATCTGAAAGATATCACCATCCTTTTAATGGCAGTCTCGGAGTTCGTTTATCGGAACCTTGTTACAAAATTGGAGTAAAATTCAAATATCTTGGCATTCATTAAGTGTTCAGAGATATAAAATCGTAGCGAGTATAAAAATCATGCGATCAAAATCGCATAAAACAAATATAAATAACAATTGCGTTTGTGGGTGAATTTTAATGTTTTAAGATTCAAACGGTGAGAATTACAAGCGATCATAAACATTTGCATCTTCTCTGAATACAGAGTGCGTTAATTGTGTGAACGTACCTCGTTCCTGCGGCAGGCGCAGCAGACGGTAGACAAGCGGTGTTAATGTTGGGACTAGTTGCAATCGGAGCGGCTGAACTTAACTTAAGCACCGCTACATCGTTTTGCAGGTTTTGTGAATTATACTGAGGATGCAAGGTAACTCTCGATACGGAAATGTCTACGTACGGGTCGGGTTCCGAGGTGGATTGAGCGTCCCACTCACCTAGTCTTGCTTTGATACCGCCGTTTCTGCAACACCGTTTCGATGAACTGTAAACTTGTACTTCTTTAAGATTGCCGGATTAAAATATGTCTATTCACATCTTGAAGGAGAACAAGCAAATGTTCATTTCTTTCAAGATAGAGCTGTATATGATGTTAACAATAAAATCATCTATCTGACAAACCCTTCGTGAATCTATTAGAAACAAAAGAAATATCTTTAGAAGATAAAATCTATTTGGAATATCTAGCAAGATGATTTTATGAAACATTCTTTCAGTATAATGCTTACACATAATTGGCGACTTTATGGGCGACGGTAAGGACATGCGTCGAACTGATCAGCACTCCGCCTCCGATGTAGGTGTTATTGTTATTGGTTAAAATGGCTACTTGCCATGGGTATGCACCATACGCAGCTTGTCCCACCGGATGCGACGAAAGTGCGACTTTTCGGATACCGCAGGATCCACTATTATCAGGTGTACAACAAAATACATATCCAGTGGAGCAAACATTTCCCTAAAAAAAGTTATTGTTAATATGATAATAATGATGTATTTTTATGACAAGATAGATCGAATAACTCGATAGATCGATCATTGTAGCATTTACTTTCGGACCAGCCTAATAACAATGACAAAAAGGATAATAGAAATTATGTGTTATAAACTTTTTTACAACATTGTAACACATGATATATCTTAAAAGTATGAATTGTAAAGACGAATTTTTCCATGTCCTTATAGAATGAATTAGAATTTCTTTCTTTTAGAATTTCTTCAAGTGTATTTTAACTTTTGGTCAATTACAAACAAAATTCTACTACCGTATTGACGATTCTGATGTCGATGTCACCAGGACTGCTGGGACAGGTGCTTCCAGGGATACACATGCATTGCTGGTTCGCGGAAGTAGCTAGAAAAGAATGATAATGAGATATCTCGAAACGTTAACAAAATAATTCACAAACTGAATGAAATGAGCCGCGTTATTAATTTTGTCTCTTTTTACATGTAAATGTGATTTCTGTATCAAATAACTGTTATATCTCTTGCCGTTAATGTGTTATGTCATCTCATAACAATGACATATATACTTAATGCAAAACATGTACTTGTTGCCATTGTAGTAGTCGTAGTAGAACTAGTCGTAGAACCAAAAACGATACCGTCCGTTTGTGGGAAGGCGTAACTTCGCTGCAACAGCTGGCACAGTGGCAGCAAGTACAGCAAGGCTCTATTGTTCATCTCGAAGATGATCCACCGAAAATCCAACGAGGAATGAGCTGTGGTAAACGAGACGCTACCGACATCCAAATAAACCGTACACGGAGCGAGTGTGGGTTTTTACGCATATATATATATAATCATAAATGCATTGATACGCTGCGATGCGACAGAGCGCTTCCGTTGCTCGTATCTTTAGGAGGAATGTATTAGTTCGCGTATCCTGCCGGATAGGAATATAATGGCATGACCTTTCACGGAACGTTAAAACGCGGTTCTCAGTAACGATACTATGCTCGTGTCGCCGCTGTGGCGGTGTTATGAACGGTAGCTAACACGTGTGAAATATCTGGCGTAATATGAACAAAAAGAAAAAAAAAAGAGAATAAAATCGCTTCCGATAATCATAATTGCGCGCATATGTGTGTGCGATAAACCGCAGCACGTGTATTCAGCAGCGCTGGTATTCCCCAGATTGAAATAGCCGCGTGCGCTCAACCGGCATGGAGAAGGAACAAGGTCGTCCCTGTCTCATCGGCAAATACGCGGCGAAGGTCAATAAACAGGACTCACCGGTGCGAGCAGAGATCACGCATCACGCATCGCTGATTTTATTCAGCGTATTCAACATTATGTATCGAAATCCGTTAAGGAGCGTCGATCATCCCGCAAGTAGTAAAATGCTAAATCCTTTCTGTAGATGTACCTGACTCGTACTCGTACACTGACTGAAAAGCGAGATTACATAAACGAGATGCGGATTGAGGAAAAAACTTCAGTGAACAACTCATCCAGGAAACCTCCTATCGAAACATTCGTAATACGTCGGTCGCAGAAATTCTGAATGTGATGTTGATTAACAAGTTGACAGGAAGGAGCAACGTGCCGCATGAGAGGAGAAGTCATTGTTTCTTACTTATACCCTTCACATAATTTATTTCTAAAAATTAAAAATTAAAAATAATAATAGTAAACAATAATATGTAACTCTTTCCCTTTTAAAAGGTATAATACAGACAAAAGTATAAAAATATTACATTATTTCATGTACATATTATCTCTGCAATTATTTGTATATTAGGAATGTTCAAATTGTTATATTCTTTGCAATCATGCATTTTTTTTGGAATCATGTAGCATGTCCCAAATATACTAAGTTCACCTACCGTACGATGACTTACGATGTATAAAAATACATACTGTTAATATATTCTAAGTTTCTCTTAAGAGAATTCATCAATAAATTAGTAAGAGGCACAGAGGCAGATATCCTATCAAGCAATATGTTTATTTTAGCACGGCCATATTTCTCATAAAATGGCGACTTTAAAATATACAGCAGCAAATTTATCTTTCGACTTATCAGTTCTATATTCTCCTCTTTGCTTAACACTGTATTCCGAGAACAGTGAGAAAAAGTGTATAAACTGTACAAAAAGAATATTAATTTAGTTATTTACAAAAGATCACCTGCAACTTATTAATTGCAAATAATATACCACACTTACCTAGTTATATCAACAAGAAGCGATAACATCCACGGTTGCCAGTGCTGTTGACTGGTAGCAGATATACATCCAAGATAAATCAATGGCTTCATTACATAAAGACTCTGGAAAATATAAATTTTGTGCTAAATTTTCAATTGAATTACAAGATTTTGGTTCTTCTTCTGTATCAAGACACTAATTATAAATATCCAATTGTATGTAAAATATACTGTATAATATGATTCAACCAACCTCAGCCAACTTGAGACTTATATCAGACCACTGATTTTTACTAAGATTTTGATTTTCATCTGCATCACAAGGTAGAGCTTTCCAAGTCCGTAACTGTATAGGTTCCGCATATTTTATAGCTCTAACAACAACACCAGATCTTTTTAATTTAAATCCTTCTTTCAATTGTAAGTTACCAGTAGCTTTATTAAAGAATTTCCTGTTAAGTGGTGGTACTGAAGGATTCTTTGTTATACGTTCTTTACATACATAAATCAATAAAAGCCGCAATAGTGTTCTATAAAAGAGAAAAGGATTACTTATATAAAACACTATAAAAATTTAATATTATATATGTGTGTATATATATATATAAATGCATTATATTGTAGAAGACATTAAACACATACTTGGTAAACTGTACAACTGCAATAATTAACCACCTGCCTATTTCTCCCCCCAACTTCTTGCCTGTTGCCTCTAGCAGTGTCTGTGTATATTCCAATACAGTTAACAAAATTTTAATTTTTGATTCATACTGTGGTATCTTTGGGTGCAAGTTATTACTATGATACATAAGCATATCATTAGATAACATAATCAAGTTTGGCATGGAATAAATTATTTCCAAAGCCAAATTTGAATTGTTGAAATGTCCTGTGAAGAGATTATATGTTTAATATTACATTTGTGTAATAAAGAAAAGTTGTAGTAAAATGCAAGATTAAGACTTTTTTTCTCTAACCAACACTGAAGTAAGACAACCATTTGATTGCAACCTCAACTTCCGATACCAGCTGAGGATTTTCTACAATCCGCTTCTTATAAGCCGCAAATAGTTTGTCAATCTTGACTTTGAGGGAATTTGCCATTGTGCTACAATTATTTTAAACTTTATTTCAAGTGTCACAGTGAACGTACTCAATTCTTATCATGACATCACAGAGAGAAGAACCCTTATACTTTTGTTGGTTATAGTTATTCCTTTTCTAGATGGAGCTGCGCGCACAGATCCTACCATAAACAAAATAATTCACAGACGAGGAGCCCAATAAATTTTCTTGCATCATAAGATTTTGTACTTTTATAATATGTAGTACATTTGTTTCTTTCAGCCATTAATATTAAATCAATTCTTCTTTAGGATCCATTAATTCTTTGAAGTCAATTAATTGTTTAAGACCAATTAATTGTTTGAAATCGTCACTATATCAGCTGAGGATCACTACTCATCAGCTGTTTATTGGCTTTGACGATGAAAGAAACGAAACGCAGCGCCAGTGCATTTCACTGCTGCCAACTTTATTTTCTTTACTGGCAGTAGCCAAAGCTATTTTCGAACGGAAAGGATGTCAATAATGGTACTGTATACGCCATAATTACGCGCTATCAAAGCTGTTCCTTCCGAGGTAGTGCGTCGGTAACGTTAGCATTTGTAAGCTCCGTGAACGATTAAAATGCAGTAAAGTATACATCTGTTACTGTACATGATTGTCAAACGATATTGGCACATTGCATTTAGTATTTGATCGTTACTCTTGTACGTTTTGGACAATTGCGTTTAAATAAATTTTCGGCATGTTAAAACCGAAGGGAGATTTAAACTACGGAAAACGACGCTGTAACGCAGTTCATGCTACGCAGTTGCTGTTTTTGTGGAGCTCCCTATCACTATGCCCTATTGGCTCCACAATCAATTTGGTAGTGTTTGCGTTGTAAAGCTGATAACAACATTCCCAACGTACCATAAAGCGTTCTTTTTAGTAGAGATGATGTCTAGATGAAAAATTTGAATTTGGAATCTATGCACATGATGATTTAAAATTTTGAAGAGATGACTATTAAATATTAATATAAATAATAATATAGATATATATGTATATATCGGATCATGAAAGTAATCTTTTAAGTTTAATTTTTCCCTTTGAAGAAGATGCATACAATTAAGTTATTTGAAAGAACAGAAATATTACACACCATGCTAGCTACTGCGTTATTTCGTTCTTTTTATTTTCTTCTGTACTCGTGTACCCTAATGAATTTCTTCTATCGCGGTTTTTACTTCCGTCCCAGTGTAGTTAAAAACAAATATGCTAACGATAATTTCATTGACACGTCGATTATTGTTCGTTTGGCCATACTGATAATGATAAACAATATCTTCAAGAGTAATATACGCGCACGCGTATGGTGGAACGACGTATCGGAAAATGTATAAATAAGCGGGCTCGCTCGCGAGCGACAGCATTCAGTCTGTCACAGTCGATCGGCTGGTTAGTTGGTTTATTATAACAGACTACTGTTGCTGTTGCTTTTGTTTGCCGGTGTCTTACGAGCAGAAATGTCATCGCCTACCCAAGTGGTAAGAGACGATCGAAATCGTAGTGGTTTTACTTAATGACACGTTTCACCATTTCACCTACTACAGTTTCACCTACATTTTTATCAGTTTCATTCTTTGTTAAACCGAGTCATATCATTTCAACTTCGTCATTGTGGTGAACATACCGTTCCATTCAGGAAAAGTTCCTTCGCTTTATCTTCCATATGAATACACATTCGCGTTATATTTATTTGATGGATGTACAAAAAATAATCGAATTTATTTAAAATTTAAAGGTCGATCTATTTTATATGATAGAACCAATTGAAAATCAAAGAATAATCAATTTACACAAGAATTTTGTACAAACAAAAAATTGTAGATTGTGTATAAAAAAAATATTAAAAAATCAGGTAGCTTATATTTCATATAGAATATTTCAATAGAAAAGAATTGTTAGAATATTTCAATAGAAAGGAATTTTTTCACAAAGAATCTAACTTTTAATAAAAATTTACGATTGCAAATATATTTCTTATGCATGTTTGTATTATATTAATTTTTTATTTTTTGTAGAATCTAAAGAAAACAAAACATTTGATACCATTTCTTTAATTATACATTAAAAAATATTTCAATATTATATACATATAACTTTCAACTTATGTATACATTTTTTTTATAATTATCAATATTAATGCTTAAATTGTCTGTAAATATTACATGAAAAATTTAATTTATATGTTTGTAATTTTTTTTCTTTAAATGCCACATATTTAAATGGTAAATATTTTTTTCAATATTTTAAGTGATTAGATAATTAGATAATGTTAAATAATTAAAATATATTTATTAAGTAGTATCATGCTAAAATGTAAGCATGAATAATGTATAAATTAGTTACAGCAAAATGCAAGGACTTTCGCATTATGTAAATCCTGCTTGAAATTCCTTAAAAAATCCAATCCAATGCAGTTGTTATTGTAATAGTGTGCTATTAGAGAAACCACCAGATTGGCATAAAGTGGCTACTCTATATCAGACTATTGTGCATCCTGACAGTACCAGTGCTAGATAATGTATTATCATGCAACCAGCTGAATTAGATCAGTGATTAAACTTCACTGACTATGAATAGATCTTTTTTACGCATGCACTCTTGTTATTCTCCAGTTTCAAAGATTAAGAACAGCTGGAAATGTAATATTAAGCTTATTGAAAATTTAGATACATTATTTTTTCATATATATTTAAATGTAAAATATACATATATATTTAATATATATTTCATATATATTTAAATGTAAAATATACATATATATCAATCTATTTTTTATATATGTAAATCTATTTTATCATATGCATATATCTTTGTTTTTTGAAAAGAGAAAACTAATATCAATTTGATCAGTTTTTAGTTATATATTATTATAATAATGTACAAATTATATCAAGAACTTTAGTATACTATTAATATATTATTAATATACCTGGTATATTGTTAATATACTATTGACAATAAAAAGTTGCTTGCATAAGAAATATTGTATAAAAGTCTATCTTGACATAAATTTTCTTAAATTCCTAAGAGAGAAGTTATATAAATTTATCTTTGGTAAAATATCTAGAGTTATCTCTAAGTACGAAATAATAAAGGCAAAGATCAGTGATAACTGTGATAATAAACGGTTAATAACAGATGTTTATACAATATCTTTAGATACCATATCTTTTTAAAGATATTTAAATTATGTGTAGATTAATTGTCTTATAGTCTTCAGTTTAAATAATAAAATATATTTTTAAATAGATATATCTTTTTTCTGAGAAATCAGGCATTAAACTTGTTAATATGTGATTAAATTGATATTAATATGCAAGTGAATTCACCTTGTAAATTTCTTGCATATAATTGTTACTTTGCATTCATAAATATTTATTAGTTAATTTCGAGTATTTTTACCACCGCATTTTTACTTGTCAGCATGACTTGTCAACAAGACTATCTGTTATGTTTCAGATAAAATGTATTGGACCAAAATTGGTGCCATTCTTCAAGAGCGTGTCCGTGTACTTTGTATTACTTGCTGAACAGCCATCTGTACTGACGGCTTGTTTAAAATGTTTACCAATAATAAGCCTCATTTTTTTTGTTTTGTTACACGGCATCAGTTTGTCCAAAGAGTAAATAAATACATTTACGTCTACGAATATTAGATAACGATTCTATAAGTACATTAAAACTGTAAATAAAATAAATTAGATCAATTTGATTTCGAATTAATTTTCTGGTTCATCATTACTAACGTAAAATTCGTTTCTTTGCAGATATACTTTTTCCAGACGTATACTGACGGGATTGGTGTTTAGTTGCATGGGTGATGCATTTTTAGTATGGCCTAATTGTTTCAACGCGGGGATGTGTATGTTCGCCGTAGCTCAGATTATGTACATAATTGCATTTGGATTTAAGCCCCTCAACTTAACTCTAGGCGCAGTACTGTACACGTGTTGTTCTATTGGTAAGATTTAACGAGTGTTCGATATTTCTTTCAATGACCAGATATTAATCAATTCCTATCAGTTGTTGATTGATGATATCATTATTTTCTAGTTATATATGCTCTGATGCCCGGATTAAACGGCGTTTTAGCGATAGGAGTACCAATTTATACAGTATTACTTACCACTATGTCATGGAGGGCGATATCACGAGTACAATTCGTTGGGGTAAATTAACATGATAATGTACCCCAACTATAAGAATAATATTTAAATATTTTATCTTGACCACTTTTTATCTTATCTTCTTGTTGGAATGTTATACACTTCTCTGATACTATATATGTTTCGTAATCTACATTCCTGATATAATAATCAGTTCCAATTACTATGTATATACGTGTGCTTAACGGTGTATCATATAGTAGTCAGTCTATTGTATGTATTTATTAATTAATTATCACTTAATACTGTATCAGTTAAATAACATGATATTCCTATTTTTTTTTAGGAATTATGGACATGGACTAAATTATGCAGTTGTATCGGAAGCATTTGTTTTGTGATATCCGACACTTTGCTCGGGTTTCACCACTTCCACACTCCATTACCTTATTCTCAGGTATTAAATGCGTAGTCGCTAGCTTATCATAAATATGTATTCGCTAATTTACGTCAACAGATATAATAATCTTTTATTTTTTGCTTTACAGATATCTATTATGTTGACGTACTACGCGGCGCAATTAGGCATTGCATTAAGCGCGGTAGATTCGAAAAACAACAGTAATAACAGAGTACCTGCTAATAAAGGCTGAAATATCTACATTTAACAGGTGTTATCTATCAGATGGAACAAATACAGAGCAAATACGAAGTGGACTTTTAATCTGTCCGCTTTTAACTATATGCATAATTTTCCTTCAGAAATCGTTGTGATAATGTGTCTTAGACATGTTAAATACTTCATAGCCATATTATCGAAATAAAGAAGCTCAAGAGCGTTTAGAGCGGTGGGATGTACCTTTGACTATAGACAGACTTAGACATACATACATGTATATTTTTTGTATCATTAATATGATACAAAGGTAGAGACTTCATACTAACTATATATTTGTTATTGTGATCCTATTTTTTTGTATTTATAGGAAAATATTTGAAAACAATATTACAGATAAACATAGCAAGAGAATATTTTAATAGGAAAGACCAGAATTAGTTATTTCACAAGAAGTAGTGAAATTAATTTACATATTACATAACGTCAGGCGAACCCTCAATGTTAGAATCAATAAGACAGAAAGATATAAAAAGATAGATTAGAAAGATATAAAAAGATAGATTATAATAACTAGTTCTGATCCACTTGACTCGTAGTCAACATCTTTTGACGCATGTTGATGTGACGTTGGTTTTATCATTATAAGAAGTGTCACAGTGTTATTAGAATTATTTCATGACTGAGGAAGATTCCTTTAAGTGTAAAGAGAAGATATATTAGATCGTTACTCTTAAATATTTGTTACGGATATATAATATTGCATTTAAGATAATAGAAAGATTATAAAATTACAGTTCCCTCGTTTATATATTCAAGCCAAAATACAATAGCCTATACGCGACATATGCTGCGAACAACATACATATGTAATATGTTCTAAGGAAAGATATTCTTGTACACATATGTTACATAAGTGATCTACATTCATTATCTTCGTACGTCAATGTAAATTATCATCTTACGAACCGTTAGTTGTAACATAGCTATAAATACATTTTATCCGTATTATAGAAGGACTATATTGATATATGTTGTGCATTATTGTATATATATCATATTACATGATACAACTTGTATCTTTATTGTAATATGAATCGTTAGCACTGCCATTTTTTTTGGCAAACAAAAATTGAACAATTGCATGTAAAAAATACACACACACACATTTTTTTATACACAGAAACTGAATTATGGTTTACAAGAGATTCAACTGATATGTATAGCCAAATTTTATTTACATTCCTATGTAACAAAATTTATAAATTTCCGTATTATGTTACAATCAAAGCCGAAATCCGACCATTTCTCGAATTGACTAAGCTCTTCATGTTCTAAATGATTTTATTAGACACATCACGAAGGAATACACATCAATAAGGAAAATGGATTTCTCATTCTAACCAGAGGGAGAAAGAGAGAGAGAGAGAGAGAGAGAGAGAGAGAGAGAGAGAGAGAGAGAGAGAGAGAGAGAGAGAGAGAGAGAGAGAGAGAGAGAGAGAGAGAGAGCTATAGAACCATGGAAAGTATATTTGTTGAATATAGGCCAATTCGATCAGCCAAATCTAGGAATTAGTTGTGCTTTGGGCTTTGGCCATAATAAAACAAAGTTTTTTAAAACTTTGAGAAACTGATGTTATGAGAATTAAAATAGTAGTATTTGCTCCCCTTATGCTTGTTTCAGGAATGAATGTCATATATATTCTTATTCCGACTGTGCCATAAAGAGAGATTATTAAAGAAACATTTATATGTATATATATATATATATATTTCAATTGTTGAGTTTATTTTATTACATAGATACAATAAAAACGGTTCTTTAAGTAAACTGGTAAGAAAATAGTTATATAATGTAATCTATATAAGTTTATAGAGATATAAATTTTCTGTATGTTTTAATATAGAACTATTTGTAAATGGAACAACACATTATATTATGTATCCATGAAAAAATATACAATTTTTAAATTGTATGAAGTTTCTTTAACGAGGACACATAGCATGTCTACCTCCATCCACAGGTAATGTTGCACCTGTGATGAAACTAGCATCCTTGCTTGCTAGAAATGCAATAGTCTTCGCAACTTCTTCAGGCTTGCCTACTCTTCCCAAAGCATGTGTCTTTCCACTATGTTCGAAGAAGTTCTTCAGTTGCTCATCATTCATTCCACTGGTATGATGAAGATTCGTCACTATGACACCAGGATTAACAGCATTCACACGTACCTTTAATAAACAATACAAAACATCAAGAGCAATATTTAAAAATAACTTCAAAGATGCAAAAAGATCATAATTTTTTACTTGTTTCCCTGCTAGTTCTAAGGCAACACAGCGTGTTAATTGGTCTACAGCTGATTTGCTCATACAATATGCAAGAATACCTGGGAAAGATTTTATCCCAGTAACACTGGAGACATTGACAATATTGCCTTTAGTTGCAACTAAATAAGGTGTTGCAAGCATTGTTAATTGGTATACAGAACGAACATTTAAATTAAAAATTCTGAAAAGATATTTACTTATTGTAAATTATCTTTATTATATACAATATTGTATCTATTATATGTAGTATTTGACATAGATTTCCAGAAAAAAGTTAAATAATATATATATATTCCATTTATCTCTGCTTTGTAAATTATATAACTACAGATAAGTTAATGCTATCAATATAAGTGCACGCAATAAATAAATACTTAAAGTTACTACTCAGGGCTGTTTCTCAGCAAGGAATTAATGTTATACAAAACCATTCTATTGATTTTATATTATCTAAACAATATTCTAAGATAATATGTGACTAATAGGAATAGTTATGTATAAGATAGTGTTCTTTGCTGGAAAAACATGTATTTAATTACTAAATTTTTATTTATCTATGAATACACACACATTTATTAAACTATTATTATGCATACTTGTCATATTGTTCCAAGCTTGTAGATTCTATACTGCCATTTTCCAAACATCCAGCATTATTAACTAAAACATCTAGTTTACCATAGTGTTTAATAGTCTGCTCAATGATATTTTTCACATCATTTTCAACAGTAAGTTCTCCTGTCACAATAAGTGTCTTAGACTGCCCACATTGCGCAGCAACTTTATTCAGATTATCTTTATTGCGTCCGGTTATTGACAATGACGCACCTTGTTTTGCCAGATGAATAGCAGTAGCTGCTCCTATTCCTGAACTAGCTCCTGTTATTAAAACTACTTTTCCCGCAAACGACATCTAGAACAAACAAATATCATTGAATGCAATTACAATTTACAATTACAGATATGTACTTACTATAACTGGATAACAAAATCTTTTCAATAAAAACCGATTAATTAGTGAACAACTGGAGACTTGGAGAACGTAGTATAAATTCTCCAAAAAAAAGTTTGAGGTTGGTTGGTTGGTTGGTTGGTTCTATTTTTGGCTCCGGACTGTTCCGAAACAATGTCCACACGCCATTTTCCAGTTAAGGCTAAAAAGTGATGTCCTGTATAGTCTGATGCGTTTAGTAGGAATTTATTTATTTCCTCAAAAATGGAGATGTTCTTTAAGTCGAATACTTCTTTATGTAATTCCTCTGCTGAGAATCTGGCATCCTTATAAAACAATCTCAATAGAAGACGGTCCGATTCCTCCGAATGTAAAGCGCATTTAAAGAGAATGTGTTCCATATTGCGATGCCTCCAGCCACATTCACAACTTTCATCCATGCGAATATCTTTATCGTAAAGGTGACTCTAGGGCGTGCAAACTCTTAAGGCTCGTCTACAATAGCTGTAAAAGTAAGGCTGTAAGGCTGTAACGTAAGCTGTCAGCGAATGAAAATATTTCATTTCGTGTCTTGCAACCTTACAGCCTTACTCTTACAGCTAATGTAGACGAGCCTTTAGGAATTCTGCGATCTATCGTCAAGGATATTTTGAGAAGACGCCATGTCTTTATCGAAATCGGGGATTCCTTTATCTATGTCCATTGTACTAAGTCAGAATGCAGGTCTTGTTGCGAAAGAAGAAAATCCTTCCGGTTTCTTCACTTATATCCAACAGGAGATTAATGGATAAAACTTTATGAGGATGCCAGGTCTAAGATATATAGTAAGAGATATAGGTTACTTTGATAAGGCGCAAACGAGCAGAACTCAAAAAAAGTTTGAGACAAACCAGATAAATTTCTTAAGACCCATATTCAGAACGTGCTTATAACTATGTTAACGCGCTGTTAACCAATGAAACCAATGAAAAGCCACGCAATATGCCTTCTGATTGGTTAACAGCGCACTAATATAGTTATAAGCACGTTCTGAATATGGGTCTTAAAGTATAACTGGTATAGATCAGCATCAACATGATGAATAACTGGCTCTGTCTTTTATCAATTTCATTTCTTTACCTTTTTATAATTATGACCAATGATGGGAAGCAGTGATTGAAGATCATGGAAATAATGTGACAATGTATGAATTTTTAAATTCTATTTTTTCAATTTCGCTCACATTTTCTCGCGCACGCTCACGCGAAGGGCGGATTCATACCTTGGCAGAAAAGCAGAAAGGCAGCATCTAATCAGTTGCGCTGATAATCTGTCTCTCTCTTGAAAGAAAGAGAGAGAGAAGATAGAGTGAATTCTCTTCTATAATAACGAAACATTTATACGATATTTTGTATCATTAATTATTTGTATTGTCATAGTATTCGATATATTGTATGATAAATGTTCGTATTATCTTCAGCGTAGCTAAAATAGTCGGTATTTGTCATTGGTTACGTTCAGAAAACAAAGTGCTCACTGAGCGCTTAGTAACTATTGGTCCTTACTGTTAGATCCTTACATTCAGACCAATAACGTTGACGAATTACTCAACCGTTGTGTAACCGTTGTGTTTTCTGAACGCAGCCATTGCTCTTGAATTACCGCCAAACATACTGGGGCTCCTATGCCTTCACAAAAATTTATCCAGAGTTGACAGTCTTTAGTATCACCTCGTCGGTGGTATAATTATGCGCGAGCATGTGCTGGAGATGAAATTGAAAACCGTTACATTTGTCGATTCCAGTAATTTCAAATAAAGGTAAAATTAATATATTTTTCAACGTGTATATTAACTGTGATACGCCATGGATGCAAATGAAGGCAAGATAAATGAAACTATAGAAATTCAACTTTTAATTAATTTTTCTAAAACTGAAGGTATGTATGTTATATGATGCTACATAATAAAAAATTTGTCTTGCTGAAGAAAATAAATTTCTCCATTCAATCTCGATTCAATTTTAATCTTATATATATGTTTTAATATGTAAAATGTATGATAATAAAAGTTGTTACTAGATATTGTAAACGAAGTAAAATTTAAGGTTGGGAAACATTACTGTATTATAATTTTTAGAGTGACAGTTCTAAAATTCATTTTTCATGATTGTTGCAAAATATACTATTGTTAAAAAATCAGATAAAAAATTAAATATCCTTACTTTATATTTGTTGAGTGAACTACATACTATTTTTACAATTTCAGGTCCTAATCTGCTGTATGATGTATGCAGTATATTATGTGGTAAATATGAAGATGTAATAAGTAATGAGCTTTCTACATTTATAATCAAAGAAATAAGTAATCATGATAACTTGGAGGAAATTGTATATAAGAGTATAAGTGGAACCGATATGCAACAATCATGGTTGTGTATAGGAATAGCTTCTTTGTTATATTTTGCACAATATAATTGGACTGGTCCATATATTGAGGATAAGGATATCAATTGGTTAAAAAGTGAAAGACATAAAGCACTCAAGACTTTATCGTTACATGATGAATGCAATATAAATATCCAAAAACCAGAGTTACTTTATCTGTCCAAAATAATATTCTCTAACACAGACTTACAACTTAAGTATAAAAGCTGCATTTGGTGGTTATTTAGAACCAATTTGTTACATCAATATATATTAGATGAAAATTCAGGGATAATATTTGAAGAAACTGAGAATCTAATATTGAGAATCAATTCTCTCAATATATTAGAAAACCCTTTCTGCAAGCTTTTATTCAATTTGGAGGCTGCTAGATTTTACTTATGCTTCCGAAGAACACAAGATTCTGAAAAATATCTTGATCATGCACAGAACATAGCAGGCTTAACATTGAATCTACAAGGTGCAATGGGAAAACGTACAAAGTACCAACTGGAAGAAAAGTCACAACTGTACTTGCAAGCAGTAATAAGCAAAGATATTTTTCCAATGATAGATTGTGAAAATATACCATTATCTGTAACTTTAGATGATGAGTTGAGATTAGAACGTATTGAGTTCTCAGAGCATACAGAAGAAACCCATTTAGGTGCAGTGGAAGAAGCTGTAATTTTAACAGAATAGTAAGTATAACTTGTATCTTTATATGTATATAAAATTATGTCATAAGATTTAAAGGATATTAATACAGGTATTAGTGCTCGGTTACAGATGTGTCAGCCTAAACACAAACTTACTCAAGAAGAAATCAGTCCCTATCTGACGGTAAGCTATGATGTTAATTTTCTATTTATCTAATAATTAAATATAAATCAAATATTTACAAAAAAATATTTCAGAAAGTTATAGAGAACACAAAAAATTGGTCATTAAAGATGACTTCTTTGTACTATCGTTGCTCATTAGAGCGTGATCACTTTAGAACTGCACCAAGATGTCTGAAGCAAGGACAATCTTTAGAGCAGGAATATAATGATGGAAAAGCACCTGTAGCCAGAAGAATGGATCTATTTTTTGCAAGTGGTATGAAACCTATTTGGATATTAAGAGAGGAAGTAGCTTACCAAATGCTTCATCTTGACATGATAAAAGCTGCTCTGGAAGCCTATACAAAACTTGGTTTATGGGAAGAAGTGATTACCTGTTACTGCAGATTAAATTTGAATCATAAAGTATGTGTCTGTTGTGCTGCAAATATAATATATGAAGTACATTAGTAAATCTGTAAGTTGAACGTTTGCAGGCAGCTGAGATTATTCAAAAACAATTATGTGAAAAACCAACGGTGAAATTATGGTGTCTACTAGGAGATATAACTGGCGACATGAGTCATTATGAAACAGCATGGAAATTATCTGGCGAGAAAAGCGGTAGAGCACAAAGACAATGGGGTTATTATTATTTCACAAGGAAAAATGTCAGTAAACAAATTTTGAATTTTAATTTTCACTCTGACTCTTTAACATAAATTTTTAATGTGTTATATGTACTTTACAGTACACTGAGGCTGTCCCACATTTGAAGTTATCAGTTGAATTGAATAATATTCAAGAAGGTGCATGGTTTAGACTGGGCTATGCTGCATTACAGATAGAAAATTGGAATTTGGCTGCTACAGCATACAGACGTTATTGTGCCTTAGAACCATCTGTATGTATATATTAATATTTTTGTTAATTTGTTATAACAAAATATGTTAACGATTAAAATTTTAGAGTTTCGAGGCATGGAACAATCTAGCAAAAGCATACATAAGAATGGGAAATATAGCAAGAGCACGAAAATCTCTAGAGGATGCTCTGAAATGTGATTATGATCGTTGGGAAGTGTGGGATAATTTCATGGTCGTTAATACTGATTTAGGACATTTTTCAGAAGTAAGCGATATATAAATATATTTGATAATTTAATTTTCTACAAAACTTCCTTTTTTCATGCTATCTAGATATTTAATAGTATCGCATCCGACATTAAAAATTACAGGATCAAGAAACATCATTTTTATATTAATTACAAAATATTTTTAAATTATTTCATTCTGTTTCAGGTTATTCGATGTTATCATCGTATTTTAGATTTAAAAGGCACTCACTTGGATGTCCAAGTTCTCCGAATATTAACAGCTGCTATAGTCAACGATATTAATGATGCAAATGGAAATCCGGCATCCCGTTTGCTTCAAAAAGGTTTAGAGTTATTTGGAAGACTTAGTTTTAAAGTGGATAACCCACATGTTTGGAGAACGTATGCTGAACTCGTTGCATTGAAAAAGACAGATGTTGATAATGAAAAAGCAACTCATTACTTGCAACAAGCGTACCGCGTTGCCACTTTTGACCCACACTGGTCTGATAACGAAGATCAAACTTTGTACATATTAGAGTTATGTTGTGATATGACACAAGCATATTTACGTTGCACCGCCAACGCGGTCAATAAGAAGAGAAAAATGTTAGGAAGTGCAAAATTATCTCTCCAAAAAGTTGTGAAAGAAGTCAAAAACCAGGAATGGACTCATTCAAATATCCTTGAATCACTGACCAAAGTTGAAGAGTATTTAACAACTGTAATCAATGAATTAGACGAAATAAAAACAATGTAATTGGAAAAACAGGTATACAAAATTTTTCATACACACAGAATTCTTCATTGAATTTAATAAGTGGAAAAATCTGGAAATTCAAATTTTTCTGTCTTATTTGTACGCAAGATTTTAACAATCGTAAACACTTCAAATCCACATATCTATATTGGACGATACGTGTATAAAAATTTTTAATGGTTCACGAATATTTTACATGTATTCATATTACAATTCATCAATAATGTAACAAAACAAATTTGGCCTTACATTTTTTAGGAAGATCTTCAACTTTGTTATAAGTTATGTTACTAATAATTATGTTTATCTAGTAACTTAATACTGAAAACATGCAGCCGCGATACGCACAGTATATTCTAATTAACGATATATCGCTATAATTATTCGAACGAAGTCGTTCGTTCGTAAATAAACTATATAAACAAGATAAACAAGAAAATTGAGATGCAGATTCACATAATCAATCGACATGCGCTTTAAGAATAGCAAAGTAACTTGTTACAGTACAGACGTCTACTGTGATATTCCACCAAATTTATAAATTTACAATTTAACGTTTACGTTTTACGTAGATAACGACAAGATAAAAACGAGGACAAAATTGTCGCTTGCAAGTACATTTTTTGGGAGTTATAAAACTTTCAAAAATAACTATCACTCTCGCTGTTCTCGACGGACTCTTTCTTGGCGGCTATCAGATTTTCCCATTGTGCAATAAGTGTGCTACGACGTCGTGGATTAGGCTGTAAATATATAAGATGTATGTACATATATAACACATTTTATAATAAATATCTCACGAAAAGATATTTTCATCACAGTTGTCAATTCCAGGAGTCAACGGAAGTAATAAGGAAGGAGTATTTACTTTAAATCATCATGATTATTGGACGATAATAACACAGCCCCATAAGAATATATTTGTCCGGTTTTAGGCACCGACCACTTTTTTTTGTGTGAGGCTGTGTAATTGATAGGGTCATTGATAGGGTGTTCTTCATATAGCGCACCTTACCTTATGTTTCCCTTTGTGCTCTCTCTCAATCTCGTCCTCGTTCAAAGTGTTAGTAGAAGCACCGCTCCTGAGCGAACTGGAGCCGTCGTAAATGTCAGAATCATTATCGTTTCCTATATCAAGTAAATTCGGCTGAGACTTTGCCAACATTTGCGATCTCATCAGTCTGCAAAAATAAATGAGATTTTCCTAAATCTGACGTTTGAATTTCACTTTCGTAAATCTAACAATTGAGTATAAAAAATTTTCTATACACGCATTACATACATTCATTGTTTCATTACATCACTTATATATATATATATATATATATATATATTATTATTATTATTACAGACGCACGACGTTTTAATTCTTGGCATACATGATGCTTAAAGCTTTAATTGTTGCAGAAGCAAATATTACAAGAAGGTAAACGGTTCAAATTTATAGTAGAATTTAACAGGATTCCGATCTGCTTTGTTAAAAATAATTTATTCATTAAAATAATTTTAATATTAAAATAGAATAAAGTCTACATCACCTAGCCTGTAAGTTTCGTAACGGCAAAATTCTGTTTGGAATTTTATATAAATCATGTATAAACAAAGAACACTTGAAGATTTATTAATACCTGAAGTGGGCTTTAATTTTGAAATTACTGAAGAAATAAATTAGAATGATAGCAAAAATCGTTCTTTACAAGAAGAAAAGTTAGTATCTCTTGATAGATCTAGAGACGTACATTTTCTCATACCTTAACTCGTTTTCGCGTTCTCTCATATCGTGCAGTTCTTTCTGGATCTTCTGCTCGACCGGCACGTATCCCTTCCTCGCCAGTGGTTTCTTGGGCTCGTCGTCCGGCTCCAATTGTATCTCCAACGTTTGGTTGAAGGCCTTAATACTTAAAGGATTGAGCGTAATAGTGGGCGTTATGGGCGGACTCAGGACGTCGTTGCTTCCCGATTTGTTCCTGTAGATCTTTCCTCGCGTGGCCAGGAACCTGTGCATCAGGCCCTTCTGACTTGGCGCGCTGGCGAAACGCAACGGCGTCGGCGTTGTGCGCGTAGATATTACACCGTTCGTCATCTTTGGCGTCAGATTTGCCGACAGCGGGTTCAAATTTACCGCTTCTAGGATCTGTGGTGTAGATGTTGTCCTTTTCAACTTGCCTGAAGCTAGCGCCTGTGGCATGCGTCGCACCTACGTAGGATGAATTCACTAATGAGATATCACTTCAAAAGAAAGAAGAGTATTTTTCTTTCCAAGAACGTTCTTCGGAAAAAAGATGTTTCGTTGATTCTTCGGGTACTCGAGGCTAATTTTATTTCTACCGACAAAGAGATTCCTTTAGGGACCGGCAATTTCAGACGTCTTATGGATCTTTGCCCAATGCAGGTATGGTCAAATGTGTGCACGTGTATACGAACTGTAGATTTGTGTACGATATGTTAAAGTTACCTTGGAATCCACCGTTTCGTGAGACGTGGTTTTAATGCTACCCACGTTCCGTAATTCGTGTTCCCTCTCGGTGACCTCTTCAATCTCTCTTTGTATTCTGTCCGTTGCCCTCCTCAATTGCTCTAGTCTATGTTCCGCCTGCGTATATGGAATAAAAATTTTTATTATGTAAAAATCATAATAAATGCAATCGTATCTTCGTTTGGTCCTGGACTTCTCTTCGCGCTGAGAGAATAAACGGAGATCTTTTTTATAATTAATTAACTGCAATCATCCCCAAAAAGTCGAGAAGCAAAAAATACAAAAAAGAATTTTGTTAATACGTGTATCGTAATTAACTGATCAATCGAAAGATCTCAAAATATCTCAGATTTGTTTCTTAACGCTCAAAGTGTTAACCGTCAACAATCGTGTTCAAATTTAGGCGGTATTTACCAATATTCCTCCTCCGTGCAACGCGTTCACGTATTGAAAAGATCAATTTATGATTTTTTCCCCCTAATTTTCTCTTGACAAAATCTCTATCTTAAAAATTATGCTTTCAGGAAAAGTCTGGAGATAAGTTCTTCTATATGTCTCTACAACATCGCGTGAGATTGTTCTGAAACATGCGAGCAACAGGTTCTTCACCCGTCGTATTTTCGGCTGTACGGTATGCGGAAGGAAAAATTCCGTGACCCTTTTCTCCTGCTTGTCATCTGCTTACTCGCCCCCGCTTCGCCGTATAGGACGGAAAAATTCAACTGCAAGATGAATGGAACTGCAGGTTTAGTGTCAATAACCGCGCTAACGGGAAACGGATTCCAGAAAACTAGCTGAACGCAATGCCGTAAAATCAGCTATTACGTTTCAATAGGGTTTTTAAATTCGTTGCGTCCCAAGTTCCTACACGGACGGGTTCTCTTTCAGTCTCTCCTCTTTCTTCTCCTACGTTCTTCTTTTTTCCGTTCTCTTTGCTTTATCGTGACGCCAGAGTACGTGTCAGGCCGCTTCACGAACCTTTGAATTTCAATGTGTACATTCTCTATTCTCTCCGGCGCAAAAGTCTGAGAGACGAATTTCTATCATATTACTCGTCGTCGAGCGTAGCGCTTCCGCCTCATATCAATATCTTCCTCGGTGCGTATCTATCTATCCGACATATTTCTCAAAGATCGACGTGTAACTGATAAATCGAGACTGCAATTCGCTGGGGTATCACTACGCCGGCGGTATTTTTTCGTTCAACATGTCACCGAAACACTTTCGGAGGACTACACGCGGCAGAAGGACGAAACGGGTTTCTCACGGATGCTGCGAATCGCTCGCAAGAATGCAGCGGCAATCTGCCGTGTTAGCTTCATCGACCGTGCGTCTCGAGCGTATAATCTCGAATGTTATCAGTTTATCTCCGAAAAAATCTATTGCGTCTCATTATACTTCCCTGTGTGTGTGTCATTGCGAAGTCACACGGCGACTGAATGACACACAAAATGACAAATAAAATGACGTATTGGCCGGAAAGGACAAAATGATATCAGCGAAATCGAAATCGCGATCGCCTGATGGATTTCGATAGAAAATGAAGGCCAATGTCTCGCGTTAGCACCGATAAAATCGTATCTATTCGCACTCTTATCGCGACGCGTCCTCTTTATCTTGTTTATTTTCTCTTGCTCTTTCTACTTCGATATATTAATCTTTCTCTATCTCTTCATCTTTCAGAGATTTACCGAAATTATCATTTAGGTGACAAAGACGCAGCGCATTGTCGCAGCATTCGAGATTTAATCTCTCGGAAGTGCCTTAAGAAAGTATCGTTCACAATCTACTTGTTACATGTATATCCCATAATCCGCGATCTTAACGACAGATTCGGAATCTCGATCTTTCCTCGGTAAGAATGTCGAGGAAGGTCTTCGCATTTACGACGGGAAAACCCGCGTCGTAAAAAAAACGTCGTTCCCGCACAAGCATCGAGACGGATCTCCCTGTTGGTTTTCGTCCATCGTAAAAGACGGCATAAATCTCGTGAAATAATTGCTTTATTGGCACAAAACGCGATAAAATAAAACAGTTCACTTTCAGACCTTTATCTCACAATGTGGACCGGCCGGGCGCTTCCGCGTAGGAACTCGATGATAGTATCGAAACGAGTTTCTCCAAGGAATTCCAGACGAGCAGCTGCAACGCGGTCAGGTATGCCGTACTCAGAAAACTGAGGGCCGGTGGAAGCAGCGGCTGTAATCATCGTTTCCTTTCTAACAAAATGGGGCACAACTCTTCCCACCTCTTTCAAGTCCCCTTCCCCTCTTAAAAGCGTGCTATTTTCATTTCCGTCAAGAGCATCCGAACGACCGACTTTGGGCCCAACGGCTTCCCCGCGGACTTTCGGATTTCCGAAATATTGCAGGCCGAATTTCACCGACGGACACATACGTTCCCCTAACTAGTTTGTCCTGCCGAAAGTACCCTCGATCTCGACGATGCGTTTCTCTCTTGCGATCTCGACTGATGAAATTAGTAAATCGGTCCACATCAAGCTGCACAGTAACATCAAGTGTTTGGGTTTTTTTCTTTTCAGACAATTCAACAAGTCCAACAGTTCGAGTTTCAAGATCGAACTTTAGACCATCAGGATCTCCTGAGTCTGAAGAGAAGAGAAGACACTCGTACGACACCTAATAAGAACAGCCGGATAATTCGCTGACCATCGGCAGGTGAACAGTTTACAGGAAGGAGACTCGTCAGGCGATCTGTCATTAAAAACGAAGTCCGGAGGTGTGGGAGCGACCTGTGCAAATCGTGTTTCGAGCGACGGCGTTATCTCCCTCTCTCTCTCTCTCTCTCTCTCTCTCTCTGTTGTTACGAAGCAAGGTATACGCACAGCGCGATGATACATTTTGCCAGATGCAGCCCGAGACTTACCTCCATCGTTTTCCCGAACGTTTTCCGCCAGCGAGAACTCGCGCGACCGTCCAACGACGACGACGGATCCGAACTGTATCTTTTATCAGACTTCTCCGCGGCAGATACGGTGCGTCGACCTCGAAACGGGGAACAATTTCGTGCGGTTTATCTGATCGCGAGGTGCGCCGACGAGTAACGTCCCCGCTTATTATCATGCCTCGCACAACTAATTACGTCACTTGTTCAATATTTACACCGATGGCTCGCGCTCGATCGTGCTCGTACACGTATGTTACCTGCCGGCAAAGAGAACATTCAGCGTCGTACGAACCGTAATGTACACTAGGCATTATCGATGCCTTTCGATTCTCGCTCGGGATATTCCCATCGAACGCGCAACGCGTTTGTGTCTAGATCCGCCTAGATTGCGTCACATCGATGTCGATTAGAGGACCTAAAGTTTCTTCTTCATCGATTCATCTCATATATTTCATATATGCTTGTAATGTCTTATAGATTTCTGTCATCTCTGAATCTTTTATTATATGCATCCAATTGTGTGTTACTCTAAGGACGTACATGCGTGTAAATAATGTAATAAGTATGTAGAATTCACACGGTATGCGCATTGTGCAAAGATTTCACCAATGTATCGCGAGCGTGTTAACACGGTCGCATTTCTCCTCTTCTCTTTTCCTCTCTAACTCGATTACTCTTTTCTCGTTTTTCCTTCTTATCCCGTGTCTCTATTAAAATAACGAAAAATTTTATATCATTAATAGTATTCGCGCACGAGAAGCTGAAGCAAGTCCCGTTCTTCCGTGATCGTTTCAGGAAGAAAAAAAGAGAGATCTGACGGTGTCGACGTAGACACGCGCTAAACCGTAACAACGTCGGCAATTGTACCGGCGTGGCACTCGTAATCGAGTTCGCATTATTCCCGATATAAAACAGTCAAAAAAGAGGAAAAACGAACGAGAGAAAAAAGGAAAAATGAGAGTACGTGAGGTGCGAACGGCGTTTTCCGCGTTGCAATGTTCAGTACCGATCGCGAACGCGCGATTGTCTACGGGCGTTCCCGTGAAACTATACAATCCTGACGCGATCGTAGTCCGCTCGACGACTGCCATTTTACCTGCTTCGCGACCTTGTTCTCCGACCGTTCTCCGACAACACGAGCAACATGACGATATGCGTCACGGCCGCTAATTCGCGGTCGGCCGTGCATACCGTCGCCGTCGAGAACCGGTTGTGAACGTTGGCTGTTCTGCGAACTTAAAAAAAAAAATATATATATATAAAACAATTATATATATATATATATGTGTGTGTGTGTGTTTTATTTTTCCCGCTCTTCCGCCTGCGCTCTGCCCCCTTCCATTCCTTCTTGTGCTTGCATTTTCCTGCTTTCTCCTCACTCTGCGAGAACCAAAATTTCTTTCTTGGTCGAACTAAAATTTAAAGCTTTTCAGGAACTTTACCGGCTATCATAAATATAGCCGAGACTAATTAGCCGTTTTTGTGAGCTTTTAAAAACTGCAATAGTGCTTGTTGGAACACGTAAGATGGCAGCACTTTTTACTTTCACCGGGTATTTAAAAAAATTGCTTTTTATTCTTCAAATATTATATTAATTTTCATTTATATTAATTTACGCTTCTGATAGAAAGAAAAATTGAAAGTGGTATCGTCTTACGTAATTCTACAAATATTATACAATACGATTCTAAAAATTCACAAAAGACATTAGGTTTAATGCAGGCTAAATTTTATGAAAGCCGGTAAATTTTTTTCGAGACTTAAAATTGTGGTTCGAATCTCTGATAAAAAATAGATTTAGTAAGGATGCACAAGTAGTAAAGATGAAATAAAACCAGAAAAATATGCTTTAGATACATTGTGACTAATTCTGATACTTGGTTATGGGTTATTCTGTGCATAAACTTAGTAAAAAGAAATATAAAATGATATTATAACAGAGAATTGCACGTACTTATATTTTGACAGAAAAATATATAATTTCACATAAATATAGTTACAATTCCTATTAATCATTTTTTTATTTGTTTTCATATAAGATAAATAAAATTTGTTACCTTGAAAATTTTTACTGCAATGGCCTATGACCAGTTTCAGTCAGTAAAAATTCCAATAATATTGTTAAATCTTCAGGTAGAGAAGGTTGATATTGCCATGCCGCAAGATGAAGCATTTTCCAAGAGTCAGTATAATTATGAGCAACATTTTCAAGTATTTTGCGTTTTAACTTAGCTTCTTTGTGATATGCTTCACATATAATTTCTGCTACTTCACCTTCATTTTAATACATACATTTATATTAAAATAGTATCAATATCAAATAATTGTTATATTAAAATAAAATATGCAATATATTACAATAACAAAATCATAATTAAAATTGTATTAGTTATTATTATTTGTATCTATATTAAATGCATAAAGCTTGTTTTTTACCAAATTTAGTTGTTGGCCATGTTATGAATAATTTATCCAAAGTTTTCTGTAAAGCTGGTAAAGTTTTCAATTGATGTTTGATTTGATCTAAGTTTCTAACTTTACTATCCTATGAAACAAAATCCCTCTTAATTATTTAAAAATTTGTATATTGTAAAAATATATTATCAATTAAAGAAAAACTAAAGTTAGCTGACATTAAAAAAATCACAGAGGACTTTAAATGATATAATGTAGAAATATTTAAAAGGAACACTAACTAGGTTATCACAAATATTTTCTAACTTGTCACACAAGTCTTGTAAAATCGTCGAATAATAATTATTGGCCTGTTTTTCTTGCGTTATATTCTTTATACAAATTATTCCTTGAAGATGAAGACTATTCCATTGTTGTATATTTGTATGGATATCTGCAACTAAATCACGTATATGACGTGCTAACCCTGTCAAATTTTTCCCTTGATTCCAATTAGGTGACAACACTTCTGTAATAAATTATTTATTTTAATACAGTTCATATTGAAACTCTTATGCTAAATATCTTCATATTGATATTAACAAATTAACAAATTAACAAAATGACAGAAACTTACTAACTGGAGAAAACGTTTTTCTTGCCGGTGTTGTAAGATCACAACTATTTTCTTTTACACTTTTCATTGTTATACAAATATTCAATAAAAATTTGTATAAAAAATAAATGCTTCTTCTAACTTTATGTTATTTTATATTCTTTTTGTCAATAAATATTTTGTCAATATTTGTCGGTCTGCAATTATTATATGCAAAAGAATTACAAAAGTGTTGATCTACTTCGACTTCCATGTGAATCCAAAAAAGTTAGGTCAGGCTAACCTAAACTTAACCCTTAAAAATACCTAACTTAACCTTTCTGTTTCATATGCACTTCTACACGTTTTACACTTAAAACGGTACAAGTATAGTATGTCCCTTCGGTAGGACAAGATAAATAGAATAATAACGTAGTATAAAAGTGTAGAAAAGTCATTAGACAGATTTTTTATTATCGGAATATGTAGAAAGCGGCAAATTTAATTTAATAATAAAAAGTGATATCAGAATGATCATGAACAAATACGAAAATTATTTCTACTTTCTTGCGTGGCCATGTGCCATTATTTATTCTGCATATCAACTTTATTTGTCAACTAATTGTAAGAGAGAAAGAAAGAGAGAGAAAGATACTATAAAAAGTCAACAAGTAAAAATATAATAATACTCATAATCACATAAATCTTTATTTTAAGACTTCGACAACTACTACGATGCTTACGGTGATTTCGATTCAGGGGGTATGTGGTCCTGGATCAAAAGAAAACGAGATATCTCAGATCAAGAGTGGCGTATATGGCTTATATTGCTTAGTAGACTGGTACCATGTACTTTTATACATCACTTTATCAGTAAAATGATTAAAATTAATAATAACAATATGGTATGATATGATTTGTATGATTTTTTGAGCATTATATATATATATATATATGTAAATTATAATTTTAGAAAGAAGTACATAATATATTTTTCAGATATTATGCTGTTGGTACATCTTAGCGTCTGCAATGTTCCTTTATTATTACTTAGGAATATTAGGTTTACTATGCATATTGTTGCAACCTATATTCTTGCACATATTAACGTGTATGTGCAGCAAGAATATAGCATGGTGTATACATGTGTTCTTCCTATTTATAATACATGTATTGAAAATACCAGATGGTACTTTTCAAAATTGGCTAGGATTTAATGATGAGCATCATTTTATTTTGACACTTACAATGTGTTGGATACATTTAAGAAGTATTAGCCATAATATGGACAGTATTGATGAACAATTAAGTAATAGAAACAAGTTTATTCAGAGGCTGGCCTATTGCTTGTACTTACCAACATTATTTTTGGGGCCACTTATATTGTATCATGAATTCGTAGAGTCTGTATGTATAATTCACAGTTATGTCACACATGTTATGTCATAACACTTTGATAACATTTTATAAGTAATTTCTTATTTTAGATTAATCGGCCACATCAATATTTGAATTATAGAAGAAAACTACAAACTTTTATTTTTAATTTATTGAGATATATGTCCTGGGTATATTTCACTGAACTGTTATTACATTTTCTTTATATAAATGCAATACAATATCATCCAGAGGTAGTTTACTTGTATATATGATATATTTTATTATGTTCATGTTGAATGTATATTTTTCTTTTCCATAGGTTGTACAAAATTTGAATCCTTGGGCACTATATGGTTTAGGATATTGCATGGGACAATTTTTTTTAAATAAATATGTTGTGGTTTATGGAATTTGCGGTAGTTTATGTGAATTGGATGATATAAAAGCGCCACCACAACCCAAATGTATAGGCAGAATTCACTTATACTCCGACATGTGGAAACATTTTGATAGAGGATTTTATAAATTTCTTGTAAGGTAAATATATAGAATCCTATATATATTTATGCTAGGTTTTATACACATATAATTTAAAGATCATAATTATTTTTACAGGTATATTTATCTCCCGATTCAAAAATCTTATGTGTGCTTTGGGAAGTTATTTGCATCATTTTCATGTTTCACATTTGTCCTTATATGGCATGGAGTACAGATAAATATCTTTCTTTGGGCATTACTCAATTTTATAGGAGTAATAATTGAAAGTGCAGGAGTATCAATTAGTAAAAGCGCACAATATCGCAAGATACAAAATACGTATTTATCCTCGATAAATACTAAGAGGTTCCATTGTATATTAGCAAGTCCTCTTTTAGCAATGTCAGCTATATCAAATTTTTATTTTTTCGGAGGGCAAGAAATTGGAAATATTTTTGTATATCACATATTACATGGTAAGTTTCTTAGATATATATTTTTACCTTCTATTAATATAAAAGAAAAACATTTGCTACAAATATGAATTAGTTAATTAACATTTTTATATCGTATGTGTGTGTAGATATGATTTATATTTACACCAATCACTTAAAATTAGAAAGACTTCCGTGATATTAAAGTTAACATTAACCCATTAATTTCTGTTTACAGAATCCTGGAAAGTCTTATTTGTTTTACTTTTTTTCCTTTATTGCTGCTGCCAACTTTCTGTGCACATTAAAAACTGGGAATTGCAACATGTTAAAGGATAAGATTTCTTTTCGTATAAGCTAACAAAATCAAGTTTTGTTCTTAATAACATATTTGTAAGAAAAATTAACTCTTTATAAATATATCTACAATGCCTTAAGACATATTCATGAAGAAACATTGGATGAATATTGGATAAAAGGGAAAGTATATGTAATACATAGTATAAAGTGTATAAAAGCAAAAGTCCGTGCTAAAATATTTTTAGAAATTTATTTGTAAGTACAAAATATGTAGAAAAATATGTTGTGTAAACTTATTGCGACTTATAATATATATGCATTGAATTAAGACTGACTATATAAATGTGATATATGAGTATAATTTTTATAGAGAATTATATAAGGATTCTACTTACTTTATGATTTGTTAGTGTGATATAAATCATATAGGCATTTAATTTTATTAGTCACCATATTTGTAATACGTCGTTCTCTATATCTATGTAGCTGTACGTTTATGTATATATGTATATACATAAATATAAACATACGGATTATTTATTGTTTTTTTTTCATAAAAAGTTATATAAGGCACTTTTTTCATAATATATAAATCTTTCTAGAGATATATATATTATCTATCTTGTTCATTAATATCTAATATAAATGTGTGTACTCTATACATATGTACCGGATTTATTATTTTACCATTATCAATTACTATTAAAATTATAATAGCTATCTGCAATAGCTAATTATATTTAATCGTCTTTTTATTACACGGTGTATCGATATATTTGTACACACAATTAAACAATTTGTATTGATGTTACAAAAAATTATAAAGACAACGTTATACTATAAATGCAACAAAGTTACATATATATGGTATGTGCCATATTTTGTTTTAATGCATCTTATGAACGTTGCAAATTAATTTTATCGACCATTTGTATATGTACATTGTAAATGCGATATTATAGAGAATAGATTTATATTTTATATATATTAAAATGAATATTAAAATGAATATGAATGAAAAAAAACATCTAGAAACTCGTAAATGAAATGGAAAGTATACTACTCGTCGAAAGTCTATGACTTATATTTCCATATCGAATAAAAATCGAATTTACAAAAACATATAGATTTCCGACAGCTTAAACTCAAAAAATGAATAAATCTATAATTGAAAAAAATGCAAGGAAGCTGCGACATTCTGCGGTACGCATTGTACATTTCGCATGGAAAAGTCCATGTTACTTAATATAAAAATCTGTTAAACAATTAAATTTTTTCCTTGAATCAAATGTGATCACAGTAATTTATAAATATCTTTATCTTTAAACATTTCTAAACATAATTTGTTCATTTAAATAAAATAAAATGTAATTGTTTGGAAAATCTATAATTGTGTTGTTACATTTTAAGCAATTTATTTGTAGTAATATCTAATATATACGTAATATTAAACGGAAAACTAAATTTTCTTGGAAGACTTAAATGTATAAGAATTTATTGAGAATTCTTATAATTGTTTATAGATTCCTTTTTTATATATTTCGAATTATTTTGACAAGTGTTAGTTTTAAATATTGTTTCTTCCGATATATATTTTCCCAGAAAAATAGTATTGTAATTTCTTCGTTTCTATAACTTTATAATTTTGAGATAGCAAACATAAGAATTGAGTACTCTCAATCTAACCAATTGTTATGAAAATATAGCAGTATATTTATAATATTCATATATAACCTAACTCTACCAATGAAATTAAAACATTTCATGAAAAATGTAGTAAAAAATTATTTTGATTTACGAACTAAATTAAAAATATGTGTTTGACATATGAAATGTGTTTTCTTCGATTTGGCACGTTAATATTGTATCTTTTTAATTGCTGATATCTAAAAATAACAGAAGAGAGTACTTCTTATAATAAATAAATGAAACTGCTAATAAATTTAAATAATTTGCTTTTTGGACATGCCAGGAATGAAATTATAGATTATAAAACATACTTCTAAATAATTCCTTGTTAAATATACTTCTAACAGAAAGCCAAATAAATTCAAATAATTGATTTTGTACAAGTTTAATCGCATCGCATAATAATTGGGAATAATATATTTTTAAAAGTTGTTAAAATAAGTTCTTGTATGTAGTAAAATGAATAAATGCCTTCAATAACAGTTTTCACTACTCACAGGAACAGCATTATACGTGATACGTTATATAAGAACATATTGTTATTACAGTTCATTTAATTTTCCTGAATTTAGTTATATCTTGTAATTAATCTTGTAACGGAAAAATATAATGAGATAACTAACTTAACTTCTTTCCTCTTTAAATATTATATTTACACAAGAGAGAACGTGGTATTATTTTCTTGACATTATTTTTTTCTTTTAGTATTACTATAAATGTTATAGTGTGTACTTAATAGTATTTTAATCGGTCAATTATACCTCTGCCAATATATTGCTATGTTAGTATAAAATATATCCCATAATGTGACCAGATGTTAACTAACGTTTCAAACTTTTTTGAGTATGCTGTACAATTATTATTGTTACTTACACTTGTGTCTTGCACCCTATCTGTCTGTACCTTTGACGGTGATATTACCTTTGTCAATTTGCAGAATTCCGTTTTGCAAACTGTCGTTGGATACGAGCAAAATCGCATTTTGTTTGTCAGATTGCTCTATATTGATTGCTCGTATGTCGCCATTTAAAACTTTAATTTGCTTGCAGTTATCTATCTTTCCTTTAAATTGATTGTGCTGATCGCGATACAAGTTGATTTGATGCAACGGTATGTTTATGCATTTATTTTGTGCAACGATATCGTCCAATGTTCCAGCATGAAGATATAAGTACTGATTATTTTCTCGTTTTCTGGTTTCTTCCTTTACTGCAACGAAACTTTTCGAAGAAACATTTAACTCTTCTATGTTTAACGTTTTGGTCGCGACAGATTCAAATTCGCTTACATGTTCATCTTGCTGCAATATCATATTTTGGTTTTGCGGAGCAATCTCTTCAACTGTATTGACTGTTTGTAAAATACTAACATTTGCATTTGCGATATGTGCAGGTTGCAAATAAATTTCATTTTTTACACACTCTTTATTCTCGATATTGAAACAATTGGCATATTTGTCAGACCTTTCATTCACAGTTTCGTTTTGTGCGATAATAACTCGTGTGTTAAAATTTTCATTGTCCATCTGATCATTTTTGTTGACATTTGTAGCCTTATCTATTTTTAAATGTATATACGTTGTAGATTCTTCTTGCGTGTCATTGTCATATATTATGTTATGGTAACTAACTTGTTCTTTCGAGGATTCTGTTTCTACTACTTGTTGCGTTATGTTTTCATCTTCTTCTCTTCCCGAAACTTCATTGTTACAATTTGCTTCAGTGTACGATTGTATCACTTCATTGCAATCGTAAACTTTATCACGATCTTCATAATTATGCTGATAAGCGACGTGATTTTCCTCATTGTTAGCAGTTTCTAAATAATCGTAAAAAGGATTTTTCAGTTGTAGCAGATCATTTTGTACGTCGTTTATATATTCCATCTTAATATTGCTATCATGTCTCTCAGAATACCTACAATCTACAGCTATTTCAGTCTCTGTACCGTCAGTCTTATTTAATTGAGATTCCGTACAAATCTCAAAATTTTCAATACATTTGTCAACAACCTGTATCGTACTTTTCGTTCCCCAATTCCGGTTAATGTCGTCAATGTTCTCTTTCAAGACATATTCTTCTACAATTTGCGCTTCATTGTGCTGATTATTAAAATTCACGATCGCGCTGGGCACATTATTGATGTTCGTTGTGGTTTCTGGGACACAGTCCTTTCTTCTTCGATTTGTCCGAATCTTTTGAAAGTCTTCATCAGGAAGATGCAAGAGTTCACCGGTAGTCGTAAGAATTTTGCCATGCCGCGTTTTCAAATGACGTTTGTAAGTGTTTCTTGTTTTAAACCTGATAGAACATATAACGTAATATATTAAGATCGTATATTTATCGATAATCAACTATCGTTTTGTAATTTTTAATTACAATTTCAATCTATTTATATAAAATAAAGCCAATTTTGATTAGTTATTTTTTATATATTTCATTTGCAAAAAACGCAAAATATTTCTACCGTTGCCCGCAATCGTCGCATCCAAAAGGCGCTTCGCCGGTGTGTCTACGCTGATGTTCCTTGAAGTGAGATGGATGTCTGAATTTTTTCCCGCAATCTGTGCATGTGAAGCGTGTTTGATTCTGATGAATCAACATATGGTACTTCAAGCTATGCCTCCTCGTGAAAACAGCTCTGCATATTCGACATTCGTATGGTTTTATTCCAGCGTGACTACGATAATGGGACACTAAAGTCGTAGGCGCTGTGAAAGTGCGAGGCGGATCACAAATCCGACATTGAAGATTGCTCCCTGTAGGATTGCCTTTCTTTTTAATACGTTCCATATACGCTAGTGCCATTTCCCTCTCTTCCTTGCTCGTACCAATAAATTTGGCTTTTCCTTTCGGCTTAGTCGTTGTAGATGCTTCTATATTTTTAATTCGACTTTCGTCTGACCATGATAAATTTATACATATGAACATTATTTAATAATCTATAGTATATTTCTACGATAAAAAATACAACAGACCATAATATTATTAGCTCAATTTGCTATCTAAAATTATAATACCATCTAAATACTAGATAGTTGTGCAGACTTGGTAAACAAAAAGAATTACCTTGACATTTTGCATTTTCAGATAATTTCTGATTAACATGAGAATATTCTTCCATATGCACACTATCAGTGCCAACTACCATCAATACAATCTGAAAAGAAATATATTTATAAAATCAATATTGCGTAACATATGTCTAAATATTTTTACAACTTTTTTCCTATATTTATTTTAAAAGAAGACAGTGAATATATGTAAATATAATCGAATTTGACTAGCAGATCAATACTAACATTTTCTTCTCTTGCTGTATTTTCAAGAACGTTATTAAGAGATGACATCCCTTTTCTGCTGGATATTTTATCATCTAAACGTTCAAAATAACTATGATCCCCAAGAACCTTATAATCCATTTGCTCAGAATTCTTTAAGTCAGAATTGTGCATCTCCTTATTTTCTGGCTTCTGAAAACATTTCTGCTTTTCGATCTCTTTAATATTAATATCATGTAGAAGTATCTTGCGTAAATAATTTGTTGATTTCTCCAATATCACATCTTTGTTTTCTTTATTCAATGTTTCTTGGGGTTTCTTTGTCTGTTGTATCCGACTTTTCTTATTCTGCAGATTAGTTTTTAAATTCTTATGATTTATACCCCTTGCTGTGAATGTATCATCTACAAAAGCATAAAGAAAAGAATATTTTTACAAATCTTGAATACAACATAATTCACCAAATATAAGAAATACCAAAACTTTATCATTTTTATGTTATTTACAAATATTTTTTATTAATTTGGAATTTAATTGCAGAAATTTTAAAAGTAAAAATTTTAAAACCATGAAAGAAAACATCTGTCAGATTCTTGCTATGAGAAAACTAAACTGATAAACAAGTATATAAATGAAGAAAATAGGAATTGTACTAGGAACACAAAAATTAGGAATAGGAATTAGAATAGGAATAAAATTTAAAATATATACATACAGGCCTCTTTGTCTCTTTTGAAATATTCCAAATGTTCTTCTAAATGATTCTTAATGGATGTCCTTGCTTTTACTTCGCTTGCGAAACTAGTATATTTCTGTTGGCATCCAGGCACTAATGCACAAGTATAAGAATAAAGTCTTTTCAGCTCATCACTTGTAAAAATAGTAAATTGTTTAACAAGATGAGAAACAGGCATAGATAAAAGTTGAGGTACAGTGAAGTGTGATTCTTTCCGTTTCATACTAGTTGTTTTAGGTTTGCATTGACATTCATGATTTACATTTGATGCTAGCAATGAATTAATACGCTTCTTTTCCGAATGTAGAGTTTGAGATGCAACTTCAGCAAGCATATCCAGCAATGCTGATGGACTGTCTCTTCCTACAGTATCTATAACAATATTCAGAATGATTAATATTTCTGAATTCCATCACTCTTATATATACATTCTTGATTTATCAACTACTTATTAATTATAAAGTAGTTTGATTCTTAAATAAAGAAATATTTTAATATATAACATTTTTACAAAATTTAATATCAAGTTTAACAAAACATAAAGTAAAACTTTAATTTTCTTTGTCAAACACAAATTTTTATTTTTATTTTATTTATTAGAAAAATATTTGAATTTCTTTTCAACAAACATATAAAAATGATTTTACTTCATCTATCAATAACCAAAATATTTTTGGATGTTAACATTTTTGTATCATTAACAAAATTATAATTATAACGACAACCAATTTATTATCATCATTTATCATGGAGAATCGATATGACTCTCTAATTGTCCTGCATATAAAGTTGTTTAGTTTAATAGCAGACGCCACATAAGGACGCCCAGCAGACGGTTTTTCAATTTACTGTCTGTTGATGTAATGTACGCGCGGTTTTCCCATCTGAACAATAGCGATTCGATGATAATATATTTAAAAATCAACGAAATCAAAAAGAGATTACCTCCATTGTACAAATTCGACGCATGTTGAAGATTTGTTTTGGTGTTCATGATGGCATTCGCGTTCGCGGCGTACCTACATGCCTCCGTCTTCTACGAACAACAGGTTCCCCGTTTGTCGGCCGAATCTTCTTTCTTGTCAACGTCACATTGCTACCACCATATGAATGCAAAGGAGGCTCCAATTATAAAGCCCATTCTATATTATTCCCAAGTCGCAAGGTCGCAAGTAAATTGCCCAATCACAGTCGATAATTCTTCGATTGAAGGAAGAATGATCGATCGTGATTGGTCAATTTGCTTGCAACCATGCAACCTACAATTACACCTATATTCATAGTCAGGCCTTATATTTAAGACTTCCTCAAGTTTATCTTCAGATGGTCTGTAACCAATAAAATAATCCGTGCAGCATCTAAAGATGGATATAAGGAAGCCTCAAATATAAGGCTTGACTATGAATACGGGTATTAATGTAGAATAGACTCAAGAAATATTTTTCCCTATGTGATGCGACTTCTTATTGGATATTGAATCTTTGGAGATCTATTGGAGATTGAATACGTTCTAAAACTCATCAAAACGAAGTGTTGTAACCGTTATATCTACAGTGGCTGCGTTCCGATATTCACTGTCAGCACTGAAAATCTATAGTATACGTGACGTAAACTATGTATTTTCAGTACTGGCAGTGAATATCGGAACGCAGCCAGTATATAAGTGGCACTAAATTTAAAGTCGCAGTCAACATGTGTAGACAAAGTTCGTCGACTATCTAATGCGGCTTCTTGCGATTACGTATATGAGTATAGAATTGTTTTAATTTATAAAAGAATTATCTTTAACATCATAAAATAACGAGCTAGTACTGTTTCATCTTCAATTGAGAAGAGTGAATTTGTAAGTTAAAAATATCTGAAAACTGCTAGTAAACTAAATTAAATATACTTAGGCTATGTTATTACCAGTTGAAAATAAATAATTAAAGTTCTTTTTTATGTATAAAAATTATAAATTATAAATATGTGATGTTTGTAAATTTCTTGGTCAGGTTAAATATTTGTTTAATGTTTATTGTTTTACATATTTAGATCATATATGTTTAATATATTTAAGAATGTTAATTATATTTGTTTATTAGATTTAAAAATAACAAATATTTTAGATTTTCAAAAATTATAAAATCATGTAAAAATATTTACAATTTGCTGTTACTTCAAGCGAATATATATTTCTTATATTCTTATAGCATCTGCTTTTCACAAGAACTTTAATATGCCACCAAAGCGTGCTGCAAAAGCAAAGGTATGAACATATATATGTATATATATTGTTGTAATGTATATATATGTTTTTTTTCAGCTGTAAGTGTAACAAACTGTGACAATTAGAACTCGTGCTATATTAAAGATTAGACATTTTTCAATCGAATTTTCAGTCCATCAAAGTTTACTTTTGCCAGCAGTGATATTGTTTTTAAATCAATTCTGAGTGGGACACAATAAGTTTTTTTTCTACATGTTTTTTTTCTACATATTTTCGACATGTTCTCTTGTATTATTTTAATACAAAGAAAATTGCAGCTAAAGCACATTGAATATTAATGGAAACTTATGGTAACTCTGCTTATGGTGACTGTTCCATCAGAAACAATATGTAGAGATTGGTTTTGATGATTCAAAAGTGATTTTGATGCAAAAGACAAGGAAGAGGTTAGCAGAAAAAGTTTGAAGATGCCAAACTGCAAGCATTATTAGATTAAAATCAGTCTCAGTCAAGAAATTGCTGAGGCACTGAATGTTGCAGTCTCTACAGTTTTTTATCATTTACACGTAATGGGAAAAATTCAAAAGAAAGAAAAATGGATGGGCAATATATAATATATTAAAAGATTTGAGTCTTGTATGTAAAATATACAAAAGATATTAACTATAATATTGTTAGAATCTTTAATTTAACAAGTATGGTATTATTTGGATAAATATGAGGGAGATAGGTTCCCTCACTGATTTTCCTGAAACTGGAATATTGCATATTTGAATGCGCAAAACAAATCTGAAAGTTAAAAGTGTCGCTTTTAAGTGAAATAAGAGTTATGAGATGCTGAAAAGTGATAGTTTTGAGGTTAGGAAATCTGTCATACGACGACAAGAACATGATCTGTAGTTATATACGCGTACGAAAAGCGCGAGTTTAAAATGTATGTATGTATTAAATTTTCGCCTTGTACAGGATGACCAGTGGGAATGTATTGAAACTAAACTGTTATATATTCTCTACTCGATTTTGGCAACTGTCTTACTGATTAGCAATTTAGCTACCGGCGACTCATCAATTTCATTTGAACCGTCGTACAGACCGATTTGCAATGAATGCGCTAAGCATCAAAGAAAAAAATGTTTCTCATTGAGTGCTTCTACAGTAGAGGAAAAAACTATATTAAGGCGTATCGAGGATTTCGTAGCAAATATGGGTCTAAAAAAGTTGCAAGCGAAACTATACTCAAAAGGTATGTTTTCGATACTTTGTACTCACGCTCCCCTTTCCTGAAATCATGCTATAATCCTAATGCTGATTATGTGAGATTTTATTTTTATTTTTCGATATTTTTTCGCAGGATTATTAATAATTTTATTAAGTATGGCACTTTGAACGATCGTAGACATGATTTACCCGGCCCATCTCGTACCGTTACAACAGACAAAACAATTGATAACGTTAGAACATATTTTGACGAAAATACAAATACTTCAATTCGGAAAGCTGCTCAAGCTTTAGATTTAAAGCGAGAAACTCACCGAAAGATTGTAAGAGAATTTGTCATTAAAATATGCATATAACTGCATACATATTAGGTATTTCGATTAATTTCCGTTGTTTTTTTGCTTGAAAAACGCATCTCAGTTACAAAATGAATTGATTAATTAATGCGGGTGGTTGGCCTAGGTATACCCATGATTTTTTGCATGTAGGATTGTCATAATGGATCTACTTTTCATCACCGGCAACAATCCAGTATAAAAATTATTTTTCTGTCACAATCAGAGCAGTGGCGATGGATACATGGTTCAGCATGTTTACTTCAGTTAGTTCATGTGGTATCTATTTTCCCTTCTTTTGAATTTTTCCTATAAATAGTCAGAAACTATCGAAATTGCAACATTTAGTGTTACAGCCAATTCCAGGAGTGTTTGAAATTGATTTTGGTCCAATAATGCTTGCAGTTCAGCATCTTCAAACTTTTTTGGGTAACCTGGACATTCCTTGTCTTTTACATCAAAATCACCACTTTTGAATCGTCGAAATCAATTTCTACATGTTGTTTCTGATGGAGCAGAGTCACCATAAATTTCCACTAATAGTCGATGTGTTTTAATTGCAGTTTTCTTTGTATTAAACTAATGGAAGAGAATACGCCGAAAAGCAACTTATCGTGTTCCATTCAGAATTGATTTAAAAACAATATCACTGCTCGCAAAAGTAAACCTTGATGGACTGAATTCTATTGAAAAATGTTTAATCTTTAATATAGCGTGAGTTTCAGCTATCACAATTCACTACATTTGCAGCTGAAGCCATCTAAATGCGAACAGCGGAAATTAACTGTAACACGTAATATATAAAGTCTAAGATTATTAGAATTAGATTGGGACTAAAATTGAATTTAACATATACAGTCTGTTCCACAAGAGCATACGGCTCCACATTTTATTAATAGATGGCGCACAGATGTTAATTTCAGTTTTTTCGATTCTCTGAACAGTTCGGAAAAATGCTTTGAGATGATATGGGTAATGTGACTTGTTTTGTCTGTAACACAACAGAATAAACACAATGAGTGTTGCGTATACAAGTCGTTTTGAAACAGTGTTTCTTTGCACACATCCGAAAGGACCGAAAATGTCATATGCAGCTGCTGGCCGCTACATGAAAAAGTCAGAGGGGTTCGTTAGAAAGTGGGTGAAACGTTATAACGAAACAAAAAGTGTTGATGACCTGCCGGAACGTGGCACCCAGCGCTCAACGACGAAAAAGGACGACAAAGCTATCATCAAGATATTTGAGAAGAATCCTGGGTGTTCGTTACGGCGAGCGAAGAATCTTTTATTGAAGAAGGATGTAGAAGTGAGCCTTAATACTATTAGGCTTGATTCCGAATACGGCTGGCGGCCGTATTCGGAGAAACAGCCAGTACGCTTTTGTGGAACAGACTATATATATGTAGCAATGTAAGATGTTATTCCAAATTTTCAGGCAAATTAGTGAGGGAGCCCGTTTCCTTCACATTTATCATTATTTGTAATAATCTGTAATACACACGCACACACACACACACACACACACACACACACACACACACACACACACATATATATATATGAAAAAGTTTTATATTAATTCTTTTTCAAATTAGGCTAATTCGTCTAGAGCTAAGCCTGAAAAGAAAACAAATATGAAGGAATCTTCAAGAAAGAAGCGAGGAAATGATACAGATGATGAACCTGCTCCCAAGAAAGCAAAAAATGAACCAAAGGAATCTAAGAAAACAAATAATGAAACCAAATCTACTACGAAGAAAGCAAAGGATGAACCCAAACAAAATAAGATTGATACAAATTTGGATGAGATAGATTTTGAATGTATGAAGCCAAACGTGGAAGGAAAAGAATACAACTTGAAAATTTGCACTTGGAATGTTTCTGGAATCAGAGCTGTTATTAAAGTATGTTAATTTGTCTTAACTAATATACTAAACTTATAATAACTTCGTCCATAGCGTTATTTAAATAATTTGTTTTTACTCAGAAAAATGGATTAGATTACATTGCCAAAGAAGATGCAGATATAATAGCTTTGCAAGAAACAAAATGTGGCAAAGACAAAATGCCAGATGAAATCAAATTATCAGGATATCATCATTATTTTCTTGATAGTAAGATATATTTAAAAATTTGTGTTATAAGAATAATTTCATTGATAGATACATTTTTTAACAGGTAAACAGTCAGGGTACTGTGGAGTTGCTTTGTTCTGCAAGGAAAAGCCAGTTTCTGTGAAATATGGTTTAAATAACTCTAACTTTGATAGTGAAGGTAGAATAATTGCTGCTGAATTTCCAGAATTTTTCATGGTTAATGTTTGTAAGTATTATATATTAATAAATAACTTAAGATAATGTATTATATTGATACTATTCTATAGTCTATGGAAAGTTTATTCTACATATTTCTTAGAATTTAATGTTAATTTAATATAAAAATATATTTATATTTTGGAGAAATATAATAAAAAAATATGTGTAATAGATGTACCAAATGCTGGGCAAAAACTAGTAACGCTGCCGAAACGATTGGAATGGAATAAGATATTTAAGAAATATATTGAAGAATTGGATCAAAAGAAACCTGTTATCATATGTGGTGATATGAATGTTGCTCATCAAGAAATAGGTAATATTATTACATCAATTTTAATTTTATATTTTTAGATTTTTATTATTTGGTATAAAACGATAATAATTACAAAATAAATAATAACTTGTAATTATCTTTTCTAGATTTAAAAAATCCAAAAACAAATACTAAAAATGCTGGATTCACCAAAGAGGAACGAGACGGTATGACTGACTTTTTGGCTGCTGGATTTATAGATACATTCAGGTTATTATATCCTGATAAGGAAGGTGCATATACATTTTGGTCATATTTTGCCAATGCGCGTAATAAAGATATTGGATGGTAAGTGTTATTTTTATTAAAACTGTTATATAGATCATAAATAAAAGTTGATTAAATTTTCTTGTAATATTATATTACCGATTTATATAGTTTTGTAGTTATAAGTTTATTTTTATGTATGCGCGCGTGTGCACAAAACACACATGTATATTGGTGCATTAAAAATAGTTCTAACCATTTATATATCATTTTTTATATACAGGCGACTTGACTATTTCTTGGCATCAGAAAGAATCAAGAATAAAATATGCGATAATATCATAAGAAAGCAAGTTTATGGCAGTGATCATTGCCCTGTAATACTTTATGCCAATTTATAATAAAAGTTGGATTACATTTTTGTGATGCATAGAAATGTCACAATAAAAACTCTTTTCAAATGAATAGAGATATTAATATGCGAACAAGTAATTACATTCTTTATTACATATAGATATTTGAAACATATTCTTTGATATTGTATAGGATGTTCTACTAAATATATCTGTCTTATAATTTAATTTCAATCAGGTAAAACAAACTTAGTGTACTTATTTTATATCTTGTAACGTAATAAATATTTTACTAAAAGTCTGATCACAGTTGTGTTTTAGATTTTTATTTCCCACCTGGATCTACTGTTATAGCTATAATATTAATATATTAGTATATTGTAACGTTTTTACTTAACAATTAGCAATATTGCACATTTATAATATAATGAACATTTATTTTTAAATCATTCGTTTAAAAATCTATATTAGAAAAAAGGGATAAATTGTACTTTGTAAATTAAGAAGAAATTTATCTTATATATATAAATATATATATTTATAGAAAATTTATTAGAACAATAAACTCACGATACAACTCAATAACAAGTCAGTCGCTTCTTATTCCTCAAGTAGTGTAACTCAATGATTCAATAACTATGTGACTCAAAAGATGTCAGTCGGACATTAAATGAGAAACGACTATCTAATTTTCAATCTCATTTATTGAAGCATGCATGAGCAGATATTTATACTAAAATAATCGAATTAAAATCTTCTACACATATGTAAATTAAAGAAAAATATTTACAAATTTGTATGGTATAAATGTCATTTGTCTATAGTTTTTCAAACAAACCTTATCACAAATTTTAACATTGTTATTTTTTAATGTACGTATATATTTAGTATAATTCTATAAAAATTATTAGACTTTATATTCAAAAATATATTCGTGAATTAAGAACTTCAAATTAAAAATAAAATGCTTTTTTACCATCATTTTAGTGGAAATTACAGATTTGATCTTGATTGATTTTTCCTTATTGTTCAAAATATATCCAACATGTAGTTGAATCTTATTACTTGGCAGAACCTAACCTATAGTAGCAATAGTCGAAATTGGGAAAGGCAAACAAAAATATCTCTGTGCGTGTATTATTATTAGTGCACACAATGATGTTTAGTAATAAAAAGAACAGTTTACCTCCAAGACCACTTTTGCCAAATCAAGAACATATGTTGGAGGATCTTAATAATACTGTCGTGGACGACGTAGCGTTCAAAATCATAAGTAAATATGTGATACTTCTTGGATTAAAAAAATCTAAAATTTATCAATAAATTTGTTAAGTTTATATTTAGAGAGATGCAATATATAAAGATTGTGCAGTCTAATTTAATTATATATTGTTTTAAAAGTTTTTCTTTAAAGACTTTAGCATGATATCTTAGATTGGATGCTATTCTTATTAGAAAAAAATATTCAAATATTAACTACTTACACTCAATTAATTGAATTTACTCTCAAATATGGGTATGTATACTAAAATTTGATATACCCATATTTGAAAGAAAAGTTGAACAATTGAGTGTAAACAGTTAATATTTGAGTATTTTTTTCCGTAAATATATTTTTTAGTACAAATATCATTGAGTTATATCCTCATTAATATAATTTCAGATAATTTATGTATAAAGGAATCTTATGGCCTCTCAAGTATTTATAATTCTGATGACATATATAAAAAAGTCAAATCCTATTTAAATACCAAACAACAATTGAGACAATTGGAATTTACTCTGAAGAAAGAAGAACAGCAATTGCAAGCAGATAATGAGGAAATCAGGAGATTAGCAGATGATATTAGAAAGCAGGCCGAAGCTGCTTTAATAACATATGAATAATGAGAGTATAATAACATTGGTATTATATTAAATATTGATTTATATTTTTAAAGTCATTATACATATAAAGATCGTGTAAAATTATTATTATTGAGTTTTTATTAATATATTTTATTATTCACAAAACTATTGAACATTCAGAGTTAGTGGAATCATTAAATATATCCATAAGTGAATATATTAATTAATGTAAATAAATTTCTGTGTTATCTTTGTCTCATATGATTGAAGGAACACTCAATAATATTTTACGTATAGAAGGTATTAAATAATATACATATAGTGGCGTGCAAAAGTTTTGAGCCATAGTGTCTTTTTAAGATCCATGACAATATATTGATGTGCTCTAAAAATTAATTATATAAAATAATTGACATAACATTCTTACAAATGATAGTACAGTTACAAAATTTTGAAATTACATAGTTTCTATTTATTTAGTCATATAATATTTACATGTGTTCAAAAGTATTATTGAGCAGTATTCTTGTTGTGACTTTATGAGCCCGGTTTGTTTACGTTTCTTATGAAACTTCTTCGTAAATATTTACTTTAACTAAGATTCAGTCTATTGTCTACCGCAATGCCGAAACATACAAGCCTTCAGTTACGCGAAGCCGTGATTAATCTTTCTCAACAAGGAAAGGTTTCTCGCGAAATTGCTAATTGCTTATTAATTGATAAAAGTACCGTAAATAGGATTATTGCTAAATATAAATTGATGAACTCTCTAACTGATAAACCACGAAATGGTAGACCTCGCAAAACTACAAAGCGCGTCGATAAAATGATTAAAAGAAAGTCGATAGCAGATGTTAGAAAAACTACCATGGATATTTCTCGAGAATTACGAGAAGAAAATCTTTCTGATGTTAGTCGAAGTACAATATCTCGACGTCTAAAGGAAGTAGGACTTTTAGGACGCGCTGGTGTAAAAAAAACCATTAATTAGTGCAAAAAATAAGAAAGCTCGATTAGATTTTGCAAGGAAATTTGAACATTGGACTGAAGTTATTTGGCGAAAAGTACTTTTCTCTGACGAGTCAAAGTTTCAGTTATTCGGAAGTGACGGTAGAAAGTATATATATGATATCCAACAGGCACAAGATATAACTCAAGATATCAAATTCCTACCGTAAAACATAGTGGAGGTAACGTGATGATTTGGGGATTATTTTCTTATAATGGGGTTGGTCCATTGGTTGAGATCACGGGTACTATGGACGCTATAATGTATCGAGATATATTGACACAGCATATGCTGCCATATGCAACTCGAAACATGCCACATGATTGAATTTTCCAAGATAACGATCCCAAACATTCATCAAAACTAATAAAAGAATTTTTCATCATGAAAAAAATGCGAGTTCTTGACTGGCCTTCGCAATCGCCGGACTTGAATCCTATTGAGCATTTGTGGCAAGAACTCAAACTACGTACAGGAAATAAGAAACACTCCAATAAAGCTGAATTGTAGCAAGATTTGCAAACTCAATGGCAAAATTTACCTCAAGATCGCATTTCTAATTTAATAGCATCAATACCTCGTCGTTGTGCTGCAGTGATTGCTTCTAAAGGCATGGCAACAAAGTATTAAGTTTAAAAAAACGTAGACAACATTTTCTGTTATTATTTTTCAATAATATATTTTCCTTATGCATAAGAATACTTTTTGGCGCAATACTTTTGCACTGTTCGTAATAAGACATTGTATAAAAATAAAGTATTTAGAATTATTAAAAGTTTGTAAAGTTTATATAATTGTAGGATAAATAAATACATTTTGTTTATATATATATATGTGTAAAGTTTTTAGTGCTCATTATGAAATGAATATATAATAATAATTGTATGGCTCAAAACTTTTGCACGCCATTATATATATATTTAATGACAAAATAAGTTTTGTTTGATAATTCTTTTCTATTTTCAACATTGATATGTTGGTGTACCAAATGGCTGATACACGAATTATTTAATGATACAGAACATTTTATAAAGTTATCTCAACAAAATTTATGACAAGGCACAATAACAACTTAATGTCTAATACTACTTATTGAAGTATATCATTACATGTTTATAATTGATCACATTTATCAGGGCAAAAGATGTATGCTATAAAAATGGAATGGTTTTTTGTGTTGCTTTGTGTAAAAACTTACAAATTACTTATTTTAGCAGCAATTAGAGTAGCTCAGTTAATGACTAATTATCTTGACTTAATTACCTTAATTATTCAAAGAGTCAAAGAGAAGTTAGAAATTCTTTTAAATAAATATTATATTATGACAATTGGACAATAAAAATTATAATAATTGTATATATTTAATCTATTTTTCTTAGTTTATTTTACATTATCAGAAAATTGTTTTCCCAAAATCTGAATTTATGCATAGATTCGAAAAATTTGTATATCATGAATAATTTTCTATAACTCTTTGAATAAGTATGTTAAGTGCCACTTGTTTAAGTGGCTTTTTTACATGTAATTGTACCATATACAATAAAAATACATCTATATTATTGTTAACGATACTTATACTTGAATACTCGTCTCGAATACTTGAAGTCGCGCGTAATTATTTTAGAGAATTATTTTATCTCTACAAACTACTTGCGTTTTATAGACTGCTTGCATTCAGATTGAATAAGGTTTCTAACAATTTAATAGATAATAATCTATAATAAATCATTTCTCTTCCTCTCTCTCATATCTCTCTACTTGTGCGACATGTCAAAAATTGCTAATTAACTGGATCAACGACCATGTGTATATATACATATATATATATATGTGTGTGTATATATATAATTATGTAATTGTGTGTATATATGTGTATATATATATGTGTGTGTGTGTGTGTGTGTGTGTGTGTGTGTGTGTGTGTGTGTGTGTGTACATACATACCATCATTAATCAAATTAATTAACAACTTTTTACATATCACATATGTAGAGAGAGAAAAAGAGAGAGAGAGAGAGGGGGAGATTATTTATTATATATATATATATATATACACACACATACATACATACATACATACATACATACATACATACATACATACATACATACATACATACATACATACATATACACGTGCGCATGTGTGTCCTTTCAGATATCCTTAAAGAAAAAGAATATATAATTTATATATATTTAAAATATTATATAAATAATATATATATGTATAAAAATTATATACTTAAAAAAAATATATATTTTTCTTACTGTGCGTATATATGCGTGTGTATAATATTATAAAATCTTATAATATAATTTTTGCTTAAACAAACGGTCTAAAAATGAAATATAGTGTACAAGAACGGAAGATTTGTGATACAAGTAAATACTATAGAAGTTGCTTTATAAACTATATATATATATATATATACATACATATATATATATATATATATATGTATATAAAGGCGAACTATTATAAATATTATTACATTTTTTACATGTAATAGTATTTTTGTTGTGATATATAGCTCGTTTTTCTACAGGTAAATTTAAATCTAAATGCAAACTGATACTATTACACAACCATTAAAGGCAAAAGCTATTTCTAATTGGATGCACTTGGTACCATATCAAATCGAACTACAGGTTCATTAAAGTAGGCACACCATGTGAAACCTGGTGGGTATCCTGAAAAGTCATGTCATTCTGTTAGTATATAATAATAATGGTAATCAGAAATATTAATATAATAATACATTCTACCACATAATTTACACATTACACAGTTTATGCAAAGTGTACTAATACACTTATATATATAAATTAGTAAATATATAATATAAACACCTAAAAAATCGCCTTTTCTATATAATATTCTAATATATAATATTCTCTTTTTTTTTTAATTGAAAAAAGAGAATTTTTCGAATAATGTCAGCATAAAATTACAGCAAACTGTTTGTCTAATAAAAACTTTAATTCATAAACAATATTTACATAAAATCATGTTTTTCCAATATAGCAAATTTCAATAAGTTTAAAATATTTTGTTTTTCTCAAGCGTTATTAAATGCACAGACAGCCACAAGCATACTAGGCAGTAGAAATATTATTTATAATTGCACAATAATTACAAAATTAATCAAATAATGATGGTAAGATTTTTCTACTGATATACGAAAGATATATGAATTCATGATTAACAAATTAGACATATAATTATGCAAGAAGAAATTAGCTATTATTACAAAGTGAAAGTTAATCCTTCCATGCCTCTCTGTGTTAGATACAACCAAGTCTAATAATCTATAAAGTTCAAAAACTATATTTAGTCGACATATGCCTTCAATTCTGAAATATAACCAACTTAATACAAAGTTTCGTATGTATATTTATGATTTTATTCATAATGTTATAATTATTTCCATTTTCTTATGAATTTGTTTTATAAGGCATTGTAGGCATATACTTACATGATATTAAAGATTATTTTTTATGTGCTGATAATATGCGGATGAGGTAATATACCGAGACTCATCATCTTCCGTCCAGCTGCATGCAAGTAATCCCTCAAAATTAGTATGTTAGTTACATATTGACACGTACTACACAAGAGTTAATACGAAGTTTGAGATTCTATAAGCTATAAAAAGAAAAAATAACATTCAACGTTCAATTGTGGTTTTACTGTCTCACATAAAAACGATATGATAAAAACTAGACATATGTAATATATCTTTATTCCATAACATTTTTAACAATTATATAAAAATGTTTTACATTTTGTATATAAAAATCGTCGGTTCTCTATACAATTACAGTTTCTTTCTTTTTTTGTAGTAAGGATGGAATAAGTATTCTGTGAACATAGTATATATAAAAGTATATATGTTACACATATATTAACTACAGCACTTATATCTATGCCAATTTTTTAGGACGGACATAACGGATATGTAATTTCAAAGTCTCGTATAATATTGATTACATTTAAAATCATTAACAGTGATGTTCATATTGTATCGCTAATTGTTTTTAACAATATCTTATAACATAGTTTAATGTATTATTCCATATAACACTTCCGATAATACCTCCATTACGATAACACTTGTACGATTGCACAAAGAAAATAAACCATATATATATATACTGCTCTCAATTTCTTCGGCTTCTAAGTAAAATTCAGATGCTCTTCTCAAATATGCGCAATTAATAGTTAGTTATTGTCTTTTTAGATGCTACTTCTCTTATTTAAAAACAAATGCACATATAGTAAGAATTTATAATATCCAAATTATAAATATATAGTACAATAGTGTGTGTAATATATTCTCTGTCTAGAGAGAGAGTATATATATATCTCTCCCTTCTCAATTGTAGTTCTGTTAAGAATCATATTTTGTATATTCATGAACATTCAAAAACATGATAAAAACTAAAATACGTTTGTTTAATTCAGAAATAGCAATAATATAGATATGAATGGTATATTGAAGGTACCATTCTTTATCTAGTTATACTATTACTCCTTAAATGGGAGAAACAGATAAATCCTGATAATAATAATATATCTAAGTGATATATATACTATATTGATAACATTTAAATAATATTAATTAATTAATTCAAATTGTATAAATTTAAAAAAAAGGAAACAAATATTATATATATCTCCCAAAATGGTGAACAATCTCATTTATTTTAAACTGATATATATTTTGAAAAATGTTTTAATATTGTCACACATTCTAAGTTGAATTAGTGATTCAAATGTATAATTTCAGCAATGTTTCTTCTCTATTTTATATGCATTTGTATGGCCTCAAAAGTGTAGTAAAATATTTAACATGAAATGATGGTGATATGGTGAATATGATAACACATATTACTTAAAAAATTCATTAATATCTAAATCATTGCAATATGAAAAAAATGTTTCAGAATATTATAATCGATAAATGAAACTAAATATAACTGATAATGTACGAATATATACATAATACATAAAAAGCAGTCATATATATGAGATTACAAAGAAAAAAAAGTATATTGTAAGAAATATACCTCTATGCTGTATTGAAGATCTTGTGTTAAATGCATCATGAATATATTAATTTTTCAATATATTGCCAGTTAGCACATGGAATGTAAATAATATAATACAGTTTAAATTTATAATAATCATTTTATAACAAAATATTCTTCTCAGGAGAAAATTTGTATATTTTATTAATAAAAATATTGATAGTAGCAAGATTATTTCGTTTTGTTACATTTCTGATAAGTTTCAGTAAGATTTCCCATTATTAACTTTTTTTGCATATCTACGATCATTACATTCTATAGCGAATCTACTATACAACAATAAAATACATTAGTATAAATATTGAAAATGTAAGTAGATAGCTAGCTTTAAACTATATCACCATAATCGTTCATTACGTTAAAAAATTATAATTTAAAAAAATGTGCTTATTAAATAAGCCATTATATAATACATGATAATTTGAACACACAATATTAAGTCAATCGAAAGCATCAGGAACATGTAGTTTTCATTTGAATTTCTATCATAAGAGACTCTATAGGTAGTTTTCTGATATATTATATTAAGAAAATTCCATTGGCAGTCACCTAGAGGTGAAATCTGGCATTATAAAGAATTTTCGTAACGTCAACTTGCCTCTGGGCTTGTGTTTGAGATGGTCCTCAATAAATTGACAAGGGCAACGGGCGGAGACACAATGGCGCGGTGGAACAGACAGACCTGTGACACCTCTGTCGCGTTCCTGTGAGTCTATAACCAGATCAAGTCTGCGACGCACAAAGTGACGTGCCCAACGAGACGCATACCTCAGCAACAGCAACTCCGCCCGTTCCTGTCAACACACACCATCATTCAATAGCTCCCATAGGCTTGACGTGACAATGATAAGTGTATCTCTTTAAAAACAGCCGCGGTAAACAAAAGATATCTCAGATATCTCATAACTTACATCGACTATAAAAATTACCTAATTGTGTGATTTATGAAATTAATGTATGTGTGTGTGATTCTATGAATAATACATATATATATACATACGTATATATGTGTATATATATATATATATATATATCTAGTGTTCTTTAATGAAATTGTGTAATAACGGAGATATAATGGCTATTAATTATACTATTATTATATTATTAAAAAATTATATGTAGCATGTTTATAAAATATGTATCATATTTAAAAAGCATATGTTCACCATTTTAGAAGTAAATTTATCTTCTATAATATTCTTTATATAATTCTATAATAATATATTTGTGCGATTAAGTTCATAATTAAGTATAATAGTAAAATCCTGAAAAATTTTTTAATACACGAAAACTTAATAAGAGAATTTTCCGCACACATGCGTATTAGATCTGTAAAAATTGGTTCCTATTGTCCTTTATTTTTATTTCGAAAAAAAATAAGGCTTCTTTCTTTTTACTGGAATGTAAAAACAGATCATGAAATATTATCATATTTAGACTATCTCTAGACTATTAAGTAACTGGGCCATATTAAGATTTAATACTAAATTGAAATTTATTTTAGCAATAAATGTGGAATGTGATCAAATATGAGCGGCAACTTGAAATTGAAAAATTAGTTCAATAAGTTCTATTATAAAATATTAAAATTGATATTTAGTGAGTAATCTAATTCTGATGTTACAAGTACAAATTTTTCATTTGCATCTTTTTTATCATATCAATAGAGATTATAAGACACATAATTAAGGCATATTTGTATCATGTTTATAGTATAGGAAGTTAAAGTTAGCAAAATAATAATATATCACTTATACATAGGTGTGTATACATACACATCATAGTATGCATAGTATATATTATATCAAATTTAACTTCCGCTTGTAATTAAAAGCATTTGTCACGTCATATAATTATTCCTAAGCAAAATATTAAGTACATTTAAGACAGTTAAACATTAAACAAATAAATGTAAATGATATAAGATTTATAAACATAATTTTTAAGAAATTATAATAAGAAACAATAATCAAGATATTAAAAAGCAATTACGTTATATATTACATTAATATGCTTTCCAGTATATTGAAAAGCTTCTACCACGATACATAGTTTGAATGTGTAAAATATTTAAAACATTTTTAACGTAACAAAAATTAATTTAAACAAATATGTTTTTTTATAAGCTGCTAAATTGTATAATGTGCGATTTGACTATGTATATGTATTTAATATTAAAAAATGGCCACTTTTTTAGATATAATTACATTCAATTTTCTAAACTATGTATAATAATATAAATTATAATAAGATAAAAATAGACAGTTGTTTTTTTAAAGCTGCTTTTTAAAATGTTCAACATCAAAACTTATATTCGAAAGTGCAAAGATCTCTTTTTTATACTTTATAAAATTCTATATATTGTCCCATTTATTATTTAGAGTAAATTAGGAATAAGTTTCTGTACGTTGCCGTAACAACAATAAAGTAAGCATTATTGTATAACTTCTGTTACAAATGTATACAACTGTAAGAATCTTCTCTTCTCTCTTCTCTTTCTTTTATATAAATTTTATATTATTTTTTATGTAAACTTTTCTTTGAGATATGAAATGCCCTTTTTTAAATGCCTCTATCTCTCAGAAAACTACTCCATCTAGGACAAAAATCTCGGCCCTGAACGCGTGGCTTATTACGTAACCATTCCTCTATATATTGACATGGACACAGTGCGGACGCTAAGTGACGAGGTGAAGAAGGGTTTCCACCCTCCTCGTCAACTGTCCAATCCAAACGTCGACGTAAGTAATCCTTCGCCCAACGTTGTACATAACGGCAGAATACTTGTTCGTTCTTACCCTGGTAGATTGTAATATAATGCATAATAAATGTTTAATACAACTTATTGCAATCGGTAACGACAAATTTAGCAGATCGATAGCAAATCGATCGATTTTATAGCAAAAAAACTTTGAATGTTATAAAAGTCAGAGTGCACTGCGAATTACAATTAGTAAGCGGCATACAAGAATATTTTTTTATCTATAACATTGTATTCTAAACAAGGTTTTGAGTATAGATCTACAGGAATAAAAGTTTATGCTTTGCATGAAAAAAAAAAGGCTAATCATCGAAATTGTAACTGGTAAACTGATGAAAAAACTGGTATGAATCTATTATTTTGTATTATTTTGCATGTTTATAACAGCGAAATAACGCTTCGTTTCTATCTCCTCAACATCTCAACCAAAATAATATATATATATACACACATCCAAATCTCAAATATATTAAAAATGAATTATAAATTGAATTAAAAGAGAAAATTAGAGAATAAGCGAAATATAATAAAGAAAAAGAACTTGAAACTTTTAAACATATAGAATATATAACGAGATAATAAAGAAAACAATTAAGCAACAGTTTATACCTGTTTACGAGATATTCTCGTAGTGGTGCTGCCTTGTATAACAATATCACTGTCATCAATGTCCATACGTTGCTGTAATTCTCGTTGTCGGCTTAATTCATTCGCATCGTCACTATTGCCGATCACTCTACCTTCCCGTTCTTCTCTTTCGATTACTTCTTGTAGTTTTTTCTGTCGTAAATTAAATCATTAATTATTTTCGTACGTATGAGTGTACATAATTATACAATTGTCAAATTTATTTTTGATAATATAGCAACAATATTGACGTATAATTCTTTGACTCGTTAAATATTACTATTTAAGAAAAGAAAAAGAAATTGAATAGTACCGATTAAAATTAAGACTCAGATAAAAGATACAACCAAGAATATATAGCTATTACTTACAACACAGTCAGCAGTATCAAAGTATATAAAACACAGATTAACTTTGTGGCATGAGATCTTCCCTCTGTCATCCAATCCAAGTAATATTTTATGTCTCAATAAATGTTTGTTAACTTGAGCCATACATTTTTCAAGATTGTGATTGAGCTTTATCTTAATGAACATACAAACAAATATTGCAGCTGCATTCAAAATCAACCACATGACACCAAGTCCAAATAAGGTAAGACCAGTCACTCCAGAGAATAGTAGACCAAGTAACACAACAAAGGCGGTGAATATCCAAAGAACAAGAATCCTCTTGTAGCAGACGTTATACATGTTAAAACGTACATCATTCACAAGTAACTCCATTATGTGAACATAATCTTCCACTGTAAGCTGCAATATATGTCTATTATATTAGAATATTGATCATTTAGTTTCTTTAAAATATATAAGAAATAATGAAATTAAAGCAAGATATTTTTATTTTGCAAGTATTTAAATCCATTATTCCTAATTTTATAACTTGAGCATCAACTAAACTTTGTGAATTATTTTTAAGAGAGAACAGTATATTGTTAAATGTGATATTAAGATACATGTTAAAATGTAATATGATTGAATATATATTACATACTGTTAGCCCTTGTGCCATTAATTCTTCTGGTACTAACTCTGGTCTAAATCTAGCTGGAGTAATCCATGGCCATCTAGTATTCACTGGTAAGAGGGTAACAATGGTATCACCATTGGCAAAACCCTGTCTAATATTTCCAATAGATGTACTGATAACATTACTTGATGTACTTCTACCATTTGATGTATCCCTTAGATCAATAGTTTTTAAAGAAGCACTTTTGGCTTCCGTTGCTCTAACATCAGATGGTAATTTAAGATCAGGAGTATCGGACGTGATGGAACGGCTTAAACCTGATCTATCTAAATTAATCTGGACGGATTCAGTTGCTATCACAGCACCTCTATACTCATTAGTTTTCTTATCATTAATATCAGGTTGTTCAATACTTTTACTAATTTTGTCAACTTGCACTGTTACTGACTCAGGTTGTATTACAGCTGGTGTACTATTGTTGGTTTTTCTCTCTGTGTCAGTAGTTTCCTTTGGACCTGGCTCCTCTTCAAACTGGACCCAATTTTTTGTTTTTATAACTACATCAGAAGGATTAGCTGCTGCTGCTGCTGCCGCACTATCAATTGTATCTTCGGAATTCATTACTACAATAACAATAAACAAGTCAAAGATGTTATATTGATTTATATCAAAACATAGAAAAGACAGTATTGCATTATATAAGTTTCTCTGCCAATTTCTAGCAAATAATAATTAATGACGAAACATATTTTGATATTTAATGATAAATTACACGAGACGCAGTCCTGTGAAAACCATCTCAATTCGTATATTTATACTTTTCTGATCTTCAATTAGCTTATTATCCACACTTAACTCGGCAATGGTATTCATCGTAACCGGATACACGATATTACATATATGCCCATTTGTTCGCTTAAAAGCAGGGAGTGTCCGGACATGGAATCGAGAGCGCGAGGATGTCATCGACATTGCCACCGCAAAGTGCCTCGATGCAAAGACATATCGAGAATTTCATGCATCTAATGATCTAGATCGATTGATACATGAGGAGACCGAGTTAGTGTCGTTCCACGATGGCAACGCGCGAAATGCGGGAACTTCGTGGATTGCCGAGTGACGACGAATTGACGCGCGTCTGCGTGTGATTCGGATTTTTATTAAGCGCGCCTAAATAGATACCAACAGCGACGATAACAATGATTAGGGCGAGATTGGCGCGACGAAAAAATCGATAAGAAAAGCCATCGAATTGTTCTCTCACATACCTGCTGCGATACAGTGCGTCTCATGCCCACGAGTCCGAAAGGTGTGCAATGTACGAAATCAAGGTATACGACATGGGACACGGCGGGTAGAGGTGGGACACGTTGAGGTGGGGTCGAGAGTCGTGTACAACGAAGGCAGGCACGAACGTATACACGTATGTATGCACAATCAGGTGTATTAATGTTGTCCGGCGTGTCTACACACTCACATAAAGATCTGCATCACACGACCTATCAATTCTTCCTGCTCTTTCACAAAACGAAACGACTAAATCGTACCGTTGACCATGCAAATGAGGAAACATGTTTCTTGGATATTATCTGCAGAATTTTAACGGGGCCGAGTGCAAGCGCACTGGACAATATTAATACACTCGATTGCGCATACCGCACATATCGGTCGTGTACACACCTGTGCGTGCACATACAGTCACGTACGTGACTGTGCGCCATAACTTATTTATTACAAGCGCAATACGTCTCTTTGCAAATTAGATAAAGATCAAGTCGATCGCGTATATCTATATAGATCGTGATGACAGTTTTTAATTGGTTATTTAATTCAAGAAAAATCTGTACACAAGAGACCTGGGATAAACTCGAGCAAAATCGATTTTACCCGTTTATTATTTATAATTTATACTTGATTACATACATGTATATGTATATACATAGGTATGCTAAGTATATATCAGACATTCTAATCATATTTGCGATAATAGGTCCGTTCTTTTTTGAAGAACTTCAGAACTGGTGCATTATATATATATATATATATATATATATTACATATATTACACATTACCTATTTAAAAAAAATTAAAGATTTATCTCTCGAAATCATGGTAAAATAAGCTATAACTACAACAAAAAAGACAGTAATGAGATAGTTTTAAAAGCATTTTAAAGATTGAAAAATCTCTGGTAGGATGGAAGAATTTAGATATAAATATTAAAAAAAAACATATATGTAGTACAAATATAAGTATAAATTCAATTTAACAATCATCGTCATTTATTTAATGCCACTTTCCAAGTGCATAATATTCTGTAGTTGTTTGCAATATTACTTATCTATAATAAAATCTGTAGTTATTACTAATAACTTATCGGTACAATTGTATTTTCCTTATAAAAGAGTTGAGTTGTTTTGTGCAGCTCGAACACTTGTTCCTACTGAAATGTGAAATCACTACAAATTGAAATATATATAAAAACGATCGAGTAATATACTTTATAAAATATGAAAAAGAATCGATACATTCTTTCAAATTTGGCTTCCTTCTTTAACTTTTACAATACTTTCCCACAAGTTTCGCTTGAGCATAAATTATAATCAATACAATACATATCGAATAACAATTCACGTAGAAAGAAGGGATATAAACTTCGTTATACACAAAAATATATATATATAATCGTAGTCTTAAAAATATACCATTCTTATTATTAGAATAATGTATATATCCCGAAAAAATACACAGGCATTTTAACGCGCACATCACGGCGTTTCCTATATAATATATTAATAAGTTTAAAATTAGGCATTATGCGCTTTTAAAATGTACATAAGAAATATATCTTTCAATCATTTATAAAATCCATGTTTAATGGAAGGTGTGTGTGTATGTGTGTGGTGTGTGTGTATATATCTTATACGTTTATGTTCTACATAAAACGTATTGCTAATATATAAAATAATAATGCTTCAGAAGACATTTTAACTACACATTGAATTCTACACACTGAATAAGGTCATGATATTAAAAAGTATTCGTCATCAATGATGCTAAAAGTATTCTGGTAAGACGTGATCTGAACGATTTACGTACAGTATATTTCTAAATTGCTTCAGAAGACACAATGAATTATTTTCAAGAACCATTTCTCTAACAACAATAATCGTAATACTATCATAGTAACAACGTAGGATTCTTTCTTGAATTATGCAGAATAATTCCGAAACAGATAAATCTGCTACTTAAAAATATGCAGCGAAACAACGTTAGATAATATTTAGTTCAGTCTTCCATGTCACTATATTCGACTCTTTGCATCTTTTGCCTCATAGCACTTTGAAGGAAAATAAACTCTGCGATAATCTTGTCAACTATATACGAATATAGCTCGTTACACATTGCATGGTACCACGAAATGGACGGTCGTACTTTGAAATACTTTATGGCAAGATACTAATTGCTAACCGCAATTTGTTGATAAAATTCAATTGTGCTTCTGTCGGAACGTTTATATATAATATAATCCGTCATTAGAAAGAAAGTTATATCTTTGGTTGTATTGTTGGAGCGTTGAATTTGGTTTGTTTCGTTACTGGGTCGCGTTCTGACTACTTTTACCGCGATTACGCAGTAACGACGCATCTGAGAGAGAATAAGTACTTGGCTCATATATTGGCGGGTATTCCAAAGCAGGATAATCAGGTGGCGGAGACGTCGGTGGCGGTATGTATGGTAACGTTGGAGGTGCCAACGAACTCCTGCTTGTATTGGAACAGCTCTTCTGACCAGCTAAATATCCGCTGCCGTACTGAAAAGGAAAAGAAACTCACACTCGATCGTTTTATCAATGTTCTACTATCGATAGAGTTAACACGAGCTCTTATTTAAAATCAACCACGATTTGTATACTCAACAAGTACCTTTGATATAGTGGAAGGTGTTGACGTATCCGGGCTCCAATCGCTAGCCGAGCTAACTGAACTGATACTTTGACTGAGCGTTTGTGAAGGACTGTTCCCGTTGAAAGAGCTGTGTGACTGACTGATTCCACTGTCGCCAGGACTCTGACTGCCGGAACGAGTGAACAGTCGATGCTGCGACTGATTTGAAGTTTTGTCGCGAAACAGCGCTCTGTGCAATCTCGGTGAACCTATAATAATCGCATCAAATTCATACTCAGATCTCACGAAAGCACAGCAAAAAGCACTTAACGTTTAAATTAGAGATTACTTACCTAATATAGTTTTCTGACTATCCTTAGGAAGATCTAACGTGCAAGGTTTCTGTTGTTTAGTTCCAAACAAGTTCTTCAAACGATTTGCCTTTTGTACCTGATCACTCTTGTCTAGATGCATTTCAAACGCGGCTCTCATGCCTTCCTGTTCGAAAGGTGACATCGGCAAGGGTGGCGGCTGATATTGCGCTACGTTCTTCAAGCGGTTCTTATCGCAGTTCACGGTCTTTTTGTCGCTACGTTTCAACGAATCCAGCCAATGTTTATCGGAGGAATTATAATCGAGACGATTAGTGAGATTAAAACTCCCTTTCCGGCTGATTAACACGTCTTTCTTCGCGCGCTGCAGCGTTTCCGACGACGCGTGAGATGTGAGGTCGCTGCTGGATCCGGAGTAACCTACGATGGAAACGAGAAAATCAAGACTGAATCTCGAATCGTCAACGATCGCTGAGCATAACGGTCTCATCGAAGCGTTGAAACTTTACCGTCGTTTCTAACGAGTCGCTTCGGTACCGCCTTGAAGTCCTCCATTAAATTACCGACGTCCCTCGATGGAAGGTAATCGTGCGTCATGTAGCTCTCGTGATTGGAAGATTGCGGATGGTTGTTGTGCTCGTAGCCCCTGCTATGACTCTGGAAATCTTGTCTACTTGGATTTGTCGCGTTCCTCCAATACGTCGCATCGCCGTTTTTCGCCTGCTGACTATTCGTCAGCTGCTCTTGCGCTCTTCTTTTTTGCACGCAACCCGAATCCCATGTCTTCTTTCCGTGCGCAATCGTCGTTTTGCACATGCCGCAAGACCTGTCGTTCGAGCAGTCCCCTTTACCGTCGATTCGATTGGTACCACTAGCGAACTGACGCGACAAATACATATTCACGTGTCTCGAGTGGCCGTATACGTTGCTGTTGCTCTCGTCGTTGACCCTGCCGTAAGTAGCGCCGATATCGTCGTTCGACGATGCGTCGCTCAATTGCCTGACCTGTTCGCAGCTGCACGCCGCATTATCGTTGAAATTTCTGTGTTGTATGTGCACATGGTCATTGGTCAAAGGCGTCATGCGCGGTGACACCGATCTATTCACGTTATTTTGCCGGTGATCGTCTTCCTGCTGCGACAACATGAATGCCTCTAGCGTAACGAAACCTTGCAGATCGTCCGTTCTTCTGCCACGACCACTGGCGGACCTATAGTGGCGAGGAAATTGCGAGGCTATTGTTACTGAAAAACAAATATTTGCACAAGAAGCGCATACGTAACGTGACACTTACCTATCCGTAGCACGTCGATAATCGCCCATGTCCTGATTACTCGACGGACTCGACATGTCCGTAGTGCTCTGGGAGGCGCTCAATCCGTAAAACGTACTGCCCGCGATGGTCATTTGCAGATCTGGAGAATTTGAGTTGAGATCTTCCTTCCTAGGAAGAACACTCGATTATGATTTCAATCGAATAATTTCAACGACTATCGGAGACGTGAATGAAGTGTTTCTCTGATGTACTCACTTGTTCGGTGTCGACGTGGGCAAGACTCTTCTGTAACTGCGGAACTGCGCCGTTGGCACGGGCATATTTTGATTTTTAGCGCCGAGAAATTTCAAGTACTTGCGATCCAAGCTTGCGCCGCCAATTTCGTGTTCCTTGAACACGATATCCTTCCGTGCGGTCTTCTTCAGAGAGCCGAAAGACTTGTCCAGATTTTGCTTACATTCCAGCGTGTTCTTCATCTTGCATTTGTGACTCTCGCTGTCACTCTCGTCAGTTTCGCTGAAAAGCCCGTTCTGATTGTGACCGTCCGCACCTAGAGTACCCTTGTTGATCGCGTCCAACCACAGGATCAAGCAATCATCGGTATCGGCGGCGAAGTAAAACACCGTTCCTGTGTGGTAGACCTTGAAAGCATACTTCCGTGATTTCACTTCGGCGGCCGGAGATACGGTAAAGCTGGTTAACACGATTAAACAGTCAGCTTTCGTACTGTCTTGTGTCTTAAACCTGGTGAGAGATACAGAAGTAAGAGATTTGCAAATTTATCTGATTATATACGAAATTCGTTGCAACTACTCTCACCTGTACAACGACGAACATTTCAGCACAAACCAAGCCCTTGCCCAGGCTCCACCTGCTCCTCTGCTGCGGTATGTTAACCAGCCTTCTATATCACTAGCACCAATATCTTTCACAGATACATTTCTCCTCTCTAACAAGAAAATCGTGTATCTTTTGTACATCGTGAAAGGAAAGACATAAAACGTTTACTCCGTAGACTACTATGAAAGAATAACATCACACGCGCGCTTTGACAGATGACTTTGAATAAAAGGTAAGTATGAATGTGATTCGTTTTGAGGAACTTTCAAGAGACGGCTTTGTACGCCGAGAAAAAGAATTATATAATTTAATCATATTTACTAGCGAGTAACATGTTCCGTTTCCTGTTGCTTCTTGGACTGCTGTTCGATTTGCTCAAGCTACCGTGTAAACCGATACTTCTGGCCACCATCATGGCTCTATTGACGACGCTCCTCTCAAAACTTTTATCCTTCTCCGATAGCTTCGGTCTTAGCTCCAAAGGCAATATCTGCTTCGAATTGATAAGGTTTTCGGGACATTCGATTTGGCGCGGCGTATGCTCTGACCTGTAGCCGTCTGTCGTGGATTGACTGAAGCAAGCGAATTTTTCTACGAAAGGTTCGTACTTTTCATACGTGTATTTCGTACGTGTATCCTCCATCAATTGCCTGTCGCCGCTTTCATTGTACAAGGAAACATCAGATTGGGTGAACTTCTGATCATTGAGATTTATTATTCGCGGCTCGTCGATGAAATCAAATGAATTCTCTGCATAAGCGAACGAGCAGAAGTCGGGGGACGAATCCTTTCTATCCTGACAATCTGAATCGCTTCTCGCGTGATTCCAAGGTAAAGCCAAGTCCATTTTCCTAGGTTCACGTTTCGCGTTGGGTCTTTCCGGAACTTGGGACTCCGGGAGTTTTGGAGCGGAGTTATTCAGTTTCACGTCGGTCGTTTGCTTTGGATAATAACGAGGCGGCGGCTCCGGTGGTGTCGCATGATGTTTATTCTCGTATTTCCTCACAGACTCGATCTTCGGTAACTCTATGTAACGGCAAGACTGAACGATAGTCAAAGACGAGTTCGACATACACTTGGCATCTTCAGTTTGCGGCTTCGTGCTGATCTGAACTTTCGAGACACTATGAGCGACGTTCGACATGTCGCTTTCGACAAAATTGGCGTTGCTGATCGTTGATGATCGTGATACTATCGTTTCGGTACAATCCTCTCGCGAGATTGTGGAAGACTTTTTCTCGATCAATCTCGTATGCTTAGCTAAAACGCCGTCGAGTGTTCGCGAGACTTGACCGAGTTTCTGCGACAATGTATCTATTTCGACGCTGCTACCGCTGCTCCACATCTCCAAGTGGCTACAGTTATCCTCGCGAGAATTACACGGCGAACTCTTCCTCGAGCAAACAGCTTCAGACTGTTCGTGCGTAGCAACGCTCTCGCACTCGGTACTAGAGTCGTACACGTTGCTGTACTTGTCGCACGCGCTCACGTCCGACATATTGCATTCGATACTGCTTTGGTTTCGCTCCACTATGCTAGCTTTAGGACTCGCGTCGTTCGTCGTGACGCGCACGGGATTCTTACGCGATTCCGATTCCGATTCCTTAGGCATTCCAAAGACACACGGTTGCCCTGCCGCGTTCTCGATCTGGGCGAGTTGCTTCTCGATGTCGCTGATTTTCCGCGCGACATTACCGAATCTCTTGGCAGCGTTGCCTTCTCTATTATCTCTGTTCTGTGTGTCCTTTGGTCTTCTATGTTCGTCAGCACTTTCGGCAAACGTGTGAGCATCCGTTTTCGTTAGAACACCATCTGGCGTACCATTGTTCGAACATTGGACTGGTAAAGTTAATTTACAAAACGGATTCTCGAAGAGCGCTAATTTTTTATCCTCTTTATCTTCGGGGTCCGACAGGTCGTACGCCGGTGTACTGTGACTTTTGTCCAACTTACCCCGTTCTTTCACATATCGCATACCGGTAACCTCTTTGCTTACCAGCGAGTTTTTACTACTAATACTACGCGTATCGCTAATAAAGTTATTACATTCGTCCAAAGGCACGACCGTATCACTTAAATTATTACTATCGCCGGCGTAGTCCGCAGCGCGAGGATGCTCCTTGTTCGTGTCTTTGCTCACAACACTCGTACTGTCGTTTTCACAGATTCCCGTAGGAGTAACTCTCTCTTTCGCATCGTGTGTCACTTTCTTCACGTCGTTTGGATGAACGGCGTTTTCGGTGTCTATCGACTTTTCTTGGAACTGCACCTTTCTATCGTCCAATTGACCGTCAGTCTTTTTTCTCCGTTTCACCGGCTCTATACCTAAACATGTCTGCGGCCGTATGTTCGACGGTACATTGTCCAGACCGTGGGCGCAAGACGCCGCTTTGTCGCGCAACTGAAAGGTCGTACAGTGCTCTTGCTTTAACTCTTTCCAAAACTGCTCAATATCGATACCGTGTTTGGTCGTGGGACTGGCACCTGTTATTGTAGCTCGTCTTTGGACCAAGCTTCTCGGCTTGGTGGAATACAGACGGATAGGAAGAGATGGTTCCACTTCACTGTCCGAATCGCTACTATCTGTCGCCATTGTATCCAACATATTGACTGTATCTAAAATACTTGCCGGTTCCGGGCTGGGATTCTTTGGTATATGTCTACATGAGATGAAATATTTTTGATCAGATATAGAGAAATGAATATCTTGTTCTGAAGAATATAGCAGATGCGACAATAGGACATGTTTGTTAGACTAAAATTTACATACTTTGTATTGTTATCGGACAAGAATTAAATTAGCAGCAAGAAAGACAATCAAAATACATATAGAAAGGCAGCTTACCTAGGTAACGGCATTGTAAAGTCAGGTATTGTTAATAATTCTGGTCTGGGAGATGGAAGATTATGTTGCCATCGTGTTGTATAGGAGGTTTTTTTGTTACTTGGAAGTCTATACGGCTTTATGTAAATTTGTCCATAAACTTTAGTATGCCTTGGCCTACGTTTTAAAGTCAAGAGGATTTCTGCCGGGCTCTCACGAAATAACTCAAGCAGGTTCTTTCTCTCCCACCCAACTACCGTTTGATAATTTACCTAGTAAATTTATACACGTATATATGTGCATGTATTTAACAATTATACAATTTACCGATATTTGATGTCAGAATCAGAATATATTTTACCTGAACAATTTCATCTCCCTCTTCCATTTTGCCACATTGATGTGCAGCAGATCCAAATTTAATTTCAGCTATCTGGTGTGCTCCATGGAAAGATGGTAAAATGTAAAAACCCTGGGGATATTTTTGGATTGTTAAATAAACAATATTATACATGACACAATATTGATGTAAAATTATATTAACTCAATATAAGCATTTTGATTACAAGCTTGCCAAGTATAAATGTTATATCTAGGCAGGAAGTCACAATCACAATATTATGATTTACTGGGTTAGGCCTTATCAATACAGGATGTAATGGCCAAATCATTTTAAAGTAAATATAAGTTACTTAAAATATAAGTAGCTTTACTATTATTTAAAAGATTATATTCTAAAACATAGTACAGACAAAATTTATAACAAACTTAAAAATAAAATATCAATATTATTAGTTAAAAACTTACCAAATCATCACCAGATTTCTTCTTTAATGTTGCTAAATCTAAACTGGCAGGTTGCAAAATCATAGGATCAGCAATGTCTTGAATGATATAATCTGCTAATTTTGCCAATTGACCACAAGTTGTTCTAATTTCTTCGATTGGTTTTTCAGCAAATCTATCTCTTTGTGCACATGTAGCCATTTCTAAAGATAATTTCATTAATTCAGCCTTTTTGTCATTATACTCTAATTGCCCACTGAATGGAGGACGATCCAGCCATCTCACTAGAGGTTTCACCGCCATTACAACTGATGCTACATCTGACAATGTTTGAGTAGTAACAGGCTTTGAATCAGTTTGACGTGACAATTCATTGTGCAAACTGTGTGCCTGACAAGACAGTCGCAATGCCAGCAACTGCAAATTTTCTCTGTCTAATTCAAAGTGAAAATTCCTTAAGAACTCCACAGCCTCAAGTATAATTTCTTGATGTCCAAGTTTCAATACACCTAAGTGTTCTAAATTTTCAGGTCGCAGGCTCAACAATTGTTGCCCATTGACACTATGATTCATAAAACTATGTACATAGGGAAGGATGGAATTATCTAAACCTGTGACACAGAAATATCAAATTATTAGTAGTAGTAGTTGCTAGGATGAATCATAATGGTTATTATCTAGGATGACACATTAACTTGGAAGATAATAAGAAAGGAATTATATAGTACTGTGAATACACAGATATATATAACAGTATTGTAATAATGTATAGTAAAATATTCTATATAGAAATTAATAATTGTATTATATTATCTTATTTATGTATCTCCAAATTATACCAGCTTTCTTGTACATATATCTATATTTCTCTCTTTTTATCTGAGAATAAAAAATATATTTAAAATATACATTGAGGACATCGTTAAATACAGCGATATACCGAAGAAGGTAATAATCTAATCATGGTTGTAGGAGTTTCAGAACATTAATGCAAAATTTTTCAGCAATTAGGCTTGTTTGCAGTTCAACTTATGGCATTAACAATTCTCACATATTTCGGTTCAATAATATTACTGTTTAATATCGCTAATGATATATCGCTGACGATAGAATTATGACGTTTAATCAATCAGTATCGAATTCCATCGAGGATCGAATTCCATCAAGCAGGGAATCATGTGGGAATTACGCAATCGGATCGAATGAACAAACGAGTAAATGAATGAACGAAGGCGGCCTTTTACACCGCTTGATAATTGACAGGCAGCGGGGAAGGGAAGTGGGGTGAACCGAAGGTGGGTGTATGCCGAGAGTGAGAGAATGGATTTCCACAAGCGAAACTGAATGGAATCCCGACATGTTTTTTCCGGGTGACGGGGTGTCGCTTCTCTTTTCCCACGGCTCTTTTCCCCGTTCGCAAACGCACTATCAGCGCTGATAAAACATTTTGTCGCACCTTTCAGCCACTCGCACACCTGATCCGTTTTCCACTCCGCTACATTGACGTACGCCATGATCCGACCGTATATTGATTCCCGCACGAAATACGAAAGTTCTCACGACTTGTCCTCGATCGTTCCAATTTTCGCTCGCCCTGTCGATAAAATTTCACTCTAATGCCAGACTCGAGCGCGCGCGTCGGTATGGTGCGCGCGCACGGTATGTTCGCCATCCGAAGTTAGGCACTGGCGAACCGAAAGCGTCGTCTTCGAAGACCTGTTCAATTTGCACTTTCTTCATCCTACGTCGTTTCTTTATGTTTCCTCAAAGTCTAATGCAGATTTATTTGCTCTTCGGTTATATCTTCTAGATCTTGCTTCTCGGCTCTTTTCTCTCTCTCCTTCATATGAATCGATATGCGCATACAGAGCCGATCACAAGAAAGTCTCTCTCTCTCTCTCTCTCTCTCTCTCTCTCTCTCTCTCTCTCTCTCAAAACCTTGGTCCCAGGCGCCCGTTAAGGTGAATCCCCAACGCCATTGAACTGGAGAGCAATAGCTAGTGTTTTAAATTATAAAATTTGATTTGTGTTTTTGCAGAATTCTGATGTAGGATTCAAAATATTTAAATTCGTTTTCAAAAGCTGCAGCATAGACATCGTTATTTGTGGTAAATCTAGGTTTATGTTAGTAGTATGGTGGATGAAACGATCCGATGCTTCGCTGTATCGTAATGAAATGAAGGAGGATTGGAATTTCCTGAGTTTGACGCTCGAAGAAATGAGCGCAGTCACAAAAATAATAGCAAAGCGTGTTTTTTGATTACTTTTGAAACAATCGAAAGTCACGATATCATCCCACACATATGGACTCTGCATAATGATTCGTCGGTGAGGTGAATAAGCTGCTATCTTCATCTCTCTTTTAATAGTACTTCGAATAACCTGTCCTTGTCGGCGCAAGATACGCACTGTGGAGCGTGCATGGGCATGGGATGTCGTGGTGTACCTTGACTCCTCTCGCGTGAGTCAAAACGCGAATGATCGTGGCAAGATCAACGAAAACAACGGGCGTGTGTCTCGTTCGGCGATCCGTTGATCCGTTCAGCGACTTTTACATATGTACTGATCACGAACTAACGTCGATCGCAGTCGCTCCGCTTTCGCACAGCATAAAGAGACTCTACGTTTGACGTATGAAAAGATGGTGACCGACCGATAGCGGGGTTTAATGATAACGCAAATCCCGAGTGTTTCCATTAATTTTTGTCGTCGATAGGATTATTAATCAAGCGAGGGATGGACGGCAAATCGGTACTGGGGATATCGTGAGCAGCTGAAGACGTCAATCTTGGTTCGTATCGACTGGAGTTGCGAGATATCTTGTTCCTTTGGTCGGAACGTTTTATATACGACAAGCCAGCCAAGTTCGCCAAGTGACAGCATTAACGACCGTGAGATCTCAGAACTGCAATCTTCACCACGTCGTAATTCCTCGTACAAGCTCGTGACAGCTCTCAATCAGTGAGAATTGACGATTTGTGAACGTAACATTTGCCGTAAATTCATTATCGTACGCAGATCGCAATTTTTACATTGCAAATGTCACTTGTCAACAATTCGCGGTGTATTCTCTATTTTAATACTCTTATCTCGCAAAATTTTCAAGAGCAATTCAACTAGATCATATATATTATATAATCGTATTGTTCATTATATTTTTCTTCAAAATAACAGATTTTCAATTTTTTAATTTATTTTTTAAGTAGTATTTATTCTTTATGCTATAAAGTATATATATATTCATTGTAATTAATTAATGGATCTCATATGATTATGATATGAATGTTGAAAATGATCTTGAAAAGCTAACCTATTAATTATATTTGCAAAACCTGCTGCATGTTGCAGATATCATGAGAAAGTAACTTCAGAGAATTATGAATCCTTTAAGACAGTTACTTTGAATTTTAATAAATTCCATACAATGTCCCATTGCGAAGAAGAAGTGGTATCACCTGGTTTTCACCAATTGAGTATTACAAGTGAGTATTATATAGGTTTCTAAATAAGAGATATACTATGCATCAAAATATGTGATAGGCATTTATTATAAATATTTCTATTGTGATCAAATTGATATAAATTGATCTGCATATTAATATCTCATAGAAAACTACAATAAAAGTTTTATGTCTAATATTTCAGACTTTTGTGATATAGAAATAGTATAATATGAAAGAAGTATTATATGTCGTATACAATTATATTCTTTCCTACACTACACATATATATCTTTCAAATATTTTTATCACACAGTATCTTTTTAGCCAAACATTTTCTTATCTATTCGTATAAGATTGATACCAATTATCAGTTTATTAGACATCAATGAAAATAGGTATATCATAATGATTTTATAGCGATGATAAGTAATGATGAAGCAGAAAAACAGTAATGGTTCATTTATTTTGCAAACTATAAATAATGATACAGTATAATCAAGACTATATGTGTATGTGTGTGTATATGTATGTGTATGTGTATATGTATATGTATATGTATATGTATGGTTTTTTCATGTGTATTGAATAATTATATAAAGCAATTTAATTATTTTAGTTGAAGCAGCAATACTAAGAAGTTCAACTTTCCTAAAGCCTAATCCATATATAGAATTCTCAGTTGATGACAAAAGTCCTCGCAAAACAGAAGTGTCAAAGTCTACTTATCAACCAAAATGGAACGAAGAATTTACAATACTTGTCACACCATATTCACAGTTGCACTTTCGACTGCTTGACCATAGTACATTTCGCAAAGACACATTAATAGGAGAGAAACGAATAAGCTTATTTCAAGTATTATCACATTATAATGGGAAATTAGAAAATTTAGAATTGACATTTGATTTGATGAGCGAGAGCAAACACGACTCACAGCTGTGTAAAGTCGGCGAATTGATCACGGTTTTCGATGGACTTAAAATAGATACTACCAATGAGACCTTACTTAATATTAGTGAGCCACCCTGCCAAATACAATCTGATGGTAAGGATTTGATCACGATGTTAAGAGCTTGTATAAATTCAAGTAAAATATTAATATCTAATATAGAAACTCGTGTAAAAGAATAAGAAATATTTGCTATTAACGATTAGGCTTTATGTCTAATTTTCTCTTGTCTTTCACTATATGATGAATCTTGTGCTTCTAGGTGCCACAAACAACGATACAATCAATAATCGAAGTATCCTTAATGGAGGAGTTCGCGCACGTATGAGATTGCACAGTTCGGAGAGTCTCGCTCCGTCTGTATGTCGTCCCTTCACGAATGTTCATCTCAGTCCCAATTACAACAGCGGAAACAGCCAAACAAATAGCAACAAGAATGTCGGGTCCACGTCCGCGATTAATATTGACGGGACATCGAGTAACGTCGGTAGCAGCAGCAGTAGCGGCAGCCTTTCCGCGAGCTCCTTAGCGAATGGACACGCGATTTCGATGGCGGATAAGTCCACGGTATCCCCGGGAAGTCGTAGACGCACCTATGTCACAGACGTACGAACTCTCGCGGATATACGCAGACTAGCTTTGAAGGATCAACCAGCGTCGGTCAGTTACACGCGCAACAGTTATGGCGCGGAGCATTCGTCGATGCTCAAGCCGGATCCGCGTAGTGCGTCTCGATCGGAGCAGTCCGCGGTGATGACCGGGATGTGCACAGATGCTCGTGTAATATCTCGACAGGAACAGTCCGTACTCTCCAACAACGCTGACGCTTCGTCCTCTTCTCATTCCGATCCGAACGTGTCGCCGCACACGGATGGGCGCGGCGTTCTACGAATAGAACAACCGATCTCCGGTGCCGCCGGCGGAGCCGCTTTCCAAGACAGTCGTACGATCACACGATCGGAGCAGTCAAGCAGCGTTCTCTTGGCGGACGATCTGCGCGGAATGAGACAACAACCTGAGCAATCCACTAGTATCCGCGTGAACGAAGACTTACGCACGATGAGACAACCGGAACAACAGTCCACCACGAACGTACGCGTCACCGAGGATTTGCGAGGGATGAGACAGCAAAATGAACAGTCTACAAGCATTCGTATAGGCGAAGATTTACGCGCGATGAGACAACAGCAACAGCAACAGCAAGCGGAGCAATCGGCCAGCGTTCGCTTGGCGGACGATTTACGAGTTTCTCGCACGGATCAATCGTTAAACGCGCCGCTTCTCGATCAACGTGTAGTACCACGCAGTAGCCAGCAAAATACGAATATCCCGTTGACGACGGATGGTCGCACAAGTTCTGGTCGATCGGAACAGTCGGCGGTAATCCCTTTAACGGACAGCCGTGCGATTCCCATGGTGGAACACATGTCACCCGCCACGCTGCCGGATATTCGTTCGGTGCCACGAATCTCGCAAGCTGCAGCCTCATTACCAAGTCAGTCCACCGCTATGCCCATTGCCGGGCAATCTTCCGTCACGCAACCGGGAGTGTTGATAACTGAGGACGTCGCTCATTCAGAGGAACCCTTGCCAACGGGTTGGGAAATGAGATATGATGTATACGGGAGAAGGTAAGATGCGCGTTTTCATTTTAACAAAAAGATTCTGTATCACAACGATTTTTGCTATGGCATTTTTTTTCTTTCTTGTTAGATATTATGTCGATCATAATACTCGAAGTACATCTTGGGAAAGACCGCAACCTTTACCCGCTGGATGGGAGGTCCGTCGTGACCCGAGGGGTAGAATTTATTATGTCGATCATAATACAAGAAGTACTACTTGGCAAAGACCAAACACAGAAAGACTACAGCATTTCCAACACTGGCAAGGCGAGAGACAATATGTCGTTCAACAGGGGAACCAAAGGTTCCTCTATCCCCAAGTATGTAAATTGAACGTAGCCATCTGTCAGAATAATACGTTAACGTACTCTCAATTAATAGGTCAGGTATCAATGTAGTATTTACATATAAAAATGTTCACAATTGTTATTTCTGTGTACTTGAAAAGAAAATCAAGCAAGCTTTGTAGGATTTAAACTGATCTTGACTATTGCATTGTGATAGGCTCATGGGAATCAAGCTGCTGCATCGGGTCCGTCGACGTCCATGGGTGATGACGACGACCCTCTGGGACCATTACCCGCCGGTTGGGAGAGACGAAAGCAGCCAGAGGGCAGGGTTTATTACGTGAATCACAAGAATCGAACTACGCAGTGGGAGGACCCTCGTACGCAAGGTCAGGAAACTGGTATTGAAGAGCCGCCGTTGCCGGATGGTTGGGAGATACGGTTGACGGAAGACGGGGTTCGATATTTCGTGGATCATAACACTCGGACGACGACGTTCCAAGACCCAAGACCCGGTGCACCCAAAGGGTTTGTATCAAATGCGTCGCGCCTAGTTGCATGTGCTGTCGCAAACGTTGGAATATCGCCCATTCTTATCCCCATTCTTTTTCGCGCAGCCCGAAAGGTGTGTATCGTGTTCCGAGGGCGTATGAAAGATCATTCCGATGGAAGTTGTCTCAGTTTCGCTTCTTATGCCAGACTAACGCGCTGCCTAACCATATTAAGATTAGCGTTAGTCGGCAGACATTGTTCGAAGACTCGTATCATCAAATAATGAACGCGGAAGCTTTCGCATTGAGACGACGATTATACATAATATTTAAGGGAGAAGAAGGCCTGGATTACGGGGGTGTATCTAGGTATAGTATATATACAAGAGATTCGCTAGTAGCGCAGCACGTTAGTGACGTCACGTGTTAAGAAAAAGCGCTTAATTTTTCAGAGAATGGTTTTTCTTGCTGAGTCATGAGGTTTTAAATCCGATGTACTGCCTGTTCGAATATGCTAACAAAAGCAATTACAGCTTGCAAATAAATCCAGCATCGTACGTTAATCCTGATCATTTACAGTACTTCAAATTTATCGGAAGGTTCATTGCAATGGTATGTTTCCACTTCGATCTGTGTTTTGTTTTCTTTTAGCGGTATTGCGCGAGAGCGATTATATTTATACAAAATACTCTCTTATCTTTTCAGGCTCTTTATCATGGTCGATTTATTTATAGCGGTTTTACAATGCCATTTTATAAGCGCATGTTGAATAAAAAATTAGTTATGAAAGATATAGAATCTATTGACCCAGAGTTTTACAAGTCGCTCGTGTGGATAAAGGAGAATAATATTGATGAATGTGGCCTAGAACTATACTATAGCGTGGATTTTGAAATTCTCGGTCAAGTAATACATCATGAATTGAAAGAAGGTGGCGACAAAGTTAGAGTAGGTGAAGACAATAAAGAAGAATATATCAGGTATATTTCTCATGGATGACTGTAGCTTAGAGAAGGCAAAGAAGAAGTACGAAAAAGAAAATTCGCAGTTTCTTTGTATATTTGATATAAAGTAACAAGGTGTTATTCAACAGGTTAATGACGGAATGGAGAATGACAAGAGGTATAGAGGAACAAACGAAAGCATTTTTGGAAGGTTTCAATTCAGTCGTGCCCCTGGAATGGCTCAAATATTTCGACGAACGTGAGCTGGAGCTGATGCTTTGTGGCATGCAAGAAATAGATGTTGAAGACTGGCAGCGCAATACTATTTACAGACATTACACTCGCAACAGCAAACAGATCTTGTGGTTCTGGCAGGTTTGTCAATGATAACGATATTAAATCTTATCACAACAGTACTCATGTGCGTGCAGCATTGTACCTGACTGTGCACTGTCTATATTCCAGTTTGTAACAAGGACAGATAGTGAAAAAAGAGCTCGATTATTACAGTTTGTAACTGGCACTTGTCGTGTACCCGTCGGCGGATTTGCTGAATTAATGGGTGAGTTACAGATTTATCAGATTACTCTTTCATCGATTCATCGATCAGTAAAGAGAAAGCTTTAATAGAGTGATCGTTAACTAATTGTACAATTAATATCATCGAGTTGTAAGTTGATGATTACGATAAATATTTGATATTTTGTTAAAGATAATGCACTTATTACCAATTAAAGATGATACACTTTACTACTACATCATTTGTTACTTTATAGGAAGCAACGGCCCGCAAAGATTTTGTATAGAGAAGTTTGGAAAGGATACCTGGTTGCCGAGATCACATACATGTTTTAATAGATTAGATTTACCACCTTACAAGAGTTATGACCAATTAGTAGAGAAATTGAATTACGCGATTGAAGAAACAGAAGGTTTTGGCCAAGAGTAATTGTAAACATACTAATCAATAATATGTGGTAGGTATACTACATCTGTGTATAATTAGTGGATGATAAAAAGGAAAATTTAGTATAGCGCCACAAACTGATGGTAAACGAATTCATGCTACATTCAAAATCCATTGAGGGCAGCTATCATTAACACTGTAAAAGTTCCGAATAATTAAAGATGTTCATAGGTACATTGCTCGAAAGAATTTGTATGAAACGTCTTAAATTATATGCAAATAATGTAATAATCTAAATTATAATACCAATTTATTCCAATATGTTTCATATCTTATTGACATTTTTTACTTAATCGTGGAAACTGTATAAAACGTTAATAAGACATGAAAAATTATATAATAAAGTTTACAACACTATATATAAAAATATTAGGGAACTAAAATAGTTAATAGATATGTATAATTTAATTCTTTTTATTGTAATATTTCATTCATATGTGTGTATATATATATATCATATATATATATATATATATATACATACACACACACATATATATATATATACATGTGTGTGTATATATATCAACCAAAAAAAATTATTTTAATATCCCTAAATTAGTTTATTAAAAAAGAAATGTAATAAGAATTGCAATGAAGTTAAATGCAACCTATGTATTTGTATTGATATGATTACAATTTACAAGTCATAATTCTGAATGAAAATAACAGAATTTAGTATAGTATGTTTTATTATATTTTAATATATTTTAATGCCGAACATAACACACATACACACAGAGTTCGAAAATTGTTCGCTTTTTTTAATATGTAATGTGTATATATTAAATTTATGTATAATTATAACACATAATATGTTAAATATATAATCAACGATTTTGTTTAATTTAAAATATTTATGTTTTATTTAAATTAATCTAAAGGTGAAGTGTGTGTGTGTGTGTATATAGCACAATAGTTCTCTTTTTATATAATATAGCAGATATTGATAATTAATATCTCTTTGTAAGTATACATTATAAATATCTGCTACATATAAACAGTAAACTAATAAAAAAGGATTTCCAGGCATGTTTGATTATTTTTATCATACATTTATGTTACATATTAAGAATTTATTGATACATTACATGTTTGCTTCACAGATATGATAAAGTCAGCTTCAAAATATTATTTCTTAAAATATTTGTAACAAATACGAATTAGAAAGACCATGGGATTGTAATTATAATATTGTTTATTTGTTTATGGCTAATAATTTATGTACATAATATGTATGCAATATGCACAATATTATTTATATGTATGACTGTGCAGATGGATATGCATACTACATGGATGTTGTTTTAAATATGCGTAAAATATTTGGACTTATTAGGACTTATTAATAAGTCATTTAGTTATAAAGAATGACTGATAGTTAAGATTGATCGTGGTGCAAAATTTATGCATTAATGGGATGATGAGTGAAATGGAAAAGTGATATGCACATTGTTGAGTTATTTATATTTAATGAAATATTATTACAAAAGGCTTTCATGAAAATAAGAAAAATAGATGTCAAAAATTTCTTATATAAAATACATTCTTACAATATTCTTTATATATTGCTGTCACAATTGATAGCAGAACATAAAACAATATTATGTTTGTGTTATATCCCGTAATATTAAAAATTATATTAATTTTTATGAAAAAGGTAATTTTAACTCGTAATTAATTTTATGGTAATACTTCACATATTCTGATATTCATTAGTTTATTCGCCTGTGTTTCTAATATTATCTAGAATATGGTTACATAAAGTTGATTGGTATAAATATGGTATTATATTTTTGAGATTACATGCACACACAGGAAATTATAAAAATCTTATTCACAAATTATTCTCATTGCGGTCTATAAAGAATTGTAATTATAACATTTCAGTATTTCATGTTCCAATTCAAAAGAATTGTTGCATACTAAACACCAATTCAAGATCTTTATATAGCTATAAATCTGTGCATACACATGATATCAGAATCAATATCTAATATTTAGGTATTCATACGATATAAAAACAGGTCAAATTGTTCGCAGATATTTCAACACACTTATAGCAATTTTAATTTTCTCCCGATCCAATTATCTTTCAAAATGAAATAAGTCGGTTTTGTAAATTTAAAGAAAATATTCCTTTGCATATAAATTATAAATTTTATTAAAGCATGTATGTATATAATGTGTACAGAATATAATCCATAAAATAAAGAAAAATTTACAGTTAGCAATTAAAGAAGTATTTTATCTTTGGTACAATCGATTTATTGTAGGTATTGATATGGGAAACATATATACTTTATTAACACCTAAAAACTAGACTATATTTTCTCTTTATTCATGTCTTATTATAATTTTGGTCCAGGGCCAAAAAATTTATTCCACGGAAAACAATTTAAATACAGATTTTGCTCATCTCTATTATCTTTTACGGAACGAGCCCATTTTTTATTGAAATCTTCCAATTCACCTGCAATTTAAAAATTAATGCGTACGATATATAAAAAATATATATGAAACGATACGATTATATTTGTATAATTTCTACATACTTACTTTTATCCATGTTAATTAAATTTTCGGATTTGGTTTCAACACCGTACTTATCTGTTTTGGTAGTGACAATATATTTTTGGTCACCAATTTCTTTTGAGACTATTGTTTCCTTATTACCTTCATTATCACTAATCACTTGTTTCTGTACTAAAGTCCCGTCAGGACTACGTATAAGTTCTGTTTTCATAAATTTTCCAATGAAAAAAGAATGAGATGCAGGAGGTTCTACTGTTTTTTCATGTCCCCAGCGCCACATTTTTGAAAAATTTTCTGTACTGATTCTACAATATTCATTGTGAATTAGCAACATTTGTAAGTTGATATATATATATATAATATAATATATATAATCTCCAAGAGATTCAACTTTGTCGTTAGGTTGTAACTCCTGGTATCCTACTATAATCATTAAAAAGCCCATAATATATTACTCAGATACCTACTTTCCATCCAAGTCTGTATCTACTTTCTGATCAGGTGTTATAGCATAGGAATCAGGTGCAGATTTCAACATTCTATCCCGTAAAACTTTTTTTGTTTTAGATACTTCTTTTTCTGCTGGTAGAGCTAATGCTCCCATTCTATCTTCTATAAAATATATTTATTTAAAATAAATTGCTAATAATCATCAATACAACATTAAGCAAAATTCTATGTTTTGTTTGTATAAAAATTTGCACAAGACAAACATACCTGAGAAAGAATAAAAATTATCAGCAAGTCCAAAATTATGTAATATATTATCCATTATAGATAAAAAGTGACGTGTTGCCTCAAACGGATCACTGGAGATATTGAAGCCCATGCTCGTTCCACGCCTTGAAAATAATAAAATATATAATAAATGTAGTTATATAAATCCAAAATATTTCAGTACAAAAGTACAATTTGTTTACCTAAAGTCATCCATGTCATCGTCATCTTCATCGTACTCCCAAATCGGATTTCGAAAATGGTTTCTGTGCGAATAACAATCACCAAGCCTAAAATATAGAGTCGTTATTTTATGCAATATAATGCATATAAAATATTTCGATTATATATATATGTATATATATATATATATACGTGTGTGTGTGTGTGTGTGTGTGTGTGTGTATATAGTCAAGTTCTTGTAACACATATACATTACTGTTTTTATATCGTTATTGTTATATATCATAATTAACTGTAATATTTTTACGTCTATTCGGAATACTCTAAGAATGGTTTGCTTTTTTCTAATCTGGAATACTCTATGGCTTGATATGCATTAATATTTTATGAGTGAAGGATGCATAATATCCTTACCCGCTTGTGCCAGGCTCGTCGCGACGCTTCGCACCGAAAAGATTTCGGAAATAGTCGAAGAATGACATTTCTAAGGTCGGGACGCTATCGAGTACGTAGTATACAAATACTTCTCAGCAAAATAACATGACGACTGATGACGAAATTGCATCACCTTATTCGTGACCAAAGTGTTGCCAAATGTTAGGATTTTTCCCACCCATCGAGTATTCACGACACATGCGCGATAGCGACTTCGATTAGTCGTGAAACATGAAGTTCGTTGCGAACACGCACAGCTGACACGAACGCCGCATTCACTCACGCTTCTGTCGTGTTGCACAGCTGATGTGATAGAATAACAAATAAATTCAGATTTGACGTGTACGAGTGAATTAACGAAAGTTCTCTAATTTTCGCTTTCATAGTAGGGATATTCGGATATTTATGTGGATTCACGGAGGAAATGTTTTCTCCTACGACCCAGATTAAAAAAGCCAGCATGATGTCATGTTTAAACGGCGTTTATATGTGCTAAATCATGCATCCACGAGTTTCGCGTCATAAACGTTCCATAATTTTGTTTACGCGCGTTTTCCGTCCGAATACGGCATATTCAGGGAAATAGTTCAGATTGAATTATCAACGTTTCTGTGTAACTTATCATTTTGAAACGATAACGATAGTATTACCGAAACGAAACGAAACGATAACGTAAGTATTACCTCGTAATATTCTAGCCTCAAAACGTCTTTCATCTGATATAATCAAGCAAAATTATTTTCTATAGAGCTTTTTAGACGATACATTACTTTATCTAAAATTTTTGTTTCTACTATATTGTGCATTGTCTTCATGATTGATATATTTATAGCTACTTTCTAACTTTACAGACATAAAACTCAACAATTTATAGAACAATGAAAGTTCATGCAGTCTCTACTTGGGAAACTTTTACTTCTTGAATGAATGAATTGTTGTCATAACACAATGAGTAATCTTTCTGGACAATTTCGCAAGACAACATGGGATCCTATTCTTATAATCTCCCAGATAGTAGCTGTGCAGACTGTTATGTACTTTTGCCTTGGATTCTGGATTTGGATCACTGCATCGATGTTGGGCTCAACAAAATCTTTGGATTATGCTTTTCAATACAAAGAGATACATGTTCGTGACTTTGAAGGACGATCAGTTATTGTAATTTTTGTTTTTAATGCACTTATTGGTGCATCAGCATTATGGTGGCTAGTGCAAAGAACAAAACAGTGCATGGACTTTGCGTGCACTGCCCATTTGATTCATCTGATCTGTTGTTGGGTGTACAATGGAACTTTCCCAACATCTTTCAGCTGGTGGTGTTTAAATATCGTGTCGTTAAGTATAATGTGTGTTTGTGGAGAATTTCTTTGTATGAGAACAGAATTGCAGGCAATACCATTAGGTATGAACAGTCAGAAGACAGCCTTATGAGATATGGATATGAATAACATTAATTTCTGAAATAAGAAAGTATTACATAAATAAAAGTTTTTTTCAGTAAATATTTTCTATTTTGCTTATGTTAAAGTTCTTGCTAAAAGCAATATATTGTTAAAGCTATTTAATCCCTTATGTATATATATATTCAAAGAATACTCATCATAGATAAATATAAATTTAACATTTAATTTTCCAAGTCTAAACTGCCTAATATAGTTTAGCAGATATCTGATTTATATTAATTTACTGTATATTTTGAAATGTGTATGTTTAGTTTAATAAATACACATTTATTTGTAATCTTGGTACTTTTAATCTATTTATTATTTAAGATTATTTGATATATATTAGTTACTATGTCATACCAATTTTATTTTATCCTGTTACAACAAATATTGCATTCTAAAATATTCATAAATTATTAATCATATAACTACCCATGTACAATGGTTATCTAATGATGGTCCTCCTTGTAGAAGCGCAGACCACAGTAACCACAAATATGATTGCCTGGTTTATCCTACATAAAAATAAAATGTAAATGTTTTCATAGAAAATTCACACCTTTTATTATCACTGGCAAATGATGAAATAGAAATATTTCATATTCAATAATATAAATCTTACTAGATTTATGTAAACTTTTGGGTGTCCAAGTGGACCACCACCACCATCACAAGCCACAATTCTGTCTTTTGCGAGGGCTGGTGGTACTTCATCTATCAATTTGATAGCCCAATTCTCATTGACTTCCTTTGGTCTATTTATAAATCTTACCAATCGATAGTCATCTTTCTCAAACACCTGATGGAACACAATCAAAATGATTAGTCTACAGAAATTAAGTGGTCTTTGAATAAATCAATATTTACATTGTAAAATCTTAATCATAGAACATATGTATGTTATTAAATTAAATGTAATTTCGGAAATTAAATGTAATTGTAGAATTTGAATATAGAATTCACAGTTAAATATAGCAATTGTTCAAAATCAATCGAATAACGCAATCAAATAGGTTAGCAACACCATTTATTTCATGTAACAAAAATTATATCTCACCTGACCCGTATGGGTGACTTTAGTGTCACCCTCATCTATAGTTGCATACGTACGCTGGGTTAATGTACTTATCGTGGGTGCATTTCCTCTATACAATTTAGTAAGAGAAACACATAATCCACCAACCTTCTTGGTCGCCATATTTGACGATTATTGCTATAAATTATCAGCTGAGTAACTTTATGCTTAACGAATATATTAGTCGTCACAAGATGTCGCGATATCCTCCATTCAGTCGATAGAATCGAGATAGTATTCAGTCGATAGAAATTTAAATTGAGCATTCAAATTGCAATGTTTACATAAATTTTTCGTGTAATGAAAAGTGCTAAACATTGGACTTCACAATTGCTATAATTCTGTTATCGCTAATCAACAGGGACTACTCTCATGCTGCAAAATTTTCAAAATTCATCGATATCATATCGATTTTGACTTTGATAATTATCTTAACCATTTCATTCGCGGGACAATATTTTCAAATTGTTTTCTTATTGTGTCTGATTTTCGTCACATTTGCCAGTTTCATCGTTTTAAAAATTGTTGATTTGGTATGATATATTCGCTTTGTGTTTTGCAGTAATGAAAAATGTTGCAAAACGAAAGCTTAGTATAATTTAACCTAAATTGCTTTTTCTTCTCTTTCACAATATCGTTGATTGCATGGTAACGACGAAATTAAAAAGGCATTGACAGCATCCAGAATGTGAGGATGGATATAATAAAAGAGGAACGTCCAGGTATGTAAAATTGATTAAATTTATTAATATTGATGTATAATAAGGATACAGGCAGATCTTAACTTTGCAGGCATAAAAGTCTCTATGTTAATGTAATTTATGAATTTGCATATTTTTCATATGGTGTTGTATTTTTATTTATTATTGCACGCAAATTTCATGTTTGTTTCCAGGTGCTTACATCATATTTACATATTTAGTAATATATGTATGTATACTAAAGGGAATAGTAACAAGAGGAGGAGTACTGGTGACAGACTAAATACATAGTCGTTTATAGTTAAATGTAACTAATGAGCTCAGGAATTAACCTTTAGATTTTGTCCTTTTATGTTTCTACTAAGCTCCTTCTATATTCTGCTGATATGAGTTTATCTGGTTAAAATTATTTCTTCAAACAGATATAATATGTTTGTTACTTTCATCAGCATAAGATATTTTCTAATTATCATAGGAGATAATTTTCTAATAGAATGACATAAGAAAAATATTGGCATGATCAACATCTTTGGACAATGTTATATAACTATGTTATATAACTAAAAAATTCAATTTCTTAATATTAATGTATATATTGTAGCGCATACACCGCCAATAAAGCAAGTTAATGAATCGACAATCTACATTTTAATCACATGAGTATAATTTTCTACCGAAGGAAACAATAATTAACACGTTTATCGCCATTGTAATAGCTACAAGCATGCAACCGTATTTTCACGAACTAGTTTTCACAAACTGCGTTACTAGTAACATTAAAAAAGCATTTCTCTACGTAATTTTCTGTCACGTGAGTTGTATTAAATTGTATTAAATTGTACGTTTACCAAGAAGTTGTCAAAATTAAATATTGCCCAAGAATATTTTTATTATAAGTAGTCGATCAAGTGTTTGCCTGAGTCAATTACATTTCATCATATCATGGAGGAAAACGAATACTTTGTAGATCTCGATTTGAAAGAGCAATACGTCGGACCATAATCGAAACTTCGCGTGCAGCGTTAGTAATGACCTTTACTCTTTTTCACGTGCGATGGAAAATGAGATAAAAGAATATGGAAACAAAGAAAGTAAAACTATATCGCTGCTCACGTGCCGCGCCGACACGAGTGTTTTCACGTGCGAAAGATTTCGGTGAACAACAGCGATATCCGCACGAGAGGACGATTTAGGACACGATTACGCACAAAAATCTCAGTAAAGATATCGATTCGACCTATCAGTCTGGTGGGGTAGTCCGTTGTATTTCCCAGTGCCGGCTTTCAACCAGTCCGATCCTGAACCATGATGTAAACTTTCTTTTTTCTCTCTCTCTCTTTCTCTCTTTTTCTCTCTCCATATCTATATCTAAAAAAATATAAAATACTAAATGCTTAAAACATCTAAAGTGAAAGAAATCGTCTGCGATTATATATTATTGTTACATCGCTAGTTCGAAGTGACGGCCGATTAGCGAATTAACGGTGTTGAAGGTCGTAAAAAAGAATAACCATAGCTTCGTGCGACGCGTTCGCGTTTTGCCTGCAACAATATCAGAGAAATATCTAATTTTTCATACGATACAAGGTTCTTTTTTCACAATGAAAATCTAAGCAGTATTTCTTTAAACGTCGCGTGCATCGTTGATGTCGCAACTATGTCGGTGTGTACGTGTGCTTTCTACCGCTGTTCTCCGCTCTCGCTAACCGACTGCTTTTGCGCACAGAGAGAGAGAGAGAGAGAGAGAGAGAGAGAGAGAGAGGGAGGAGGAAGAGGAGAACCGTCCGAAACACGTTCCTCCTTCCGATTCAAGGTCGCTCGATGATTCTTCTTCGCCAGCGGCTAACAAAACGTACGGGCGCACGCGCGGACACGGACGCTCTTTCTCGAGGGGGTCAGTCTACAGGGCGAGAAAGTGATACTACGTTAGCCGTAGTGTACAGTCACGGGGTGGATATGACCTCATCGGACTCGCCAATGAACCACCCCCCGTCTGATGCGATGTCCTAATGCTGGTGACTCGCTCGTTTTCGGGGAATTGTGGAAACACCCCCGTACGTTCGCATCCGCCCCGGCGATGAGAGAATGATGTAACGCTCGCGCAAACGACAGGGGTGAGTGTACGTATTTGTAAGCCCGCTCTCTCCCGTATGTCGGCCCCGGATTTGCGTCTCGCGTCATTTTCAGAAGTGCGTCTCACGCGTTTTCCGCCAACCGCCTGAGAAGTGTCCCTTTTAGACGACTCGGGCGGATGATTTCTTCCGCCTACCAGCATTTATTGTTACACCGACACCGCTTGGATGAAGCGAGCTTGGCGAGTTTAGCGCGACACGCTAATCCTCCGTTGATCCTTTTTCTCGAACTACGCGATCTCACTCGGGCTGATGAGTAAAGAAAGTAAATTTATCGGAGCAAACGTAGTCGTAAGTGATGTCGGTGCAACCGGTGCTTTCGGTCAGGTCGAACGACAGCTGTTGAAGAAACGCGGAGATAACGATTGTGTGTTAGATCTCCCGATCCGCAACACGAGCGAGAGGTCGGATTTTTGCGTCGAAATGTTGCGTCCTTATCATTTTCGACTTTTTGTGATCCAGGTCTATTAAGATGGATGTCCACGGTGCCGGGGTGGTCGCCGTTCTGGGCACGGTTGGTGCCGCTACCGGAGCAATCTCGGCGGTGATCGTCTACACCATTTGTGCGCGTCGCCGCCGATTGCCGCTGCTTACCACGGGACCGCTCAACTGGCATGTATCTTTCCTGGTTCTCTCCTGATAAAACATGACGAAACATGTATCGTCGCAAGCTCGAATTAGCTTGCCTGCTGATATAATTGATGAAGCTGATAACGCTTATTTGTTACCATACAAAGCTTGTTTCTTAACATGTAAGATGATAAATAACGCAATAATATTTTCTTAAGGTTCGAACGAGACCTGCTGGACAGAGCTGAAGAGGCAGCGAGGTCGTCGAAGGATGTTTTGGTCGGCCTGGGCAGCGGTGTCGCGCTTTCACGGGATAACAAGATCTCCAGGCGTAGCAACAGTCAATCGGACGACGACGAATGGCAATCGGATCATGTATTCGACAGCATCGCCAGCGATTCTCCTAGAAGAGGTAACGTGCATCTTTAGAGATTATGGGCCGGTTGTTCCAATCTCTTGGTAAGTTAACTGATAGTTAGATCATATGTCTGTCTTTGTCTAAAGTAAAGAAAAAAACAAAGATAAATATATGATTCAACTATCAATTAACTTAACAAGAAGTTGGAACAACTGGCCCTTTACCGCGAACAATTTAATTTCCTATCGGCGAATCCCGTCAGCGTATTTCTCTTCCTTTTGCAGTTAGACAACATCTCTCGGAATCGGACGACATTCCGCCGTCTCCCATGAGCCCGCTCGCTCCGCCGCTTCCGGAAGGGGCGGTGGTCGCGTCTGAGAAACGTATGGTGATTGTGAAGCCGCCGACGCGGAGTATAGACGGCTCTCATTCTAGATTGAACAGTGTCGAAATCGAGTCAGCTCCACGGCACAAGGTAACGTCATATGGTTTCGCTGCATCTGATCTGACGATTGCGATCAATTACACCACGCGATTTCGTTGCGTAGCTCTCATCCTCCTCCTCAACCTCATCGTCCGATGAAGTTAGGGGTGAATTAAAACTGGGCTTGATCTACGACGAGAACGCCGGGATACTCACCGTCAGGCTTATCGAGGTGATCCATCATTTCTCACATCGCGTATCGCGCGTACTCTACCAAGTTGAAATAACCCTTCCTTGTTTCAAAGGCGCATGATCTTCGCGCTCGCGAATTGAGCGACATCGCGGATCCCTACGCTAAAATACGTTTGCTACCTGATCGCAGCAACGTGTGGCAAACAACGATACACAGGCGCACGTTGAATCCTGGTGAATATCTTTCCATTTTTTCTTCGCAACTCATTAACTCGAGCATTAAGATCTCTTAATCTAATTATCCTCTAATTGCTGTCGCTCGCTATAGTATTCGACGAGGACTTCGTCTTCGAGGTGACGCCCGAGTCGTCGTTGGCCGGCAGAACGTTGGAAATCCTACTCTACGATTTCGATGCGTTCACGAGGCACCGTGGTTTGGGTTACGTGCAACTTCCTTTATCCTCCGTAGCGGATTTAAGCACGGACCTCGTCACCATCACGAAGCCAGTTCTACGATACGGTGCGGAAGGTGGATTTAAAGCGCCACCGTTAGGAGAGCTGATGGTTTCCATCTCGTATCATCCGTCTATAGAGAAACTGACGATCATCGTCGTCAGGGCAAGAAATCTGCCTGTTCTCGACGATCTCGCGAACGCGAATCCATTCGTCAGGGTGTGTACACGTGAATGCACGATTCTTCTTGATCTATTGCTAACTGCTCTGTTATTTCCATGTTTCAGGTGTCGCTCATCCAGGACGGTAAGAGTCTAAAGAAGAAGAAATCGGGCATACAGCGCGAAGCCACTAGTCCTGTATGGAATGATATCCTCAGCTTCGATATCAGTAGCGACGTTCTGTCGAAGTGCATCTTACAGTTATCTGTTTTGCGATCTAACGGCGACCTCTTGGCCAAGTGCGAAGTATCCGCCTCGTGCCAGAGAGAATTATTTCAACGTATATTGTCCGGCAAGGGTGCTTCGGCGCAATGGTTACCGTTATCGGAGCCGGAAGCGCAACGCGCTGATAACAGCGAATCGAAAGATTAAGAGAAAAGACGTTAAAATAATACTTCCGTTAAAATATTAAGTATAAGTATATGAGAAGGCGTTGGTAAACGCAAAATATCGCTGATAATATCGTGACTACTTTGTTGAAAAAATGTCTATTACTGCAGAGAGAGAGAGAGAGAGAGAGAGAGAGAGAGGGAGGGAGGGAGGGAGGGAAAGAAGGAGAACGTAAGAAAAAGCATGGAAGGGAAAGGATATTTAGTCTCGAGGACTCGGTTTTTTCGAATTTTGTTCTGTCTAATTAGATAAAATGGAAAGAGGTTTTTGTCGGACAGTCTGATATTATATATCTTCCTCGAAAAATGATGCAAGTGAAAAGCTAAATCGTAGCTTTCTATGGTACTATTACTTTATCGTAAATTTTTCAGTTTTTTCGGTTGTAAACTTCCGTGATAATCGATCATATTCATAAAGTGTATATTCTTTGCACACACTCTGTAAGGACAATGTACGTTTCGACTTCTGAAATGCGACTTCTTAGTGTGTAACGAGTATTTCTATAAATGCACAACGTGTTATCAATGAATCACAGAGTCTGCCAAGTGCGTTTTGATGAGATGTTTTCAACAGAGAGCTGTGCAATCACCAAATATCTATCTTAAGCTTGTTTATACCGAAAGTCTCGTGTGTATTATATTTACCGCGGATTATGTTAATTCGCAATCTTACGTGCTGCCGATAATAGTAGCTGGATCATTATTTGTGTATTAAATGACGCTCAATATGTTTCATTACATTTATCATCGATTGTATATCTTCTATTTATAACGTTTTACAAAGAGAAAGAGAGAGAGAGATGATAATAGGATTCGTGATGTGCAATGGGTAAAAGAGGTATTTGCACGTGCCATGGTGTTTTGAAGTAATCTCATACAAAATAGTAAAATATTACTACAAGTCTGTGTGCTCTTATTCAATATATTTATGCAAACGAGGAAAAAATATATTCTAAAATTTTTCAGCGATATTTTTCTTTTTCGATGAAAATTGATTTCAAGGAAAGGGATAGAGTGTGCAAATACCCATATTTACGCGCTGTACATCCACATATTTTTATGTACACCGCAACTTATATAACGACTATTTCCGTTCCATATACACCAATTGATTGATAACGATGACAAAAAACGGGATATCACCGTTTACATAGCGTAAAAGCATGAACATGTGAATCGAGTTGAATTATCACCACACGACACGAGATCGTAATAATAATCTCACCCGATTGATTCTATTTATCGTCGGGAAGCATACGAAATTGCTCGCGCTTTGTTACGGGGGTTAGATGATTAGATTAAATGAAAAATCCGTCAATGAAAGCTGGTTCTTTCAACGGAATAATCGTTACTAAACGCCGCGTAAAGCGCGATCGATTGAACTTATATCGTGATGTATCGCCAAACGGCGCACAAGTCATCGAGAACAAATATAGTAACAACGGCTAGAATCGTGATCCTACTCCATTGATAGTATACACATTACCAAAAACATAGAAATTGGGTGTGTATGTGTGTATAACGCAAGAGATAAAAAATTATATATTTTCATTCTACATAGAATTCACCGAACGTAGTCTATGCGCGTATTTCATTGATATATATAATGATATATATATAATATATATATGTATATTAACATACAATATATATATATATATATATAATATATATATAGAGTGTGCAAAGATAACAAAAAAGAAAAACAAGAAAAGTATATCCTTATTGTGAGATCGCTTTTCTATGATGGAAAAGTATATATATATATATATCTTTGTCAAAATGTTTTATTTATTGTACAATATAACTGTACATACAAATGGAATGGACCAACGTAGTGCGATCCTTGAGCTTAGTCGAATAAACCTGTAACCGAAAATAGTGCAATGTGATTAAAATAGTGTTGATTAGTTCGTTGAATAGGAAACAATTCTTTTATATTCTCATTTTGCTATACGATATCGTCATATATATATTCCGTAGCTAATACATGCTATATTAATCATTGAATATTCTTTATAATGTCTACACTTTAGTTATCTTTGTGAAATTAAATGTTATAAATTTGATGCACTTACCAAAGCCCATATCATCGTCCGATTCCTCTTCAGGTTCTTCCTTCTTCTTTTCTTCTTTAGCTGGTGCAGCTTCTGTGCTGGCAGGTGCTGCAGCAGCAGGAGCTGTAAAATCACAATACATATGTTACTTCTCATATGATATTCTTAAAAAGATATTTTGTTTTCTAATATGAAATATTTCTTGAAGAGATATTTATATTTTAACATGTGCTAGAAAGCCCAAAATTATGTTAAAAATTATAATGTTGTAAACCAAACCTGAGTTATATCTTTATTGATAAAACCAAAAGAGCTATTGTTTTCATTTTTCTTTTTCCTCTGATACTGACCGTACTAGCAACATTTTCTAGTCCGGTGGATGAAGAGGACAATATTGTTTTAAATCACACTTTTATATATATATATATATACAGGGTGTATATTATATATATTAGAGATAAATTTAATTTTTTAAATGGAACCCATATTTTTCATTGCATTTGTGTAGCCTATCTTGATTAAGTACTTTGCAAGTTATGAGGCCTAAAAGTTACAGTACTGCCGGCATTACTCAAGGCATACCGCGTGGAGGTTGCACAGTTGGATTTACACCTCTTTATGTGTGTTGTGTATGTTGCGCGCGAAAATGAAAAGAAATTGAGGGATAACAAGAGATAACAGTCGCTGGCGACTCTTTCGAATAGCGGTAACTCAGCATACGCCGCGTTGTGACAATCACGTGCACTACCGTCGACTCGGTGATCCGGCGATACTGTAACTTTCGGGTCTCATAACTTGCAAAATACTTAATGGAAAAATACTTTATTATAGTGTTTTGCAAAGCTGTCAAGATAGGCTACAAGAATATGTAATGAGAAATAGGGATTCTATTTAAAAAATTAAATTTGACTTCCATGTAACCTTGACAACACTTCCAAGTCTTAATAATATTGCCATGTAATGTGCCTTATAAAACCCTACTAACTTTGTATGAAACATCTTTTTCAAAAATATGTACTTAAAAAAAAAAACATCTGAGATGGTTGTTCTGATACACTTTGTATACATATATGCTATATTTTATAAGTAGGTCATATATATAAGTCACACTAGATTGAGTTTTATAATGTTAATATCTTCGCGATAAAAAAATATACATACCTCCAGCTCCTGCAGGTGCGGCACCAACACCAGATCCAATATTAGTGATCAATTCTTTAACATTGATACCTTCCAAGGCTTTGGCAAAAAGCCCTGGCCAATAAGATTCAACGTTAACGTTTGCAGCTTTCAAGATGGTTTGTATTTTTTCTCCCTGTAGGACACAAGCGTAAAAAGTTCAATATAAATTACTCTGCAAAATTACACTAAAATTATACTGATATATTTGTTTACAATAAAGATATTGAGGACTGCTTTAATCATATACGAATTTAATAAATCTTACTTAGAAAATTTTTAAGTATGAGTCTTATTTCTTTATTTTTAATAAAATGTTGGATTGAGACATAAGCAACGTGTTAAAGCTGGATACAGATTTGAGTACGAACGCGCATGAGGCAAGCTGAGGCCACACTGAATGTCTCGATTTGAAAATTTAAGTCTCCACATGAGAACGCATGAGGCAAGTCGAGGCAACTGTTCGACGTTGCTCTGGTCGTTCGGAGTCAGCAGTTCTGTTCTTAATTTTTCGTGTCGTGCTCGGCTATCTTCCGTACACGTGTTCGAATGCGTCCAAATTGAGCACGAATTATCTTTGATGGACCGACAGGGCTCGGCTCAGTTCGAGCCCGTGCGGCACGTGCTCGGCTTACCTCATGCGTGTTCGTGCTCAAGTCTATATCGAGCTTAAGATCACGCGGCATAACCTCCATAAAATGTACTTACCGTTACGGCGATATCATCGTCGACGAGAATCAATGCGGAATAAACGCATGCAAGCTCGGTCTCGGTCGTCATTTTTTTATGTTTAAAATTTATTTACTTAACGTCGGATGGAACTTAATAATTGGTGCAAGTCGTCAATATGACCTTAGCTCTACGAGAGGACAAGCACACAACTGGTCGCACGACGAAAGAAAGAAAGAACAAAACAGGACCGTAACCAGTTCTGGGAGTATTTATTCCCTCCGCAACCTCCTGCGCATGCGTCAACACGTCACACAAGTTTTGATAGGCTTGTGTTTAGTGGTCTGTTCTTTGTAGCTACATTGCTGAACTGGTGCAATAAGCTAGAATGAGAAAACCTATATTTGTCTCACTTTAACTTATTGCATCTGTTCAACAGTGCAGCTACAAAGAACAGACCATAAATATATAATAAAGCGCTCTTGGGGCGAAACCGTTGGGTGCATTCAGTACTACAACCGCTCACTGAGCGTTAAGTGAGCTCTTGCATCTGATTGGTGTATATTTTTAAATCTAAAGGGATATACCAATCAAATGTAAAAGCTCATTGAGCGCTCAGTGAGCGGTTGTAGTACTGAATGCACTCAATGTAATAATGTAAGATTATGGTTGCGTTCCGATATTCACTGCCAATATTGAAAATACATCATTTATGTTACGTATGCTATAGATTTTCAGTGCTGGAATATCAGAACGTAGCCTATACAGAAAAAAAAATAAATGGAAAAAGAAATGGTTCGGGCTCCACAAAAACCCCCAATATTGCATTTAGGCACGAGTATGTTAAGCAATAAACGCGTCACGTATTGACGCATGTGCAGAAAGTTACAGAGAGAATAAATGCTCCCAACATTTCTTTAAATGGTGGTATTTCCGGCTTTCGGGGCGCATGTGTAATAAAAATTGAGGGAGAATTCAAATATATCACATTTCCCAATTTCTCTCTATTGAATAATTTAGAGTTAAAACGAAATTTCTAAAACTTAATTCATAAAAAACCTGCATGTTTATTGTACAAGTATTCACTATAAATTGACATAAACAGCAAAAGAGAAATTATACAATATATAAAGAACAATTTTCTCTTATATCTCAAAACAATAGCTTTGGTATGTACTTTATTCTTTGCAAATATACACCGGTTGTACGTATCATATACAGTATATATATTATTTGATTTATAAATATTAATATATTATACATGTATAGTTCATAAATATCTATATGTCGTGTTCCCACGTATAATTGAAAGGGAAGTATAATTAATGGCATTCTGGCATTAAATATACAAATATATCGTTTCAACTTGATTTATAGAAAATAAAATCTAACGAGAGAAAGCGAAACATGCTTTCAAGATCGTAAGTACGGGATAGCTATTAAAAATATGTATTTTACATCCGCAAGTTACACGTGTATGGGAAGTAGTAATTATAGATTCCATTACCTGTACACAACAAATAATCGCGCAGCGGGACTTGGATACATTCATTTACATCGTAATGAAAAATTCAGTACCTAACCTAACTAGCACGCTGTATTCCGCATCATGATTATCAAGGAATGTATTATGCAGCAATGTATCAAGTATTCGACGCGATCAACACGCGATAATCAAAGAGAGAGATTTCGTACACATATGCCGAACATTATAAAAGTCACGAATGATTCCTCAAAAAGACACAAGATTCTTCAAAAACTCAACGAGTATCGCTACGTGTTGTCAGTCGCCTTCGGCGATATCAGCGGGAAGGTTTGCGTGTCGATGAGGAGCTCTTCGTCCTGGACGTTTTGCTGCTTCTCTTCCGGTTCGTATTCCTCGATATCCTCATGATCTGTTAACGTTTGCGGTCCAGTTGATTTGTACTGGAATGCGGAATGCGACAGGTCGACCTCGACAGGAAATAGCATCACAGCCGACAGCAGATCTCGCGTGCTAGCGTAATACTTGGCCAAGCCTGCTGCGAATTTCTGCAACTGCCATACGACGTCCTGCACGTGCTTGTTGTCGAGCAACTCCAGTTTTACTAATACGTCCGAGCGGAGTTTTGCGAACCTTGCACGAGCCTCCTGCCGACATCTCAACACTAAGCGATATTCATAATTGCCTGTTTCCACGCGATAAAGTGGTTCCTGCAGAGCCGCACAGCTCTGCTCTTCATCGTCCAATTCCTTCACCTTCAGACAGTAAGATAAATATTCAAACTTCGCATCGGCGTATTTGCTGATGGTCAACCGAGTGTCCGGTATAGCCTTGTTGAGATACGTTCCTAAATCGCTCAATATTGGCTTCAGAGTCTTCAACATCGTGACACCAAACTTCTCCATTTGCCTATGCTGCTCTCCAAATTGTCGGAAGGCCTCGCTGGCGCGTGGCTGCGGTTCTCGCACTCCTATCGCGGCGAAAGCGTCTCCGAATACTGAAAAAATCGGATAAGTTAATGTACAATTACGATACGCAGTTATGTGCACTTGAAAAACATAAATACCTTTATAGATTTGAGTCAAGTCAAAGAAAGCGTGTAATGTGGCCTTGGCGTGAGCGACAAGACCTCTGTAAAAATTCTCCGTGCGTTTCAACGCCATTAATCTCTGGACGAGAGCGTCGTTGCAGAGAATGGCTCGCGATAGTCCCAGCGCGTCAGCCGTGGTGCTGCCCATTCCTTCCACTAATCTATGCTTCACCTGTACAAATTTGAAAATTTGCAATTGTACAATTATCGCGAGATGGATTTATCTAAACGTGCCGTCGCATGGTCAATATATTTTTTACCTTCTTAAGAGCGATGTCAAGGGTGCGTCCTTGTTTTGGATCAGCATGTAGCTTGTTGTAATTGATGCTGACCTGCGAATCACAGGACTGTATCATCTTCGCGACCTCTACTTTAGTTTTGCCCCTCACTGACACACCATTTACTGCCACGAGTTCATCGCCTGATTGAAGAGTGCTATCCAATGCAACAGGTGTATTGTCGAAAATTTGTACAATGTACAGACATGGACAGAGTGGCGCACCACCACCAATGCTTATACCAATAAGATTACTGGCATCTTTCTGTATTATGACGTTCCCAGATGTAATGGTCATGCCCCTAATATTTAAAGAAGGTATAAATTTTTAAACAAATACAAATATACAACTGGATCACAAAATGCATAAAAAATGTTCTAGATATAAGAATGGAAATAAATATATAATGTAGCACACGAATAATAATTTGTATATGACACTTAAAAATTATTTTTGTACTAAAAAGAAAAGTTAAAGTCAAAAACAGATATTGCAATTGTGTTATTTATAGAAGCAATATTAAATAATATCTGTATAAAAGAAACACAGGGAAAATTGATTAATATCACTTAAAGTTATACAGATACTTACTTGCATATCAGTGTAGCAAGCTATATATAATGTTTTTAAACTTTGACAAAGATACTTTATTGGAAAGAACTGGCATCTTTATTAATTTCTCATCAGGATACTCAATATTACTCATATGTATCCACATGATTTTATAATATAAATATATTTCACAATGAAAATGCCAAAAAATAAAAACTTACATTTGATTGGCAGGTCTCTGCTGAATATATTGATCTTGTGCGACCAGCTCTATGTCTGGTCTATGTCCCAATATGATAAGCGACAATAGAGAAGAAAGGAATTGAAATTTGGCAGAGAAAGAGACATATGTAAAGCCAAGAACAGAAGAGAAAAATTAATAGAACTGTGACATAAAAATAGTGCATACATGCGATCTTCCATCATAGCCAGTTGGTGCAATTCGACGTTAGCCGATGGTACGGTGGTCAGAGTAACGGAGACTCTATCATCCGAGGTTGATCCACTCAAATTTTGAGGTAAGCCGCTATTGGCGGATAAAGTTAAATCACCTCTCAAACTGTTCCACCGCACCGTGGCATTCAGACATGCATGTTACAACCAAAAGAAAGCACATTGAGACTGTAATGCAGCGTGACAATAAATTATAGCTAATTGGCAATTAAGATTCGCAATCCTCTATAACCAACATTTTGTCCTCCTCGAAGAAGAAATCATCCTCAAAATCCATGCCTAATCCCGTCATATTCGTTCGACACGAACGGTTAGCACACTCGTTAATTGTTTCCGATTTTCCTCTTGCAACTTCTGTACGACCTTATTCAGTGTCAGTAAAAAATAAACTGTCTTCCGGGATAAGTGACCCGGTGTTAATCTTGTCTAATGAGCTATTTGAAACTATAAGAATGTTATTTGTAGCTAGTATGTCAGTTGATGAAGCAAAACATTGATTGATGTTCAATTCTACATTTAGAAGGGAACAAGGATAGAGTGATTTAACGATCTAACATCGACAATAAACAATATAAATTCTATGCGAGGCGTGTTCCTATCAATTTCCCCGTCACTCGTAGACGTATCCACAAAACAGGTGTCAAATTCGCATTATGATCCATGTAGAAGGGAAACTCAATCGTGCACCGACTCTATCCAACGATATCGCCGAAATCTTGCTCGCTATTCCCTCAAAATCGACGAATCAGAGTACTTCGTTCGTTTGAGATCACGTTGCCATTGGCAATCATAGATAAACACAGGACCCATCGTTGGTCTTGAATTAAACGCGAGAGTTTACCGTCTTGCGAGCTTGGCACACTTCATGGCAATGTCGCGTCGTCGCGACGCGCCGCGCTGTGTCGCTCTCCCGGTTCAACCAGAGAGAAACCTGAGAGCGGTCAATACGACATTTTCTGCGACACCGACTTTCCGCACTGGGAAAGGACGCCATCTGCATCCATTTTGAGAGAGGAACTACGATAAGTACATCCACTTTCAGGTCTCGGTGGTAAAATCTGCATGTAGTGGAAGTCCATGCTACATCCATTTTCAGGTGGTTTATGTCCGTGCTGCAACCACAGTTGCCATCTCTATGCCAGACTATGCCCGGTGGTCTAAAAAGAACAAGGGCGGAGAGGGGGAGGAGCAGAAAAACAAAAATACGTATTAAATGTTAAATCTTCGAATATATATTGCCGTATCAAAGTCTCTTCTATAATAAACAATTTGACATGTATGGAGACGCATGATGTATCATTGCCCGTGTCCCGTTCATTCGTCCTGTTTCTTAATTCAGCATCCCGTCCGTTCCGGACATTCGCTCGTGGCACTGACAGTGGCCGTCGGTGAGCATTCGATCCGCTCGGAGGAGCACGTGTTAATTAACGCGACGAGACTCCGATTATAAATATCCCGCGAGTCGACGAAATATTTGAAATTTTAACAAAAGCATCAAAGTTGATGTTGTCATGGGTAAAATCTCATGGTATATATTTTCTTATTTTCGAAATAAAAAAAGCCAAACGAATGCAATTAAATGTTATTTATCATCATTGAATATTAGATGAAAAGTAGAAGAGTTATTGTCCGCAGCGGATAATCTCCCTGTATAAAATGTCGAACTGAAACATATTAAAAAGTATTGACATTTTGAATACGTCTGAATTCTGCTTTCTGATCCGAAGAAAGGGACTAAAGGTATTAGTTCCCATTAAATTTCACCGCGCTAAATGCGAGATGGCAGTAGTGAATGCTTCGCATTAACAAGAATTCAATTCGTTTCAAATATGCCTTGTATTCAATCGCAATCGATAATTTTTAAATGCGAACTTTCGTATTGAAAAATATTCACTTCTTCTTCTAATCGTTTTCGGATTCAGAGGCATACAAGATTTTCACGTTCTATTCCCCGTCGCATTAAAAAGTATTCACCCGCGATCCAATCTGAGAGCAGAATTCACGACAAAATCTCGTGAATGCGAAACAATACTTTTAAATACGACATTTTATATAGGACTAATATTTAATAAGAGCGCGACTAAATTCGCATAGGATGAAATTCCATTCTTTAACGCTACCATGACCTTTAATTATTCTCTGAAAACGGCGTCACAACAACTTACACTCTGCATAATTGCTAACACATTTTCTAATCGTACACATTCCTCTTTAATTAACATAAAGCTAACAAATGTCCGATGCTTCGACAGAGTAATTTTCTTTATTTTCAGTAATCAATAAATAGAGTGCATCAATGTCGCGTACAGTTGAAGGCCTTCTCGCATTCCCCTCGTCGTTCCGAAACCTTCGAGAAAACAAGAGACGCTCAAAGGCAAGTCTCTTGCTTCAACCGCCGCTGAGGCCCGCAATGTTTACATCGCGCCGATTGTGTTGATCGGCTCGCGAGCGACGACACTTTTTGCCCTTCGTATTATAATACTCGCGCACCTCATGTATTCGACCTCATTCCATCAGCAGCAGCCGTGCGCGACGCTCTCGTCACTTCCGTCTCGTGTAATTAAAAGAAATATATCTCGTCGGTCCTCGAGATACTCAATCAGCATCGCGTCGGCATCTCATTCATTAACTGCACCGTCGAATCGCGAGTATCAGCATTAGAAGCGTGAGCGAGTGAAATCCGGAGGACTTCAGCAGTCGAGAAGCAGAACGCCGGCAAAGATACGTCACGTTTCCAGGTATGTGGAATCATTTATTACGCGGGAGGTCTCCGATAACGAGAGCGTACGTTTGACGAATTTTCCGGGAATAAGAAGTCGGAATTTCGCGCTCGGCATTCACAATCCGTCATCATCCGACTAGTAATCATCACTTTATGAATTTATAATTACTCTCGTCGATCTCTGTCTGTCTATCTATTTATTCCGTTGTTGTATACAAAAGATATTGATCCAGACAGAGACGGATAACGGTCCATGGACGTGGATCTCGAATTCATCATGTTCTCAATCAAACATTCTGAATCATTCCCAATTCCTGTGTGAGAATATTGGTCTTGTGTAGAATATTCAACGTCATATCGCTTCTTAGACTGCGATCGTTTTTGTTTTCGGTCAGCGCTTCTTTCAAGTTTGTTTATTCTTGTTACGGGATCTGAATTTAAATGTCCATCCGTAAAAGAATATTTTCGAGAGCACACAACTGTTGTCTCCGCTTCTTATTGTCATTTTCTTTCGTCAGCTCTTTCAAAAGCTCCTATCTAGACATTCAATGTCAATAAAGAAAAAAAAATCGTAGCGAATATTCTCCACTCATCCCGACCAACCATTTTTTCTCTACCGTAGCTTACCAACCAAGAACGCTAAATTTTTGTTCCAGACGTTGCGGGAAGCAAGTCCGGCGGACGCGGATGCCGCACCGGAGGATCCGGTTCGGGCAGAGCAAGGTCGGCCGGAAGGTAAAGTTTACAAGTTTCCTACACATCTGTGTTCAACTCTTTACGATCTTTGCCTTTGTAACTTGCTCTTCATCAGCTCTCTTGAAAGCTTCAAGTCCCATTTAAATTTTCAATGTTGGAACAAAAATATAAAGATAAAAATTCCGTATCAAAATATATCCGTATTTTCGATTGGTCCCGATCAAAGATATTCTCTCTCTACCGCAGGTTATCAACCGGGAAAATTATTTTTCTGTTTCAGTTGTTGCGGAAAGCAACAGTAATCCGGTGGACGCGGATGCCGCACCGGAGGATCCGGTTCGGGCGAAGCAGAGTCGGCTTGAAGGTAAGTTTACAAGTTTATTATAGTCCTCTGTTTGACTTGGCGATCTAGAGCTGGGATATAATTTCCGGCTCGACTTGAATTACGATCGCAGAGGGTAAACTACTCTTTTACTCGCCCGCACTCGTTGGTCAAATCTGATGAGCAAATGTGAATTTTTTGTTACAGAGTTGAAGCGGAACGTGGCCGGCTCTGACTGCAAGTCGTTTCGGTGAGTCAAAATGAAAAGAGAAACAAAATTCTGCATGACGGATGTGGGACTAAAAAATATCGTTCGAGTCAATGCGAATTGCAAATAGATACTTGCATGTGTGTATTTGTGACGTTGAATAAAATACATTGCTCGAAACAATCAGGGGATTACTTGATCGATAGCCTACATTACATACAAGATTTAAAATACTGAATGATTCTCTTTTGATGTTCAGTCATCTGAATAAGAGAATATTCATATGTACAAACGCGACACCGACATCAGCTGCTTTATTTTTATTTTTCAAGCGGGCCGCAGAATTACTTAACGATTTAATTATTTGACAATATTCAATTGTCCGTATAAAATATATTCATACCTAAATGCCGATATCGTTAGCTACTTTTCTTTTATTTGCAAAACAGGCTGTAGAATTATTTGACAATATTGTCCATTCATCACAATCCCTATTGTCTCGAGTAGCGTATAATGCGCGTAGAAATTGCGCCAGCGTACGCCGAGCTTGAGGTATCCTCGCTCGCGTGCCTTTGAATATCGCGACCGCGGTTGTCAATATACGCGTTTTTACTCGCGTTGCTAACAAAGAAAACTTAAATTCTCATTTCGCCAAAGTATCGCGAACGTAAGCTTCATCGTGACAGAGCTATAATGCGTGAAAACTTTGCCCCGCTCCTCTCTCTTTGCGCTTCCTAAAGGGGACCGGTTTCTGATTGTCTAATCTTTCCTCGCATGCATTCGCGTCGCGAATATTTCACTCGTAGATATCGATAATCTCACATTTTCGCAACTTTTCAGACGCAATCGCGAAAAGCACCGTAAAAATCCGTTGGACGAGTCAATAAATTTTCACACAGTTCTTACTCCTCGCCGATCGAGTTTATAGAGTCCGTTTCGCAGCGCGCAAAAAGTTTCCACCGATGGCGAGTAAAACGTTCGTTAATTGATGTAAATATCGCCGTTCTAATACCGCGTATCGACCGCGTCGCGGAAGTGTGATGAAAGTGTAGCGATCACCGTGGGACGATCTGCAAGATGGATGTTGAGCGACATGGAGAGCGGCAGCGGACATGGGCGGACATTGGTGTATCTGGTTGGATGCAACAGGACATCATCAATATCATCATTGGTGAGTGTCTGACTTAAAGCTCGCAGAAAGAACTTTTATTATTACTTTATTATTACTTTTATTATTACATTGTGCATGTCGCAAATTTGCATTGACTCTTGTAACGAAAAATATATTCCATGAATTATTGTCTTATATTATTGCCATATATTGCTGCCACATATTGTTGCCATATATTGTTGGCATATATTGTTGCCATATATTGTTGCCGTATATTATTACCATATATTATTCCCATATATTGCCATGTATTTTCGCCATATATTATGGCCACTTGAAATCGCGCGAGTAATCAAGAAAACTGAATTTATCGGTAATCGCAAAGGCGCGGCAGACGTTACAAATGGATGTTAGCAGCCGGTCTCAGGGTTGACCGATAACAATACTATTGCTGCAATTTAACTTTAAACAACAGCGGCCTCAGATCGCAAGAAACTTTTTATCGCGGACTAACCTTTCGAACGGAATGTTCCCGAGAAGTGCTGTTGAGATAAATGGAAGTTATAAGCGAACCT